AATTGTTCCGAATTACTCCCTGTCCTGGAGGGATTGCTGGGTGGGGACCTGTGCCTACATGCTTCTTGTGGAGGGGAATATGTCAATGCTCGCCGATGCGGTGGGGGAAAGTGACTTACAGCTGCCCTCGTGGGTCCCTGAAATCCCGAATGCGCGCTCAAGGTATGTTTGCTCCACTTTAAGAACCCGTCGGGGCTCACGAGGCCACAGCGAGATCGCTGAAGAGCGCCCTAACCTCAGGCATACTGACTCCAGAAACAGTAACCACAGCAGCAAAAGCTCCTGCGAAGATGTTGCTTCCTCCAGCATAAACGAATCCAGTGACGCAGTGCTGGGTGATTGGGTAACTGAGTTTTTGATGTATTCAGTGGACTATACCGAACTCCGGGTCGGTGTGAGCATAGGTTCGAGCAATCGGTTGGTCCATCCAGGTGCTATATGCAGCCCGAGCATCAAAGCCGCCTCGATAAACTCCTCTGATGGCAGGCTTCAGCTTCAAGCCCTCCGCGTATTTGATGGCCCTTCCCAGGTAACAGCTGGGGCTGACAAAGGCGGGCTCATCCCAATTTGGGTACGTGGCTCTTCAACAGCAGCACTTTTCCACGTGAAAGGACTCAAGAGGCCTATTTTCCCTGATCAGAGTTACCACCTCTTTATCATTTCCTGCCAGGACCTAGACTCTTTTCCAGCGCACTCTGCTGACGAGAGCTCTGGAGGGCGCAATGCGTTCCTTCTCGCGCTGACAACATCACTATCCACAAACGACGACACGTTCTTCAAACTTCAAGCCTGTTGCATAGTCCAGGACATCCACTTGTATACCATGGATCGTGTGCAGTCGAGGTTAGAAGGCGACAACTTCTTCAGCAACGCGCTCCACAGTGTTCACTGGATTTTGCACACTCTCCATGAAGTATTGATCAGCAATTACACAGCAGAGTCCGACTATGATTGGATATTTCCATTCATCTTTCCGTCTTTGGAATCAAGGACAAGGGAGATCCTCGAACTGATGATCCGTCTGACCGAGTCACGAGGTCGAAAAGACGTACCAGTAGCGTTAGCCCAGGCACTGCTTGGGGCTGCGAAGAATATCTGCCCAAGCTTTGACCCATCTATTCTTGACGACTATTATTACTTGACAGTAAAAAATCATGGAACGTTATCGTTGCTCTCTTCGATCTGGGAACCGAGAAGACAAGGACGGAAGGGGGACCGAGAACTGATAGTGGAAGTGGACTACTCACGTTCATCGAGCCCCTTAAGCACCCGAAAACCATGGACCAGGCTTTCACAGTATGATTATGAATGGAGACTCTTGTGGAATACCACCACCTTTCCAGTCAAATTTCGATTGCCTGTAAAGGACATACTATCACGCATGGAGTGGACAACACCTTACACGGCGATGCGTTATGCGCGCGAGTATTGCAAGCTTCGGAATGAAGACTTGGAGGCTTTCGTGTATCGCATTTTGGCCCCTGATGATCAATATGCTTTCGCCGAAGGCTGGGGCCCAAAGCTTGTGGAGGAACTGAATCTTGCATGGAGGTTCGAGATGGTCACCATTGTGTGAGAGCAGTCGTGCAAGCACAATAAGTCTATGGATCGTTTTCAATCACTCACAAACGCCATCGTATGACAACAAGAGACAACATGTTCTTTCACCTGGTATTATCTTGGTTCGGGAGCTTAAATTGCCAATAGACCTTAATATACCAGTTGTGATTTCTTGGATGGCGTGGATATTTACCGTGCTTGGGGAATATTAGTCTACTATGACAGCCCTCTTCACTCTTTCCAAAGTATGGGGGGACTGAAAGGAGGGTAACATGGGTGTTGTGGCGCCATTTGAGATTGTCGAAGGGCTGGACATTCTCCAGCAACAAAATATTAGACATCATCCAATACTTAAGTAGATGACTTGACCAAGTAGCGAAGCATATTCCAGTAGAGAGGTTTTCCATACCGCAGTCTCTGCACATGTTGACCTCAATTTCGCCCCCGTGTGCTTGATAATTCCCCGGCCCAACTTTGACTCGTCAATGACTACGAGGCTTTGCGAATCAGGTCTTATTTCCCGCAGATCGTGTTCGATGAGAGACGGTATTGAAACTCTCGTGGACACCTATTCGCAAATGAAGACACAGAAGCAGAAAAGACACATTTTCAGCGTCAGCTCAACGTCATCTCCAACCCCTGTGACAACAAAAAACAACCAAAAGAGTGGCTGTGGAGTCCCTGGCCGTGGTTTCGGCCCCGTGCCGTCGTATCCGCAATCCCCGGCCGTCCACAAACCGGCGAACCAACGGGTGTCGATCATTGCATCAAAATCAGGAATTCAGAGGCGCACCGCATGTTTCCGCAAATAGAGCGGTTATAAGAGTCAGCAGCTGCTGTTCAAATAAGCCCGCCCGCTGTTTCGAGGTCCTGTAATCTGAATTACCATCGACAAAAAAATTGAATTTTCGAGAACAAGAGCCATTGGCAGACTTCCCAAGCATACTCCACGATGAAGATGCGCATCCCTTTCAGTTTTCTCACTCTTGGAATCCTCGTGGCCGCTGAGGACATCGAAGAACACGATGTTCCCCAGGCGTGCGTTTCCGACTGCCGCAGCTTGATCGACCTCTCCGCCAGGTGCGAAAGCAGCACAGATGGTGACTCGGCATTCAATGACTGCGTGTGCGGTGACACAGGTGCCAATTCCGCATTGAACTCTTGCGCCGCTTGTGCCAAGCAGAATGGCTTCACAGCAAACGACGACAATGGTACGCACTCAAACAGGTTTCGGGACTCGGACTCCTACCGAAACAATGTACTTTTTCCCCTCGGATTGGGGCAACCGCTGACATGGATCTACCACAGATGTTGCGTCTCTGATGGCAGACTGCGGCCTGGACTTCAACGCTGCAAGCGCCTCGGGCGGGAATAACACGGGCAGTGTTGCGACCAACACGATCACTTCCGTTTCGGGCTCGAGCACCGTCGTTGTGACCACCACTTCTTCGCCGTCACCATCGCTGCAGACTTCTGGGAGCGAGGCCACGTCGACAGATGGATCGGCGGCGGCAGGAGCACGTGCAACTGCTGGCATTGGGGCCGTGGTCGCTGGGTTGGCCTTGGGAATTCCTGCGCTGATTTGATGTTCCCAAGAGTAGTTGATTCGGCAGACTTGTGAAATCCAGCCGTCTGCTCCCTTCATCTTTTCGTTCATTTTCTTCCAGGTACAACCTAGGTCTCACCAAATGCCAGCAGTCCTGAACGAAGTCATACCTAGTCATATTGATAGATAATCCTGCATGACGGTTGCCACAGCACACCTTGTAATTCCCGCTGAGAATCTAGCTGAAAGCTCCAGGTCCCACAGATCCAGCCGTGTGTCAGAGTATGCAACGACCGCCCTGGGCAAGACCCTCCGTGGGACGCAAATATAGTCCTGATAAGATCGTCTCCGGGCCCAGATTTGGTCCTTTCTCCCATCTGATTTCAAATGCGTATTTATAAAGTATAAAATGGTCTTTCTCATGCTGCTAGCAATGTACATAGCTCATCCAGCAGGTCCCACTTTGTGCCAATGTCTTTTGTCTTGTCCAGTATGTCCTTGGCCCTTGACCCGAAGAGATCCCATACTGGAAGGAACCTCTTGTCCTTGTAGTTGTCGTCGGTGATAATATTGTCGAAGGCCTTCTTCATACCATCCCGCTTCCGCAGCTGGTTGCCATAGCGAGTTATCTTTGCTAGATTCTGGGGTTGCTTGCTACTAGTATAGTAGATCTTCATCACGTTGACGATGTAGAGCATTAACGACGCAAGCCCAGCCGCGAGTGCCGTGGCCACGGACGACCCGTCGCGGTACTTGAGCTCCTCCTTGAGTAATAGCCTCGGGTTCACGTCGTCGGCCACCTGGTTCCCGGGCAGGAAGTAGTCGATTGTGCGCTGATCCTCCGTCGCCTTGTCGCTCCACCCAAAGGCATCCGCCGCACCGATACGGAAGATGTGATCCCTTGCCTGGCTGTAGGGAAGGGTGTCGACGCCTTTCTTCTTGATGTCATCCGAGGCCGAGCAGAATATGAGGATTCCTTTCTCCTTGGCGCTGCTGATAGCGGCCTTGAGTGACTCGATGGCGTCTGCTTCTTGGTCATGGAGTGGCCTCTGGTCGGAGGCAGCGAGGTCACGGATTGTCCAGGAGATGGAAATGATATCGACCTTTAAGATGATGGCGTCCTCTATAGCCCTTGCCGCACTGGCCGCGTGGATTCGCAAGGTCAGCTCGTTTCGAGGCCCGACATGTATGTCATCCTGAATGCGCATGGCATAGAGCAAGACCCATGGGTTAAGGCGAGTGATCGAGTTGGCCATGATGGTTCCGTGTCTGTTACTGGACTGATACCAGGAAGGGTTATGGGACGAGGTCCCCCTAGTACAGTAGCTCATCCCACTGACCTCGACTCGATTCGCGTACATATTTAGGCCAGCGAGGTCTACGCCGTCATCGATAAGCGCGACCTGGTGTTACAGTCAGTAAAGCCATACCGACTCTGTGACCTGGCATAGTACGCACCTTGACTCTGTCCGGGACCTGGTTATTCTGAAATGTTCCGTGCAGGGTCATGATGGCCTCTCTAAATTTCTGCATTGCTTCAATCCAACCGTGCTCCGGAGGCGTGCTCAAGTTACCAGACACGTGTGGCCCCAAATAGTTCTCCACTCCAGTGTTGGAAGTTTTGCCTGTCGCAAGCCTTCTGTGATCAACCGTAACCCCTGGTTGTGTTCTGCTGTCGACGGATTCCTTGGTTCGCTTCTCGACTTGCGTCTTTAATTCTTCAAGCAAGGACTCACACCTCCGTACAGTCTCGAAGCCCTAAAAGCCACATAATTAGGTATTTGGTGACAAATGGCCGAAGAGTAGTTACTAGAACCCTTCCTGTCCAATTTGTGTCGTTGATTGCGGGAATTCTGACTATAACGTACTGGAGACCAATAAATGGTTACTTTTTTCAGACACCTTTCCGACTCCGCAAAGAGGCGAGGGATTCCACTTTCGCTGGCCCAGCCTCTTAGCACTGTCTGATTGCCGCTCCAGTATAAATTGACCTCGGAAACTCTTGGCCAAGCAAACCTGATAACATCGGGGCTGAGGTCAAACTTCCTCCAGTCCCTAGATGAGCTTTTATTTAGCGACGGCATCATAGCAGTGTTTCACAACACAGGTACGGATAATCTTGTGAGCTATGCTTACCAAGTTTCCACCTCGATGCGGGGATGAGTTCTCTTGTTCCCGGAAATCAATGAATCTACCCCGCGTACAGCCCTCTCGATAGCAGCGTCAGTATGCGGTGGCGACTCAAAGTCCTCCTCCACAGTAAGTCGGATAATCTTCCGCACGCCACACTCGGCCAATTTGTCAAGCACGGCAACTGCAGAGCTCCGACCCATGGTTCTCTTCTCCTGTGAATTCGATCCGCGCTGGCGCCTCTGGTTGGCTTCGTAAGATCCAGAGGCTTGGGCCGAGCTGATGTCTGAGGTGTCCGCGGCGTAAGCGAGGACAGGCAGGCTGACGTATGACAATGTGTCTTCAAATCCACCAGGGCTTGCGAGCATGGAGATGAGGTCTGTGAGTTCCTTGGGCGTCTTTCTTTTCAAATTCGTCGCATCGAAGTACAAATTTCTGTCTACAAAAAATAATGTCAGTTTGGTGGAAGATAGTTTAGAAAACGCACATGACGTGGTCTTTCACCCTTCAGGATATCAACCATATCAAAACTGCCCCTGAAATAATCCAATATATGCTCTTGCCCATGGGAAAGATGACTTACCAGACGCTACCCTGCCATATAGGAGCTCCTTTGCCTCCAAATCTGATTTCTTACGAATGTAGTGCAGCTTCAGCTGATGACGTACAGCCTCCGCATTATCAGTGCAGATGTCATAGTCTTCCTTGATTTCTTCAGGCTTTTTCATGCTGGCCTCTTCTTTTGTGGTATCAACTCGATGTTTCGATATCCTAGGTAAAGGAGCCTGCCTGCCCTGGGCCTGTGATTCGATTGACATTGGATCTCTGCCAGTGTGCGGGCTTGCAGCGCGTGCCGGGCCGGGAACAACTGAACTGGAAGTCATGACTTCTACAACAGGTGAAGAAGCTTTTGGTGACAGGTTTTCGTTGCCTTGTGCGTTATGGCCTGTGTCCCTCCTGGCCAGCCCGGTAATTGGTGTCTGGCCCATATCAGCTCGAGCTTTTGAAATCTGAGAGTCTTTCCGCATGGTGTCTTTGCTAATTTCTAGCTGCAAGGACGACAACATTGTCCGAGATGGCAAAACTGTTTTCATGTCTATATGGCTTTCCCTTTGAGACCTCTTTGTCTGTGCCTCCTTGGTGAGCACGTTGCTCATGTATGATGAGGACTCATCCTTGGATCTGGCCACCGCTTGTATTGATGGCTCATGTATGGGGTGTCCTTTGCTCTTTTCTTCTCTTCCAGGGCGCGTGGTCATTGAGGGAGTGGTTTTTGGCCGTGTGGACTTCTGGGCGCGTAGTCGTGCATTCTGCGCGATGAATTCACGTTTGGTGCGCTCAAAGTAGAGGTAGGGCGACTGACCAGCGTTGTTGAACTGACTCGACGGGTCCTCCCACTGATCGCCGAGCTCGATGAGCTGCTCCAGAACCACTTTCCTGTACTGGTCGGTCGGCATGCGTGCGACTCTATACGACATTGCGTAATGCATGGGTGTATTGCCGTCCCCATCGCCGGCAACGATGCACTCAGGTTTGGCAGAAGGGATGAGAAAAGTGAGGTAGTGCAGAGTCTTGGTGAGGTCCAGCGTAATAGGTTTGTGCGTTTTGGTCTTCTTGCGTTGCGTCTGCTGGTGGGAACTGATGTAGGCGTCCACGGCCTCTGGAATGTGTTTCTTGAAGACGTAATGGAAGCAGTTTGCTCCATTAATGTCCTTTTCGCTGACAAGATGAGGGATATGACTTGAGAAGTTCTTGATGACGAAGCGGATGAACTCGTCATTTTGGTTAGCAAAGGCTCTGGTAAGCACCGGGTCCTCGGGCGAGTCGAGAGATTCCTGCAACCTGGCCTTTCGCTCCTGGTGCTTATGGAGAAGATATCCCACAATTTTAACTTTCGTTCTTTCTGGCAGGCTGTTGAAGTTGTCGTTTCTGAAGTTGGCAGCTAGGTGGTGGAGCACCGTAAGGAAGGCCATGTTGCCGTCGTCGATTTCTGCGAGAGATTCTCGCTCTCTCGGACCAAGGACCCGGGCTCCAGTATCCGAGTCCAGCTCGTCACCAGGATCGGTATCATTATCCCATTGCAAATCCTTGTCGAGTAGGCCTTTCAAGGTGAGTGTCCACCTGTCATGGAGGGATCGCCCATACCATTCATCGTCATTCTTTTCCCCAGGCGGTTGGTCATCTTCGGCTTCGTCTTCGCTACCAAGGTTTTCTTGAAAGCTCAAGATGATGGGCCCATCTGTGATAGGAGGTGGCGAGTCCACGTCGAAGTGATCCGCATGCATCATGACCATTGTGAAAATGAATTTCGCGACACTGAAACTGACGACACAACGGAGATGCTGAGAGTGCGCCACTTGAAACGGGCTGATGAAATGAAAGTCGGACGCTTAGATACGAGAAGAGCCGACGAGAATGGTGGTAGTGGTTGTCGGAGTTTACCGTAACTCAAGTCACAGGTGGATTTGGGTAGTCGCACACTGTCTCGGAAAAACGAAGTAGAGCCCCCCCCTAGTTAAATACCCCTTATTCCTTAGTTAAACTAAAACTTTACTAATAAGGTAGAAACTCTAATATTTTTTAATAAAATACCTTTATTAATTTATTAATATTCCTTAATTAATAAAAAAAAGGTTTTAATAATAGCTAGCTATTATCTATTATACTTTAAATTTTAATAGTTAAAATTTTATTTATATTTTAATTTATTACTATTTAATAAGTAGCTATAAATTAAGTTTTAATATAGTTATATAATAATTTAAACTTATTATTAAAAGGTTATTACTACTTATATAGTTACTTTAAGTATATTATTATTATTATTATTAAATATAGTTAAATTAAAATAATAAATTATAAAGGTTTATTAATTTATTTTATAATAATATTATAGAATATAATTAATATATAAATTATATAAATTAAAACTAAAAGATTTTTATTAATAAATTAGATTTATATTTTAATAAAATATAATACTTTTTATTAAATAATTATAAATTAATATTATTATAAAATAATAAATAATATTTTTAAAATTTATATATAAAGTAATAAATAAATATATATATTAATTTATTAATATAATAAAAGCTTTATAATTATTATTTTTAATAAATATATTAATTAAACTATATAATAAAAATATTTATTTTTATTAATAAATTTAGTTTTAATAAATAGGATAATATAAAGAGAATAGGTTAAATATTTATTAAATATATTTTATAGATTAAAAGTCTTTTAAATAAAAGCTTATTTTTATATTTTTATAATTATATTAAATAGTTTATTTATTATTATAATATATAAGGGTTATATAATAAAAGTTTTTCTTTAATAATTAAAAGAAAGTATTTTATTAAAAATAAATTTATATTTAAACTTAAAATTAATTTTTATAATAAATAATATTTTTAATATTATAAAATAAAATAATTAAGGTAATAAATATAAAAGGTATAAAATATAAATATTTATTTTTATATTTTTAATTTTAATTTTATTAAGGTATATTTTTATAACTTAAAGTATTATTTATATTATTAATATTAATATAAATTATTAAATTATAATTTAAATAAAAATTTTATTTAATTTTATTTTTTATATTTAAAAGATTTAATTTAAAGTTAAAACTATTTAAAAATATTTTTATTATATATAAATATTAAAAGAAAATATAAAATAAAATAAATATAATAATTTTAATTAAAATTATAAAAATTAAAATTAATAAAGTTTTAATTAAGTAAAGTTATATAAATAAAAGAATATTATTTATATATTAAATAGTTAAATTAATAATTAAAGGCTAAAATAAATAAATTAATTATAAATAAATTTATTTAATTAATTAGTATTTAATATTAAGTATTTAATTTACTTTATTTATTTAAAATAAATAACTTTTTTTTAATTATTTTTATTATTAATTATATTTTTCTATATATTTAATTATTACTTTTTTATTTAAAAGTTTTTAAAACTTATTATATAACTTTTACTTTATTAAATAAAAGGAATTATTTTAATAGACTTTTAACTTTTTATTAAATAGCTAATTTAATTATAAGGTTTAATATTAAATAAAATTAATTAATTAGTTAAATAATTTTTATAAATTTTATAAGATATATACTTTTAATATTTATTTAATAGTTTATTAAATAATTATTTAATAATTTTATTATAATAGTAAGTTTTTTATTATTATTATTATTAAAAAATTAGTAAAGTTTTTTTTTCCTTTTAAATATAGTTTAATTAATATTTTAATTAATAAAATAATTTTAAGTTATATTTATTAAACTAAATATTCTTTTTTATAAAATTTATAAAGATTAAACCTTTTATATTTTATAATTTTTATAAGTTATTAAAATTAAACTTTTTTAATAAATTTTTAAAATACTTTTAAAATACTTTTAAAATACTTTTATAATAAATTTTTAATATAAAACTATTTTATTTTTTTATTTATAATAATAATAATAAAAGAATAACTAATAACTTTTATTTTTATTATAGACTTTTAAATATTATTATTATTATTATTAATAGTAATAAGGTCTTATTAAATTTATAAAAGAAATTAATAGTAATAATAATAGTAATAACTTTATTAAAACTATTTAATTATATTTAACTTTAAATAAATTAATATTAAATAATAAATTAATAATTATATTAATATTACTTTCCTTTTACTTTTATTTTTACTATTTTTTTAAAAGGAATAAAGTTAACTTTATTACTATTAAACTCCTTTTATTAGGTTTTATTTAAATTATTTAATAATTAAAAAGCTTTTAATAGGTATTTAATTATAATATTATTTATTATAATTATATTAAATTAATTCTTTAAATTTTTATTAAATAAATTAATATATATATTATTTTATTTAATAAAATACTATTATTATAAGAAATTTCTTTATTTTAATAATAATAATTAACCTTATAATAATTACTTAAAGGATATAATTATATTTTTATTAGTTACTTATACTTTTTTATATAAGGTTTATTTTTACCTTTATTTTAATCTTTTATTTAATAGTTATTAATATAAATTAAAAGTTTTAAAGTTTAAATCTTTATTAAGTATATTTATATTTACTATCTACCTAATTATTAATAAGCTATTTTTAAGGTAACTACTTATTAAATAATTAATAATAGTTAAAAGATTTTAATTAATAATTATTTAATTAAGTAATTATTTTATAATATAAATATTTATAACTTTTATATTAATAATATAACTTTATAGTTATATAAAATTAAAAAAGGATTTTTAAAATTTAAAAAGTATATTTATAATATTATTATAATTAAATACTTTAATCCTTTTATTAATATCTTTTTATAATTTTTAATTATAAAGTTAAAACTTTTAACTTATAAGCTAACTAGTCTTAATAAAGATATTTTTAGCTTAATAATTATATTTAAATAATTTTATATTTCCTTTTAATTAAGTCTTTAAATAAGTTAATATAATTTAATAAAAACTTTAAATCCCTTAACTCTAATTTTCTCCTTAATATAATACTTTATTTTTAAGTTATATAATAAAAGTATTAATAACTTTTAAGTTATAAATTTTAATAAATAAAGTTAAAGTTAATTTATTTAAATATATTTATATTAAGGATTAATTAAATAACTTTTAAAGTATTTAATATTATTATTATTATTATTTATTAAAGACTTTACTTTAATAATAAAAGGGTTTTATTATTAATACCTTTTAAACCCTTTTTTTCCTATTATTAGGTATATTTTTTTATTATTAATTTAAATAGTATTCTTTATACTTTTTAAACTACTTAATTTATTATAGTAACCTTATTTTAAGTAGTTTTAAGGTACTTATAAATACTTTTAAGTAGTTTATTAAACTTTAATTACCTTAATAATTAGCTTTTAAATATATAATTATTTAAATAATATAATATTTTATTAATAAATTATATAATTTAACTCTTTAAATAGTTTTATATAATAAATATTAAATAGTTTGCTTAATAAATTAATTTAATAATATTATTTATAAAGTTAATTAAATTAATATTACTTTATATTAAAGTAAGTAAATTATATATACCTTTATAAATTAAGTTTAAATTAACTATATAAAATTAATATAATATTATTTTTATTTAATTAAATAATAAAGATAACTTATTATTAATATTAATAAAATTAATAGAGGTATTTTAATAAGAATATTAAAGTTTCCACCCTATTAGTAAAGTTTTAGTTTAATTAAGAAATAGGGGGTATTTAATTAAGGGGGGGCTTTGCTTTATTTTTCTAAGATAGTAGCTCGCTATCTTTTCGTGGTTCTTGAACTGCTGGCGTCCCCGGTCCAAGGCACACGACCACACAGTACAACTACACTGTCACACATCGGTTAACGCACCCTCTCCATAGGGGCAAAGTAGTTGACCACCCCCGCACATATTAATTAGTTGTAATGCACATGTGGCGTCGAGGGCGCTCGGGGTTACATAGGATTCAATATGCTGTAAAGTAGCGCCAGCATGCCCTGCATGCCCAGGCTTGCCAGGCTAAGCCATTCTATTCTAAGCTGACCGGCGAACATTCCCGCCTAGGACCCACCATCTCAGTTGACCGGGTTAGAGGTGCAGATTACAAGGCCACGGCAGGTCATATTGGAAGGAACACCCTGAAACAGCTACCCAAATACGATGATAGCTGACTGCTTGGTATCCCATTCACACCCGAGAAGCGAAGCCTTTGAGTAACAATACACAATATGATTACGGACCATTATTCTTTACCCCATCCATGTGCAGTGTGTACATGGTGCAGATCCAGAGGCTATCCAGGTCCACAGCACCGAGATTATTCGGGTCGATGTCTGTCGCGCCACCAAGCCTGTCAAATGGAGACTCGTGCACGTCGAAGTAGATTGGATCGTCTGAAGATCGCGTTGACCCGAGAGAAGTCATGCGTGACGTGAAGTTGGGCGTGACTTCGATCCGGGGAATCATCTGAAAGTTGTCGTCACTGTCGCGCTCAAGCAGGATGACAACAGTAAGCTGCGTCGGGATCCCAGACTGCTGTGAAGAATTCTCCGCGAGTGTGAACCTAGCCTGGAAATGGTCTCCCCATTCCAGGTCTGCGGGATTGTCACCTGTGACTATGGTGTGGAATTTGAGGTCCTTAGTGATGCTTTGCTCCGCAGAAGCGTTGAGACCTACGTCGGCACCGGGTATCGATGGACCGGCGTTGAAAGAGAGTCCAAACTTGGAAGCCTCATTCTGTATCGTTTCGCCCATCCTGCTCTCGCCTTTGGGACGCACCTCAGACACGTTTGGGCCCATGACACCTGACTGTTTTGAACTTGAGCAGAACTCAAACAGCACATCGGCGGCCTTAATGCGTGTGCCACGACGTGAAAGAAACTTGAGATCATATACCAGGAGCGTGGCCAGCTTATCAGAGTCGAGGCTCATGCGGCCGTGGATGATCGCCCTAGCTTCGCATCCCACTGTGAAAGCTGGTTTCCTCTTGCGGAGGCCTCCGCTCATAGCAGACACTGTCTTTCTCTGGAGTATTCCCTCTTTATTGCGAACATGATATCCTGTGTGCGTGTCAGTATCTCGGATTTGAATCAATGAATCAATAATCTTAGCTCACCACCCTCTTGACCGCCTTGACTTTGCAGTGACAAGGTAAAAGATTTACAATCAGGTGAAGTGTCGTCTTGCTCGATCTCAAGGTCTTCAAACTCATCATCACTAACCCATAAATCTCTCTCCTCGTCCATTGTGTTGGATCGTAAGAACTTGTGACAGCTGCAGTTCCTGGTACAGGTGGGGAAATATTGGGCACCCTCGGGCACTCAGGAGTAGAGACGTATATATCCGAGTAGGATGGAACAGCAATCTTAGACCGTCCCAATCGGCAGTGATGCTACACAGTGCGCGGATGTAAGCGCCCACTTGGCACTCCCTGCTCCCAAAATATCAGCTCTGCTGCAGGTGTCAGCACTAATGCAAGCCTTGTTGCACGAAACAGACTGTTGCATTTCCCAGTAACTGCCTGACTGCCCAGTTCTGAGCAGATCAGTTGTTGCTGACACCCTGGTGCCCCCCTTTCGCCTGCGACGGCCGCCAATTCTTTGACCGTGAGGGGTTATTCCGAGTCCCTATGACACAAAAAGTCAGCCGTATTGATCTACGCCGAGCGTCGACCTTTAGGCGGCAGACCCGACGCGACGAGGATTTCAGGCGCCAATAAAACCCAATAACACGGGACAGGGCTACGGCGGCCGGTTTCAACATCATCTTTCAACCACACTTTCGAATGATGTCTGAAGATTCCGAGACCATCAGCTCTCCTACGAGGCCTGGGGGCCAGGATCTCGATGTCAGTACTTCCAAACAGGGCCTGACTTTATTGTCAAGTATAGAGCCTGCCCCTGTGGATGGGGATGCTGGAGATACAAGGCTAGATATTGAGTAAAGCTTCCCAAGATGCCTTCGGCGCATTGTAACATGGTCTCCGACTTCTGTGGCTGATCTGGTCGGCATGACAGTGTGGTCCACGTCCTAGGGGTTTCCATGAGGGAAAGTCCGCTCGCTTTGTCGTTTCTGTCAGATTCGCTTCCTCAAAGCTCTCGAAGGAGAGAATATCACTTCGATTTTGATGTATCAGGAACTCTTAGCGACGACTTGGAGTTCACCAAGGATTACGTCGAGTTCCAGGCCCGACAGCTTCTTGATGGGCTATTGGAGTATCGACGGCCCCGAGCCAACGACGAGGTGGGCTTATAACACCCTGGATACGGTTTTCCTTTGAGCTTTTGTGACTGATCTACTCATTTCATGAAGCCAGCTCAGAGAGTGACCATCTTCTTCGCATACGATATCGGCGCTGTAATTTTGAAAAAGGCTAGTGTTGTCGGCAGCTGTCGCCCTGGAGACTCGGGGAATCTCCGTGCTCATTCAGAACTCTAACGCGCACTCCACAGGCAATCTCCATTGCTTCAGACATCAATGAAGAGTACAGTGAGATATTCGCAAGTATCGCAAAGATAGTAAGCCTTATTTTTCTACTTGAAGCTGCCCCTGATGGATTTCAGGCCGAGGAAGACTGACATGGCGAAAGATCTTTACCGGCTGCTTTAATCGCGGGGGAGAACGAGATCTGGGTCTCAAAATACTCACCTTCTTGAATGACGCCATTCTTCCGGAAGATGGGAGAAGTGAGGCCGTTTGGAAGTCGTGCATTACTTTGTCATCAGTTCAGAACCTGGTTTCAACAATACGGCACACCAATGAAGCATTCCTTGCGTCTAAGATTTCTTCACGCTGCACAACCTTCAGCCTGTACGCGGGGACTTCTTCCAAGCGAATTCATGGGGTAAGAATATCTCCCTACTATGTCTACGAAACGTCTTATATGAGGACTGACATCAAAGACCTAGACATTGGGGTATTACTTTGCAACACTCGGTTTATCAAGCGAACTGGCAATAGAGGAGGTTGATGCAGAAGGCATACAAGCCGCGTTCCCTAATCTCATGGATAATATAGGAAGCGGAATCACCAGTAATACCCCAAATCCTCGTGAAGTGCGACCATGTATAAATGATCAAACCAGCGACTAATATTCTGCCCAGGTTGGGCGTCATTGGGGCCGTCAGAAATAGCTCTGGAGCAAAGTCTATTGTCCCTTGCCGCCCCAGAGGCCCACTTAATGATTAAAAAGGTCTCACCAGACCATCCTGTACTAAAAGGTGAGAACTACGACATGTGGTGCCGGCTAGGTGGGACGCAAGTCATATATCTCGAGGGAACCGACTCCCAGGCTACGACAGAAGCCGCGGAGCAAATGAGCATGGATTGGATCAGACGTCAGCAGTTGCGCAGGCGATATTTCGTTCGCAGCTTTGAATTTCGATTTTGCGCCTCTGATCCAGCGAGGAACTCTACCATGGCAATGTTGACCGCATGCTTCTTGCATTTCTTTAGGAGGACGACGGCAGATGCATTTCGTGTACAGGACCTACAAGACCAGCTACGAGACCAGTTCAAGCTGCAGAATGCCTGGACAGACGATGACTTATGCAACATGGCATTGAACTCGTACATTTGGATGTACGAAGAAAGCACATTTGTTCTTATTGGACTGGATGAATGCGATGCTGCAAGCCGAAGAAGATTTTGGACTTTGGTTGGCAGTATAGCCAGCAGATGCGAGAACCGGTTCAACATCATCGTGGCGGGCAACAAGCCCGGTTCATACGACGCTCAAATGTTGCGCGAGGAATTGAAATACTGGCCAGAAGTCAACATTCTCAATTTTGAAGTACCACAGGAGCCTGAGATCGACGTAGGCCCGGAGACACAGAGGAACGATTTTCTCGCGCGGTTGTGTTCGCCACCACCTGGGAGTCATCCAGTGAAGGAATGCCTTGAAAGATTACAATCAATGAACCCCAAGACCATGTCCAGTATACTGGACGTGGTCAAGATGTACTCTCGATGGCCGGCCGATTGCACAAAGGAGAATTTCAGGGCCTTTCTCGACACGACAAGGCGCGTGGATTCATCCTACACCCCCGAGGAAACTGCCTGGAAGATTCTGAGTTCAGTGCCATGTCAAGAGGTAGTCATGAGTGCCTTGACGTGGATCATCGCTGCCCAGCGGCCCCTCACGTTGGACGAGCTCGCAAGCTTTGTCGCTATCAGCAGAAATATGCTCGGCGAGCAGCTCGATCTTCCCAAGTCAGAAGAAATAAGGCGCTGTTCGATGGATATCGACAAACAAATTCGCGGATTTGCCGTCGTCGAGGCGGGCCAGTTCCGCATCCATTCTCACATTCTTGAGCTACTCGCAGATGCTCCGACACAAGACTGGGAGGCGCTCAGGAAGCGGGCGCCACGGCTGACTGCAGAGGTTTTATTACAGTACCTCCGACTGGAAATTGTACAGGAGAGGCTTCACGGTCTGTTTCGACAGTATGAGGAGCGTGTGCAACAATCAGGGCACGCAATGACGCCTCCACTCATGCCTGATGGGAAGGATATGCTGTTTTATGCCGTACAGGCACTGCCCCATCATCTGTCCGGAATTGAAGTTGCGGAAGATATCGAAGCGCAATTAAGAGATCCTTCAGGGCCTTATGAAGCCTGGTCGAAAGTATATTGGGCAATGTCAAACCCTTTCGCTCGACCACACTCCGGACCGCTAAAATCGGCGTGGAGAGCCTGGACGTCCACTCTCGAATTCGGTCCGCCGAGTGTGGTGAGATTGCGCGATGTCAATGGGCAAGACAACAATGGAAGGCCACCGATGGACTGCCTCGCCGAGGCTGTGCGGGCCAACAACCAAGACTTGGCAATCAGCTTCGCGGAGGAGGTCATCTCCGACTTCCAGAATCAGGCGTCCTTGACCAAAGATGAACGCCTGATCTTCCCACCTTCGATTCTGTGGAGAGCTGCGTGGCTCGATATGGATCGTTTGCTAGACTTGGTCTTGAGTCACAGCGAGCAGCAGGACGACTCCTCGTCGGCTTCCTGTCCATCGATGCTTTTCCTAGCAAGTCGCATCGGTTGTTCAAACAGCGTGGATGTACTCCTCAAACATAAAGGAGACACCAGACTCGCCAAGAAGGACCGGCCTACAGCTCTCCACGCCGCGTGCGGGCGTGGTCATTTGACTATCGTCCAGACGCTATTAAAGAAAGATCTAAGCATGATCAATACGCCACATCCAAGCACTCTTCTTTACGTGGCATCATTTTGGGGTTGTTGGGAGATCGTTGAGACGCTCCTGGAGAGCGGAGCCGACCCAAATCAGGCAAAATGCGCACCCAGGCCAAAGGCGGCCGATGACCCGGTTGAACACGACTGGACCCCCATCACGGCGGCCTGTCATAACGGCTTGGTAAAAACTGTTCGCATGCTCCTCAAACACGGAGCAGATCCGGAAACACCCGGACCGTGGGGTGCGGACACCTGCCTCTACCTCGCGGCAGTGAACAGCACGAGTCTCGAGACAACGAAAGTGCTACTCGAGCACGGAGCCGATCCAAATCATAAAAACTTGGAAGATCCTTTACTGACTGTTATCATATACAGCAAGCGAATACCAGAGAATACCAAGCTTGAAATGTTTGAGCTCCTTTTGAATAATGACCCACCCGTGAACCTGGAGCGAGGCAACGAAGAAGGGGTAACGCCTTTGATGGACGCTGCCGCGACGGGGAGACTATCCGCGACGCAATGCCTACTTGACCATGGTGCGTCCGTCGATGCGCGGGACTCGAACAACTATACGGCCCTATTCTGGGCTATATTTGGGGGCCACTGGGAAGTGGCTCGCCAACTGCTTCGCCATCACGACCAGCCAGTTCTCGATCTTGTCTCCAGCAGGGGCTACACGCTACTACAAACGGCAATAGAAAATGTCGACGAGCTCAGGAATCTCCTAGAAGCCGGAGCCGATCCGAGCCTTGTTAACAGATGGCAGCAAAATCTCTTAGATCGCGCTGTGGTGCTGGAGAAGACTCAAGTCGTCAAGATGCTGCTCGAGACAGGGAGGGGTGTCGATTTGCACCACCGTGATTGTGACGGATACACCCCAATTATGGTCGCAACCGGCTACACTCCTAACGAGGAGATAACGAGAATGCTTATGGAGGCCGGCTCAAGCCTCTCAGAAACAACCCCTAACGGGAGTTCTCCATTACACCTCGCAGCGTGGAAATGCAGACCAGACGTCTTGCAGGTCCTTCTTGATTTCCACGACACGGATGACCTTTCAAGAAAAAGCGACACAGGTCAAACACCATTGGTAGCCATGGCTGATTTTGAGAGTGAGGCGTCTCTTGAGTGCATACGCCTGCTTGTCCGTGCCGGTGTCGATATCAACAGTCAGGACAACTACGGGAACACGCTGCTCACCCAGGCTTCCAGTGCCGGACCGGGCGCCAGAGCGGTCCACGATTGGCTCCTAGCCCGTCCGACAATTGACATTCACCTCGTGACAGTCAGAGAGGGCACAGCCCTGCACGTCGCCTGCATGTACGGGGATGAAGGTCTCGTCAGCATGCTGCTGCAGAAAGGCGCCCGGGTGAACTCAACCCACCTCTGCGACAAGCCCACGCCCCTGATCGCGGCGTGCATGCCCGAGCGGCGCTTCGACACCGAGGACCCAGCGGCCCGGACCGAGAGCGCCGAGAGGATCGTGCGGACGCTCATCACGCACGGCGCCGACGCGTCCCTCGTGAGCGGCATCTCCATCTTCAACGCCCTGTGCGCGGCGGCGTTCTGCGCCGGCGTGGGGACCATCAACTTCATCCTCGACAAGGCGGCGTCCGCGCGCACGCCCGACCCCCTGGGCCGCCTGCCGATACACTTTGCCGCGGCAAACGGCGTCCGGAACTTCGAGGCGGTGGCGCTGGCCCACGGCGGGGACATCATGGCGCCGGACCGGTTCGGCAAGAATGCGCTGCACTGGGCCGCGCAGTTTGGGAAGGCGGGCGCCGTCAGGGCGATCCTGCACAGGCTCCCGCCGAGGGACAGGAAGAGGTGTGCCAACTCGGAGGATGCTGACGGGTGGACGCCGCTTGCTTGGGCGTCGAGGCCGATCGAGCCTGACTACGCGGAGTTCTGGACGAGATCCGAGGCGCCGGATTACGAGGCGACGATCCAACACTTGTTAGAGCATGGGGCAGACATCCACGTGCGCTTCCGCACAGGCCGTGGTGACGAAGCGGAGGAGTTCACGCCTTTGTTGATGGCCCGACGGTATGAAGCTGACGCGGCGATTATTGAACTCCTCACACCGCGGGGACAAGACGGTGAGGCTTCAGCCGATTCAGGAGACGAGCGAGTGTATAGGAGGCTCGACGGGTTCTGCGACTTCTGTTTTGCGGTGAGTTACCTTTCATGCCCTCTCTTTCTTTTAATCTCTTTGGTATCCAGCATCCAAGACTTTTAAGATTGTATAATTATTACTAACGCTGGTCAACCAAGCAATCTCGAGGTGTTGCGTATAGATGCGAGACATGCACCGATCGCTATTGGATCTGCAAGAAATGTTTGCCTGTGGCAACGGTAGAGCACCCGCGCACTGCCACTTTTGAGGGGCCCCATACCTTCGATTCAGGAAGTGGGCAGGAATTTGTGTTCCAGTCTAAGGCGTCTTCGTCTGGGGAATCTGGAACAAGTGGGGATGATGCTTCCCGGACAAGTGGTGATATTAGGAGCGGGGCCGATGTGTCGACGGCAGAGTTTGAACCGATGGACTTCCCTGAGGGTGACATCGAGCAGCTGGAATTTCCTGATTTACAAAAGCTGGGTGGCCTAGAAGATCTGTAGAGTTGGCAAGAATGTTCACCGGGTAGCTTATATAAACACTAGAAAATTTACCGGGTTTTCTTACAGGAACACAGCTATCTCATGCTGTCCGCGTTCACACCTTTGTGGCTGGTTATATATGTGTGTCACGTACTATATTCTCTCTATACTATTACTGGCGTTGTATTTTTCTTAAACTCTAGGTCTTGAGTGTTGGCCACTATATGAAGACGCCATACACGTTTTATAGCATGGGATTAGCAACGAAACCACCAACCACCACATGTATGTTCAGTGAGTCGCACTGGCATTTCGTCACCAAGACCGGCCCGGCCGGTACAAATATTCTAAGGTACCTACATACCTAAGCAAGCTATTTTACTGGGGGTGTTCCCTAGGATGTTATTCATCGGGCACGGGAGGATGTTTTTGGAAGGCAAGTTTCTTAGGAGTGTGTCCGCGGAGTGGCTCACCAGAATGGCTGAAACTACAAGATGGATATTCCTTTCACGTGTGAACCAGGCAACTTGGCCGAGCGGTCTAAGGCGCCAGACTCAAGCCTAAAAGCTTGCATGGTTACTCATGTTGCATTCTGGTCTCGAAAGAGGCGTGAGTTCGAACCTCACAGTTGTCAAATGTTTTTTTCTCAAGCTTAAGCTACACTATTTTTTTTCCCATTCAACTATTTATAATATTATAATTAGTAGTGCTATTAGATATATTACCCCTTATTATTATTTATATAATAAAATATTAAGATAATATATTTATTTATATATATTTTTTATTTTTTTTTAAGTATAAAGTTAAAAAACTTATAATTATAATTTTATAATTACTTTTTTATTTAATTATATTATATTATTATAATTTTATTTAGCTTTATTTAAGCCTTTTTTTAAGTTTTTTTAGTATTTTTTTTTAAGAAAGTTAAATTTAAAGGGGAGTTTTTAAGTTTAAGTTTAAGATTCTTATAAATTTTAATTTTTTTTAAATTAGGTTTATAATCTTTTAGCTTTTTTAAAAATATATTAATTATTTTAAATATTAATAACTTTTTTAAAGTAAAAGTTTATTTTTATATAGTTATAAATTTAGTTATTAATAGTTATTTTTTTTATTTATAAGCTATTAAAATTATAAATTTAAATAGTTAGAGGAATAGTAGCTTTATTTTTATCTATTTTAGCTAACTTATATTTATTTAAGTTATATAGTAATCTTATATATAGTGCTTAATAGTGTTAAGATTAAGTAGCTTATAGTTTATAATAGCTTTAACTTTTAATATACTAACTTAAATTAATTAGGTATAGTTTAGTGTATTAATATAAGAAGTGTCTTTTAATAATAGATAGTATTATAGATAATTATAAAGTTATTATAAAAGTTTTATATAGTAAACTTAATTAAGTTAATTTTTAAAAGATATATTATATTTTATTCTTTTAGGACTCTAACTATTCACTTTTAATTTAATAGGAATTAAAAAATATAAATAGTTTATAGTCTATATATATTTTTATATTTTTATTATAGTTTTATTTAATTAAGTAATTAAGTATATATATTACTTATAACCTTTAAAGCTTTAAGCTCTTTTAGTATTAGAATTATAGAAAGCTTTTTCCTTTTTCTTTTCTTTTAAATAAATTAAATAAATATTATTTAAAATTCTATAATTAAAAGTAAAATTTAAGTGCTTTATCTCTTTTATATTTATTTTATAATATTATTTATAATATTATTATTATTTAAATTTATATATTATTAATTTTTAATTAAATTATTTATTATATAATTATTTATTAATAAAACTATTTTTAATATTTAATATAATTAAACTTTTAAATATATAAATTTATATATAATTATTATATTTCTTTTAAATATAAAGTTAAAAGATTTATAATTATAATTTTATAATTAGTTTTTATTTAATTATATTATATTATTATAACCTTATTTAATTTTTAACTTTATTTAAGTTTTTTAAGTTTTTCTAACTTTAATATTTTTAAAAGAGTTAAAGCTTTATATTTTTAATTTTAAGTTTAAAATTTTAGAAATCTTAATATATTTTAAATTAGATTTATAATCCCTTAACTTTTTAAAATATATTAACTATTTTAAATATTAATAACTTTTTTAAAGTAAAGGTTTATTTTATATAGTTATAAATCTAATTATTAATAACTATTTTTTTCTATTTATAAGCTATTAAAACTATAAATTTAAATACTATATGTAGTAATAGAGTGTAGTTACCTTATTTAGTTATCTTTTAATTTAATAGTATAGTAGGTTAAGTGACTATTTTTAAGTAGTTTTACTTAATAGGTGTTTATTTATAAAGTAGAGCTAGAATTCTTAAGGGAATAATAACTTTTATTTTTACCTATTTTAGCTAACTTATATTTAAGTTATATAATAATATTATATATAATACTTAATAGTATTAAGATTAAACAGCCTATAATTCGTAATAGCTTTAACCTTTAATATACTAACTTAAATAGACTAAGTATAACCTAACGTACTAATATAAAAAGATATCTTCTAATAATAAACAGCATTATAAATATAATAAATTATAAAGTTATTATAAAAAATTCTATATAATAAACTTAATTAAACTAATTTTTAAAAGATATATTATATTTCATTCCTTTAAAACTCTAACTATTTACTTCTAGCTTAATAATAGAATTAAAAAAATATAAATAGTCTATATAATTATTATATAACTTTTATATATTTAAAAATAAAACTATCTTATTATTATAGTAGGGTATAGGGAATGTAAGTTTTTAAAAAAAGTATTTTTAAGAACTATTATATATATAAATAGTTAGTGAAAAGCTTTAACTTTAGGAGCTAAAGATTTAAGCACCTTTCTTTCTTCTTTTCTTCTCTCTCTTTACTTTTTATTTATAGGTGAGCTAGCTTAATCGGGGCTAGCATCTCTACCTTTCTCTTATTAATATATAATTATAAAAGTTTAAATTAAAAGCTTTTTTCGTTTAAATTTCTAATTAAGTAAAAGTTTTTAATTAAATAAAAATAAATTATAAGTTAAATAATTAATTAATTAATTATAAAAATAAAAACTATATTATAATAATTAATTAATAAATAAATTAATACTTTTAATAATTAATAATAAATCTTTAATTAAATTAATTAAAATTAATTAATTAATTATTTTATTTTATTTTATATAAATTAAATTATAAAACTTTTAAAAGTTAATTAAACTTAATTTTATATTATATAAACTTATTATATAATTATACTAACTTATTAATTAATATAATTTTATAATATATAAGTTTATTATATATTAATTTATTTATTAATAATATAATTTTATATTATATTATTTTATATAATTAAATTAATTAAAAAATTAAAAAGAATTTAATTTTTAATTAAATTAAAAACTTTATATAAAAGTTAAAAATATTAATATTTTATACTTAGATTTATAGACTATTTATATTTTTTTTAGTTTTATTATTAAGTTAAAAGTAAATAGTTAGAGTCTTAAAAGGACGAGATATAATATATCTTTTAAAGATTAGCTTAGCTAAGTTTGCTATATAGGACTTTTTATAGTGACTTTATAATCTGCTGTGTTTATAACGCCGTCTATTGTTAGAAGATACCTTCTTGCGCTAGTACACTAGGCCGTGCCTGGTTGGTTCGGGCTGGCGCCGTTAGTCTTAATATGGATCGGTCCGTCGAAGGTTGAAGCTATTACGGACCGCGGGTTAGTTTTGACGCTATCGAGCATTATGTGCGACATTGCCGTGTGATTCAGGCCTTTTATAAACACAAGTTGGCTGAAATAAGTAAAGATAAAAGCTATCATTCCCCTAAAGGTTCTAGCTCTACTTTATAAATAAATATTTATTAAGTAAAACTACTTAAAAGTAGTTACTTAATTTATTATATTATTAAATTAAGAGATAATTAGGTAAGGTAATTATATTTTATTATTATATATAGTATTTAAATTTATAATTTTAATAGTTTATAAATAGAAAAAAAAATAACTATTAATAATTAAATTTATAATTATATAAAGGTAGATTTTTATTTTAAAGAGAAGTTATTAATATTTAAAATAGTTAATATATTTTTAAAGAAGCTAAGGGATTATAAGTTTAATTTAAAGGAAATTAAGATTTATAAGAATCTTAAATTTAAGCTTAAGGGCTCCCCTTTAAATTTAACTTCCTTAAAGAGAAAAATATTAAAGAAGTTTAAAAAGAGGCTTAAATAAGGCTAGATAAGGTTATAATAATATAATATAATTAAATAAAAAATTAGTTATAAAATTATAATTATAAATTTTTTAGTTTTATACCTAAAAGAGATACTTAGATTTATAATATAATTATATATATATATTATAAATTTAATTTTTATTTTTATTAATTTCTTTTTTTTTTATTTTCTTTTTATATTTTATATATAAAATATTAAAGGGGGGTATATAGTAAAGTATAAATAATATAAGCTTTTAAAAAAAGTATTTTTAAAAACTATTATATATTAAAGCTAGGGGCGGGGACTTTACATCTAGGGCTAAGGGTCCTTTACCCCTAACTTCTACAATTAACTATTTACTTATAATAAGTAAAAAAGAGGATAGAATAGTTACTTCTAGGTACTAATTAAATAAAAATAAGGAGGGATAAATTGCTAGTAAAGTCCTTTAGGGGAGAGGTACCTATTTATATAGTCTATATTTAAGGCCGTTACCGATAGCCGTTGAGACTATATATAAATAGTTAATAAAAAACTTTATCCTTAAGAGCTAGTAATTTAAGTACCTTTCTTTCTTCTCTTTCTCTCTCTCTTCACCCTTTATCTATAAGTATGCTAGCCTAACTAGGGCTAGTGTCTCTGCCCCTCTCTTACTATATTATTTGTAGATGCCCGACAAGAGCTTATGAAAGGTTTACTAAGCTAATTCCTACCTGGGACAGTATAGGTCCTGGTTTATGTGGAACGGTGACAGGTATAGTATGTGTATTTGAGGTGGACAAACATCAGTCCGTGCCCGGCGATGTGAACCACCCGGCCGAGCTAGGCCTCAGCCCCACCCGTAAGTGTCTGCTGTGCGTTTGGCCGCAAGCGGGAAGGTGTGTTTTCTCGTGGGTTGGAGCTTCAAATGTTTTCATTCTCAGGGACTAGCTCATTACAGACAGGCCTACCAGATACTGTCGACTCTCCTTGATTGAGAGCATCTAATCCATGGAAAATTACACCCGGAATGGACAGTGTTGGAATATGCCGCGGGACAAACGAGTTGCAATGAGTAAATACATGCTCTGCCCAGGATTCAATGCTGCCAGGGTGGGCTCTTCACTTAAACAATTAGTTGGTCGGTCGGTCATTCTCTGTGGCCTACTTAGGTGGGCAATGTCTTGGGCTAGGTGTAAGGTCTAAATGCCCATGTGGAATCTCGTCTGGGGGAATGAGGGTGATGAAGGTGGGAGTCTCCATGGTTGAAAGCCTGCGGCACCGAGAAAGTCCCTCTTGGTCACCCAACTCGCCTGGAGGTGCCAGGTCGAAATTCCCTAGTTCGATGCTTGAGAGATAGTTGTTAGGGATGCCTCGGGAACATCGCGGATGAAAAAGGAACGCGGTGCTTGTGTTAAAGTAGACGATGAGCCATGCGGATGCCGGCGCAGAACGATAAGAGTAGCAGATAACTAATGTCAACCGGAGAGAGGGTATCCGCGAAACATCATCAGTAATTACACAGGTGCCGTTTCAACGCCGTCACTTAAGTTGGCAGAGGGGTTGGCTGCAACCTGACAACCAGGAGGGACGCAAGGGCGGTGGGGAGCAGCCTCATAGGGGTGAGAAGCCCGAAAAGGAAGCTGGAGGCGGCATTCGCATGAACTCAGCCATATTAGGTTCGAGTAAATCTAGAGCCTGGGGCTCTCTTTAAGTGTGCCTTTAATTTGGCATTTAACTAGAATGTGTCTGCTGTAGTGCGAAGCCGTTGCTGTCAAAATCTGCCTCGATTTACTCGTCAACCTACAAGCTGGTCGGTCGGCTGGTAGATGACGAAACTGCCGAGCGGCTCGGACGGCCGAGGTGTGCACAGCGTGTAATCTCGCGTGGGCGGGCGGCCGGAGATCCTCAGACAAACCAGCGACATGCCGGTGATCTGGTGTAGCGCGATGTGTCTCCTTCCACACCCCTCGCCGCAGATGCATGCACTTGAAGAATTTACGGGCGTGGGTCAATCAGTCCCTGTGCATTGGGTGGGTGGTAAATGGTGCGTAACTAACTCCCTCTCCCAGATCACAAGCCAGAGTGCAGTGTGAGTTAGCCGTGGCCGGGCGGTGGTTCGAGACGGGAAGCCTCTCAGCCGCTCCGTTGTCGGCTGCGCATCCACATTCCAACGGCGCCGTCGCGTTGGGGTTGATGCGGCCCCTCGAGCGCGTCCTGCAGGGGAGCCCATGATGGTCAAGTGTGCTGTACTTCTTTGGGCCAGGTTTGGATCTGAAGCACATGCTTCCTGTTAGCCCCTTTGGCCAACATATTGTGTTGGAACTGGAATCGAATTCGTCAGGCTGCGAGGCTGAAGCCATCCACACTTTCATAGTGATGATCCGTGATCATCCTGACCAGCAGCCGACGTCGGGAACTGTCGTCGTCATGGGCAAGGACGAGTGGGACGAGCTGCACATCGTATCCACAAGGCAGCACGGCGAAGCTGCACATGCAGACATGCTGATGGTCATTCAGCCAAGGGCATATCAATCCTGTTGGGCAGCGGCCAATAGACGGGGATGACTGGTCCGATGGCGTAAAAGGGGTGGGAAGTTTGGGAACTTGGCAGGTGGCGCTAGGCCGCGATGGGAATGGCGGCGCGCAGGTTAATCTTATCAATCACATCAGTTGTGTGGTGGGGCCAATGCCAGTTTTCATCCCCTTCCTTGGGCTGTCCGTCCACCGGCAGACCGGCCGGCCCTTCCTCGCTTGGATTTTCGTCTCCGTCTCCTGCCGTTTTCCTTGTCATGTCTGTGCGTCTTGGACGGGGAAGGGTCTTTTTTGTAAAGTGGTTGGTTACCTTAAGTACTCTGCGTGTGGTTCTGGCTGTGAGGTACAAACAGCAACGGCCCAAGGTTGGCTCACCGATTCAGGAGGCTGAGGGGCCACCACACCAAGATTGATGAACTCGTGGTTTGCTCTTCTCAGGGAAAGCCCGTCTGGCCGTCTGAAGAGTTTTCTTGCTGCCGATTTGGTCCTTGGCCTGGCGGTGACCCTTGAACCCTGGATTGGCTTATTGGCTCCAGGCTGGACAAATACATCTTGAAGAATTTCCCCCGCCTTGATTCCCCGTGTTATTCATGTCAATTCTGCACTCCTCCGTCATCGTACGACATCCTTGACTGACTCAGACGAGCACAACCGGTTACCGGCCCCACCCTTTGCTCTGATCTAATCAGATTGATCTCTCCATCCGTTCCTTCCATCTCTGCCTTGCCCTGCCCTGCCTCGCTCTTCCACTCACCCGAATCTGTCAACCCTCATCTAACCTGTCTGCCTGTCAAAACCAGCCAATCCATCAGCCTTGGAATACACACAGACAAACCCATAGCCCATTCGTCATCATCGACTGCAGCCCTTCTGATTGTCAACCTGTCTCGTGGGTCTGACCGCCCTGGACTGGCACTGCAGCCAAGACCCGACCTGATCGCCCTCGGAGTTACGACTCAGGCCACGTTTGTGCTTCCCGAGGTTAGAACCCTCACGTCGCAATCTGCCGCACAATTTTGTTTTTTCCGGCGATGCAGTCGGTGCAGCAGACCACCACAGCCAGCTGACTCTTGACGTTGATTCACTGCATTCTTCAGACCTTTATCAATTGCATCGTCAAGAGCCTGTCTGCCCTGGCAAATAACAAACGGCAATTAACAAACAGACCTGCCCAATGAAACGGTAGCCCACCGGATTGGGAGCGTTGCACCAATCAATTGACGAACCCGGCCCGACCGTTACATGCTACAGCCTGCAGCATTCCACCCGCCCGCCACCCACCGTTTGACGATCGATCTGATAAGCTGAACTGGAGCGCAAGTTGCAACGCAAGCGCGTCCCCAACAAGAAAAAGCAAGACAGACATACACTGCCAGACAAGACTAGGCCAGACTTGTGAGGCTGTGAGGGAAAGGGAAAGGGAATGGCAGCTGTCATGTCGACCAAGGCTCCTCCTCCGGTCGGCCTGGCCCCCCTGAAGATCGGCCCAGCTGCACGCTCGGCTTCTTCTTCTGCAGGTGGCTCGACGTCGCCGACGAATCCGATTTCTAGCGCCGCATCCACCCCCACCCCCACCTCATCAACAGCCCCGAGCCCACCGTCGCACCCGACACCACCCGCCAAAACCACATCTTCTCGGCATCACCACCAAAACCAACAACAATACCCTCCACAGCCCCCGTCGTCATCAACGCCCACGACGACCAGCAGGCCACCCATCCAACCCGCACAGCCCAGGAAGTCTCTCCCTGCCTCCCCGGCTGCCGCCCCGGTCAACAAGATGTCCATGGCATCGGTCATCTCGCCGATGCCGGGCCCTCCCGTGGCAAAGGCCCCCATCTCAATGACCTCCAAGGAATGGGTCATTCCCCCCAGGCCCAAGCCCGGAAGGAAGCCAGCTACTGACACCCCGCCCACAAAGCGCAAGGCCCAGAACAGGGCCGCCCAGAGGGCATTCAGGGAGAGGAGGGCCGCCCGTGTCGGCGAGCTCGAGGAGCAGCTCGAGGCCGAGAGGGAGGAGCACGAGGCCGCCCAGGCCGCCCTGCAGGAGAAGGTCCACCGCCTGGAGATGGACTCGCAGGCCCTCCGCTCCCGTTGCGAGGTGCTCGAGAACATGCTCGACAAGGAGCGTGTCGAGCGGGCAAAGGAGGTCGAGGTCCTCACCAGGAGGCTGCACGAGGCCACCCAACACGGCCACTCACAGGCCCAACACCACCATCCTGCACGCCAAAGCCTGCCGTCCATCTCGTCCGTGTCCGTGTCAGAGCCCCAGGGCCCTTATGCGCCGCAGCCAATGCGTTATCACCACCGCCCATCCGCCCCGTCCCGCCTCTCTCATCTCGGCCGGGCCAGCACCTCGGGTGGCATGACCGCCAAGTCCTCTCCCGTGGCTCCCGCCCCGCCCCACAGGCCCTCCACCACAAATTCGTTCTCCATCTCACAGATCATCAGCCCGCCCGACGACATCGAGCAGGCCCCGACCAGCTGTGGCTCCTGTGACAGCGGCGGCCGGTGTGCCTGTGCAGAGGAGGCCATGGCCAGCATGCCCGTGGGCTGCGGCAACTGCACCCTTGGCTCGCGATGCCAGTGTCTCGAGGAAGTCCTCAACGGCACAGCCGCCGACAACGCCTATCCCGATGCTGGCAGCAGGTCCAACTCTGTATCTCAGCCCCAGCCAACGGCAAGCCGCACCGCCAAGCGGACAATCAGGTCCATCTCCCCCAGTTCTGCGGCGCCCGAGGAAAAGCGTGCCCGGCCTTCTCTGTCATTTGCAGCCACAGAGACAGACTTCACCGCCATGTTCTCGCGCCAGCTCAAGAGAGCCTCTCCGCCCAGCACCACCACAACGGCCTCGGTACAGCCTACCGTCGCCCCCATTAACAGCATGGGAACGCCCTACAGCAACGCACCCAGCCCATACTCTCTCACGCAGTTGGAAAACCAGCCCGCCGACTCCCCCGCTCCGGAGGACCGCTGCGGCTTCTGCGAGGATGGCACGTACTGTGTCTGCGCCGAGGCAGCCAAGAACGCTGCGGTCGAGATGCAGCAGCCAGCCATCGAGTCCGTCACACTGCCGCCCATCACGTCATCAGCCCTGTTCTCCGTCCAGCAGTCCCGCACGCCCCCGCCCTCCGAGGGCGACGCCATCGGCTACGAGATCCTGCCCGACGGTGCGGTCAAGCTGCCCAGACTGAAGGGGCTGTCGTCACGCAACAAGGCCAGCAAGCCCGAGGACACCGCCAAGCCCGCGACTGGCGGGGGGTGTGGGCCCGGCGGCCCGGGGACGTGCGCCCAGTGTATCGCGGACCCCAAGTCGGGTCTCTTCTGCCGCTCTCTGGCGGCGAGTTTCAAGGGCAAGAACGGCGAGTCCAGCGGCGGGGGCTGCTGTGGGGGTGGCGGGCCCGGCGGCGGATGCTGCAAGGACAAGAACCAGAACACGGCCACCAGCACCAGCAGCAGCAGCGCGAACATCAAGCTGTCGTGCGCCGACGCCTATAAGACGCTGGCCAGCCACCGGAACTTCAACGAGGCTGCTGATGACATCGGGACGTGGCTGCCCATGCTGAGGGCGGCGCCCGCGCGGCCCCGGGAGCCTGATGTCGGGGGGTGCGGTGGTGCTATGAGTGGAGGCCGCGGCAGCTCCTCGCGGACGCCTATTGAGGTCGAGGCTGCTAGTATCATGGGGGTGCTCAAGGGGTTTGATGTGCGGTTTGGGAGGGGGGAGTAGATACCAAATCAAGGAAAGAAACGGAAGGACGAGGAAAGAGAGGTTTGCATGGTTGGTGTGTGTTTTAGAGGGGCGATGGTTATATTCTTGACCGCCTGCCTGCTTTTGTTTGGTAGGGGAGGTGCTGTGCTGCATTGGCATTGGCTTGGTACGGGTGGTGGGTGTATCGAGGTACCCTATAAAAGGAAAGGGAAAAGGAAAAGGCGTTGGGGGTGAGTGGGTGGATTGGACTGGACTGCACGGGATGGGATGGGATGTGTACTTGCTGTACGTACGTAGTAGCCGCTGCCGTTTGGAGACGGCGTGGGTACCTCATGCTCATCAGCATGGGCTGCATCGGGCTGGGTATCGTTTTTGATGGTGTCTTTGAATCGACTGTAAAGATACCTCTTTTCTGTGTCTGTCCATTTGTGCCGGCTGACCTTTGTGGAGTGTGAGCAAGGCAAGGCAAGGCCGAACAACGTTGAAACGGGCTCGGGGAGCCGTGGTAGTGGAACCTTAAAATAATGCGTGGCCGTGTCCTAGATGTTCGTATGTTCTTGGGTTTGTTGAAGGATGCTATTCCGTTGTAGTATGTGTTTAAAGCTATATATATATATATATATATGTATATATATATATATATGTATATATATATATATGTATATTGACAGGGGAACTCTTATAACCTCTTTTATTATAGAAATAAAGATTTATAAAAGAAAGAAAAGTTAGTTTTAAAGTATAATATATTTTTAATATATAACTTATAATTTCTATTATTATTAATACTTTATTATATTTTAGATTTTTAAATAATAATTAATATTAAAACCTTAAACTAATTATTTATAGGATCTAAGTAATAATTCTATGTACTCTACTTAGCTAATTAGCTTAGTGGTCTTTTCATCATCTGTGACACGGGATTGTATCACTTTCTCCCACTATTTCTTCGGCAACTGTACCTTTGAATCAATAATTCTTCACAGATAACTTCAGCCTGCTTTGCTACAAGGCTTCAGGACCGCCTGAGCTAGATTAGAAGGACAGCATCGAGACTGGAACTCATGGGCCCCGGGGGCCGACAAAAGGACTGGTAGGAATCGCGGCAGCTCGACAAAGGTTGATCCTGAGGTTGGAGAATGCAACAGTCACAATGGCTCGGATTCATTGTTCTGCATTATTAGCGTCTCAACACACCATCCCCAGTCGAGTGAACCGAATGCATTTTCCTTGCTCCCTCGCTTGAAATGACGGCTTTACTGCCCATCACTATCCTATTCAATGTCCTCATCTTCATCGTACTCATCGTCGTAATGCTCCCAGTCAACATAGGGTGCGACGCAGTACGCCACACCTGCTTCCAACTTGGAACTGCACTCCACCAAATTAGTTCCGAGTGACGGGTTTACCTGCATGAAGAGGCTGGCATCAATAATGTGCTTGATACACAACACAGCGCACGTCTCTGAGTCCTCCACGACGTGCCAAACACCGCAATACGGCGTCGTGCCCTCAGCAACCTTTGCGCCCTCGGGAGGATCCACAATGACGCCCGAGTAGCCATCCCGGACAGGTGGCCTCGTCGTGTCCTCTCCGCCCGGGATCTCGGTCTCGTGGTCGCCGATCAGCGGGCCGAGGCAGATGACGGCGCCGTACGAGAGGCTGATGTTCTGCATCGCGGCGCACTCGAAGCCCACCCACGAGTTGTACCGCGCAACGTCGCCCGGGCCGAGGGAAAGGGACGAGTTCCGCTCGATGCTGGCACAGGTGTCCTGGTCTTGGAGCATGTACGTGGCGCCGCAGCCGTGGGGGCGGCAGAGCCTGGTGCCCGCGGGGATCGACTCCCCCGCGGCGCACGAGATGATGCGGTTCTGGTTCGCCATGAACAGCCAGGCGGACGATGTGGTGTGCGCCCAGGCGATCTCCTCGCACGACTCGCCCTCCCGCTCGGTCGTGTACCACTCACCTGACAGGCAGAACGTCGAGTCGCGGTCGTCCTGCGGGAGCCCGAGGTCGGGGAGGAGGACATCGGTCTCGCCGGAGATGCCGCACGTGGAGTAGATGTACTCCAGCTGGGTCTTCCAGAACTCGTCGTACGAGGAGTACGGCGTACGCTGCATCATGGCCAGGCGCTCAACGTGGCAGAAGGAGCACAGCTCGTCGCGCGGCATCTTCTCGATCGACTCCACCTCGACGAAGTCGTCGATCAGGTCATTGCAGTTCTCGCCGGTGGCCTTGTCTTCGAGACAAGTCTCGTTCCAGCCAGCGTACATGCGAGCTCCGTGGAGGACAGGGGGACCGTCGCCAGTGGCATCGGGGCCACACACCCGTTCGACGGTGGACACCCAGCGGTCCAAACTCTCGCCACAGCTAGTCTGGCAGACGAGGTCCGTGAGGGTCGCGTTCTCCAGCGACCCCCGGTAACTGAGGCTCTGAAAGTCCTCGACGTCCTCGTGGCACTTGATCAGCTCGGTAAGTGCCGTCTTGCAGATATCCTCTGCCTCGAAGAACTCAACGTCGTCTGGCTCGTAGACGCGGAAGCCGGGGAAATCGCGCGGACCTGTCGTCTCGCGTGCACCACGCAGCCATGCGAGCACAGACGAGAGGGCACCGTTCAAGTTGTCGGCCGCCATGGTGGCGTCTTCGTTGTGCGGCGAGATGAGCTCGACGATGGCCTTGGTACAGAGGTTGTAGAGCCAGATATCGGCGCTTTGCTCGACCTCGACAGCCCGCTGCTGGCACTTGTGGGTATCAAGACAGGTCTGGGCGTAGTTGTTGAACCAGGAATAGACGCCGGCGCTGAGGAGATATACTGTTTGAGAGTCGATGATACGGGCACCCCAGGCCATGTTGCACAGATTGTCGTTGGCTGGGCAGTGGTCAAATGTCGGGTCTCTGGCGAACAGGCCCGGCCGGTAAGGCGCCGGGGTGTTGCGCATGGGCTGGAAGTACGGCGTCTCGGACTGGATGGTCGACATGAGAACATTCTTTGCGCCGGCAAGCTGATACTGGTACAATGTCGCGTGCTCGGCCGAGGTGGCCCAAAGGTAGGCAAGTTTGCTCTCAATGAGCATACCGCGACCGGCATAGACGTTGATCTGCTTCCTGTCGGGTGTGTCGAGATCGTGGTCGGCGACCCAGGCCCAGACATTTTCCATATAAGCCGTCGAGCCTTTGGTGAGATGAACCATGAGAGATGCTGCCTTGCAGCCAGACTTAATGTCCCCAGAGGCCTGTTTCGGGCAGTCGGATGCTCGAAGGCCTGAACCGACCGCACCGCCAACGCGGATGTGCGAGTCCCAGATGCCGGCGGAACCCTGCGTCGCCTCCTGGGCGTTCCACTGGAGGACGATGGCGCCGGCCGTAGGTCCAGACACCGTAAACAGCATGTCCTGAATTTCGATGATGCCGACGTCGCCCGGGTCAGCCACGCGGACGACAGGCCGAGGCGCACGCTCGTCCTCGAAGTTGGCACCAGTACCCATGATCTGCGACCAAGCCTGGCCGATGATGCGTGAGCCGATGGGTACCCTAATCGTATCAGTCACCTTGTACACTCCGTGCGGGAAGTGCACGATGGACGAGATATTGGCGGCACCGGCCAGGATCGCGTTAAGCACGGCAGTGTCGTCTGTCTCGCCGTCGCCCTTGGCGCCCAGGCTCTTGACATTCATGATGTTGCTAAGGGGCTCATTGTAATATTTTGGGCGGCGGCGGGCATACAGGTTCGGGAGCTGGTTCTCGTAGGCCTCGCCCGTCAAGGCTGCGACTCTTTTCATGGCCGGCACGTCGCCGCCGTCATGGAAGGTCGACTTGTCGCTGCCCTCTACCACGCGGCCGTAGCCCCAGCTCTCAATGACTTTTCCGTCGCCGCCGCTCAGCATGGTTTGGCCAGTTTGAACGTCTAGCACGCCGACCCTGACGTTATAGAATGCGACGTTTTGCAGCAGGAAGCTAGTCGACTTTTCGCTGCGAAGGCTCGACTCGACGGCAATGTCGGTGTTGACGACGATCGCATCTACCAGTGCAAGGGAGCCAACCGTCTGCGCGTTGGGATCCCACTGTGTGCTTTTATGTCAACTGCGGTGTTCTTGAAGAGAACCAGTGATATTCGATGAACAGGGGCAGACGCACTCCGACAATACTGAGACCTTTGCCGCATCCCTCGAAGATGAAATCATGCATGGTCCATGCCCAGTCCCAATGAACTTGAACGGCAGTGCTGCAGTAGACAAAGACAAGATGGTCTGTTGTGAACTGCTGATTTCCGAAATATGCACTGGCCACACTGTTACTCTGGGAAACGGAATAACATCTCATGTCAAAGACTGCACTCACCCAAAGTTTCCGCCAACAAATGTCAGGTCACCCATGAAGCCACCAGAGCCATTCTCCATGTAAATGCCCTTGAAGTCCATCGAGTCAGCACACTATACTTCTGTAGCTCAAGCTGATTGCTTTACCTGCTGGGTGTTACCCGGGACATCCGAGTTGAACAGCATGTAAAATTCAATGTTCTCCAGCGACGTGGCCTGCGAAACCTGCCAGTGAATGCCACAGATGTACGAGCTTGGGTCCGTCAGCCTGATGTCAATCTTGAAGTTGCGGATGCTGCGGAGGAAGTTGGCCGTGTTGAGGTACCAACCCTCGTTATCCGAGACGTATGGCGAGCTGGTGATGACGCCCAGCCCAACGAAACTAGAGGCAGCGAGAATGGTGGGCAAAGAATTGGGCTACGAGATGATCAGCAATCATCACGAATGATAATGGGTATAGATAATTTTCAAAGTGGCTTTACTCACGTCACCCAGAAATTGTGTGTTGTAGTACTGAATGATGGGCGAGCTGACCAGGTATGTTCCCGACGGGAAGTACACGACGGCGGGCACGACGGTACTGGTGCCACATTCTGGGCCACACCGCTGGCTGTCTGAGATGGCGCGGTTGATGGCGGCTGTGTCGTCCGTCTTGCCATCACCCTTTGCGCCATAGTCCATGACATTACGCCAAACCTGAGATATGTGTTAGTGATGTAATAAGTCCCAGTGTATGACCATGAATAAAGGCACCAACTCACCTTGTAGTTAGATGCTGGCGCGAATGGTGCCGAGCCGAGTTGCTGCTGTTGCGCCATCCACCAGGTCTCGGCAGTGACGGACATGTCGTCAGATAGGACAGCCATGGAGTTGGAATGCAGCTGCGAGAAACCTTGACCGACACCAAAAGATCCAAGCCGTCCATACGGCCGCTGCTGCTGGGGCGCCACGTTCGTGTCGTTGACCTTGCGGTGGCGGTACTTCTCGAGGGTCTTCCGGGCTACTTCCGAATGGTTGCCCTTAGGGACCTGAGGGATTGCCTCGGCAATACGAGCGGCGGCCTTGGCCAGCTCCTCCGGAATGGAGTACGACGAGGCAACATCTTCGGTGATGTTGGTGTCACCCATCAAACGCATGCCGGCAGTCGCATTTGCGGTCACGTCTGAACCATCGAGCGGCAGGGACGCGGCAAGAGTCGCGTTCGCGATTAACTCGTCTGTGTTGGCAAACTCATATTTGTTTACGGCTGGACGAGCGGTGCGAGCCTTGTTGCGGCGTTGGAGAACAGCGCGTGCTTTGAGGATAAGTTCATCCTCAGTCTGGGTTGCGTCGCTTGGGCGGACTGTGCTGTCAGATATTGTTGCAGTGGAAGGAGTGGACAATTCAGTCTGACGGACAGCGGTAGCATCTGCAACGATAGAGAGCGATTGTGCTTGAGATAGCGAGAAGAAATATGATAAAAGTGTAACTAGGAGAAAGAGTGGCGATATACCACCGCTTTTGTTGCCTGTGCCTCGGCGCATTATGATGTGGTCGAGTCTGCTAGCTCGAAGCGAAAAAGAACGTGGTGGGGACTGCCCAGGTGACCTCGAGCAACAAAAGTGAAAGGAAGGCTCACAGAATCATGTCAATGAAGAAACTGGGAAGAACTTGAAGTCCATGAGAAGGGGGACGGGCAGAAGTACACCGAGCAGTATTCTTAAACCGGCGGATAATGTCTTGCCGCACTGTCCCTCCCCCCACCCCCTCCGGCTCAACGAGAAATTACGTTTGACTGGCCAGTGTGTGATCCGGAGATGAAGCCCTCGCCGAGGTTGAACCACTTGTAAGCACTACGCAGAATCGCGTTGGCATCTTGTCGCGGAGGGCAGGTGAAGTCCTAAATCTTTAGGCTATGTCCGCTTTTCAATATTTACATGCTGCCAAGATAGCAAACGTTCTGGTAACACACGTTAATCACAATCCTCAGTAAGCTTCCACAGCAATAAAGGATGATAAGGGTGATTACCCCTGCAGGGCCAAGACACACCAAGCGCATCACATGTCCAAGACGGTGCCGATTCCGTTGCTTGAACTACTGAAGAGACAGCTCGTCCCGGACGCACAAACCGCGTTGGACTCTGAATATCATTGGTTTGGTCCAAAGTCATGCCGAGTTTTGGGGGCGAAGGAGTGCAAGCGATATGAGGGTTCACGAGTATACATCTTGGCAGCCTCCGGATGACCGTAAATGGCATTCAGTGAATAAGATATGATTGCCATCAATATCCTTCTCTGCCCCTCTTGGGTCCGGTCCTGACTGTCTATTCAGAGGCATTGGTCTCTTTTCGCTCATTTCTGTTTTTGTCTGGCAGTCAAGAAGTATCTCATTTCTCGTCTCGCCCAAAAATGGCTTCCGGTCACTCATTTTCGCCCACCCGGCGACCCAGTCACTCTCTACAGAATTTCCTTTTGCCGTTGTTACTGTCAATTTTTCTCTTCATAACTGTGGCTCAGGCCCAGGACTGCAGCAAGACCAAGCTCTGTGCTACGGGCTGCTGTTCCGAGCATGGCTTCTGTGGCACCACCTCAGAGCATTGCGGTGCTGGATGTCAGAGCACCTGCGACTACCAGCCCCCAGCGACGCAGTGCAGCAAGACGAAGCTCTGCGAGATCGGCTGCTGCTCCTCCGCCGGGTTCTGTGGTGAAAGCCCCGAGCACTGCGGCACGGGGTGCCAGAGCACCTGCGATTGGGTGCCCCCCGCAACAGAGTGCGACGCCAACAAGCCGTGTAAGCAAGGCTGCTGCTCCAAGTTTGGTAATTGTGGTTATGGAAAGGATTGTGAGTCTTATCATTATTGAAAATGAATCTCAGGCGACATCAGCTGATGTCAAGATACAAAAAGTCTGCTCTGCGGAAAACTGCGTCAACAACTGTAAAAGCAAAGCAGACTGTGACCCTGGCTCATATGGCAAGGAATATGTCCTCTTTGACAAATGTCCTCTGAATGGTGAGTTTCGGGCACATCGAGTCATTAGACTGAGCCATCATTCTAATTGATGCTTCTAGTCTGCTGCTCTAAACACGGTTTCTGTGGTACTACCGAAGAGTTCTGCGGCAAGAACAAGCCCAAGCGACCCAGTTGCGACATTGACAAAAGGGGTCTCTCTCGAGTTGTCGGCTATTACGAGGGCTGGGCCCCTGACAGGCCTTGTCACTCCTTTTACCCAGAACAAATTCCCAGGGGTGTCTACACGCACCTCAACTTCGCCTTTGCTACAATCGATCCAAATTCCCTGGAGATTCAACCCGCTTCAAAGTCGGACATTGAGTTGTACTCACGCCTCAATACCCTCAAGCTGTCTGACCCTAACCTCCGTACATTCATCGCCGTGGGCGGTTGGACGTTCAACGACCCGGGCCCTACGCGGACGACATTCAGTGATGTCGCTCGCAGCACGGAAAACATGGACAAGTTCATCAACTCAGTCATCAAGTTCCTTCAGAAGTACGACTTCGACGGCATTGACCTCGACTGGGAGTACCCCCGTGCTGATGATCGAGGTGGCCGCGAAGAGGACTTCAAGAACTTCGTCACGCTATCCAAACGGTTGAAGTCGGCACTCAAGACCACCTCTCGCCCGGGATACTCTATCACGGTGCCAGCATCCTTCTGGTACCTTCAACACTTTGATATTAAGGGTCTAGAGCCTCACGTCGACTTCTTCAACATGTAAGACCTACACAATTCTCAGTTTAAACTCTCAGCTAACAGTTCCGGCTAGCATGAGCTATGATCTCCACGGTACATGGGATATGCCCAACGGGTGGACAGGCCCCTACCTCAACGCTCACACCAATCTTACTGAGCTGAAGGATGGAATGGACCTATTCTGGCGCAATGACATCTCACCATCCAAGTTGGTCTTTGGTACCGGTTTCTACGGGCGAGCTTTCACCGTGGCCGACCCGGCGTGCAAGACCCCGGGGTGCGAGTACGCGTCTGGAGCTCCCAAGCAGGCTTGCAGCAGAGAGGTCAGCGTCATCCTCAACAACGAGATCATGGACGTGATGAAGGAGATGGGCGTCAAGCCTGTTCTCCACCAAGAAGAAGCCGTCAAGTCCTTAACGTGGGGGAACAACTGGGTGGCCTACGACGACGAGGAGACGCTCGCCATGCGCGCCGATTTTGTGCGGGAGCAGTGCCTCGGCGGCATAATGGTGTGGGCCGTCTCCCACGATACTCCCGACGGCAAGTTCTCCCTGGCCGTCCAGAAGGCCGCCAACCGTCCCGTGGCTATTGGCTCGTCGACAGACGGGTACGACGAGAAGACCACGGTCCATGATCAGTGTAAGTGGTCTAATTGCATGGAAGGGTGTCCCAACGGCTGGCACAGCGTCCGTCGTGGCGACGGCGGTGCCCGCAGTGGCGAGGTCATGGGCAACAACCAAGGATGTGAAGGGTACGGCACCCGATGGCTCTGCTGTCCACCCGGCGCATCTGGCTGGGACGGCCCCTCGTGCGGCTGGTGGGGGCACAACAACGGGAAATGTAATCACAGAGACACCGACAGCGCACCGATCTTTGAGATTGGCTCCAATAGTCAACACTGCAAGAAGAAGAATTCGTACCAGATCGCCGGCTGCACGTGGTCGTCTGAGGCGGTCAAGGCGCACGTGGCGTGTCCCTGGTCCTGGGATTTCCCGAACTGCGACGGCGACGAGGGCAAGTGCCCTAGCGGGAGCACCGAACTATTCAGCTCGTCGTCGGGCAGTCAGGGGGCCTTTTGCAACGGGGATTCGAGACGCAAGTATTGCTGCAGGGACAGTCAGAAAGAGCTCCACTGGGAGAACTGCGAGTGGTCCGAGAACTCGGGCATCATACCGAGCAACTTGAAATCCGGAACATGTATCGGCGGATGCCCATCGGGCAAAACGGCACTGGCCCTCGACCACAAGGGGGGTTCGTGCAGCAAGGGAGCTCGAGCGCGATGCTGCGACGTGGGGTACAAGACCCTCGAAAAGAAGTACAATGACCTGGACGAGGAGTTTGACTACTACCTCAACTATTTCATCCAGGAGGGGGCAGAGTGTGTCGCCACCAGCGGCGACAGCGGGTCAATGTGGAGGGCCCAGGAGTACCTGGAGCAGAAGGTCAAGGAGATTGTCTACGGCACGGCTGACAAGTCCACGACCGACGTGTGGAAGTCTCGCATTGGACTCAAGTATGATCACCTCGGCATTGGCGATATCCGCGCCTTCGCTCTGTCGAATTCGGCTGCCTATCGCCTCGGCTCCGCCAGGTTTCCCAAAAGGCTCATCTGCGGCCTGACGACTTTCGATAACCTCATTGGCGGGCACGACAGCCTCAAGTGCGCGTGCGATGGCGCGCATTGCTGCATCGGCAAGCTATGCGAGCGGGACTCGAAGATACGGCGCCACGACAGTGAGGTAGCCGAAGAGGTCGAGCATTTCACCAGGCATACCCGTGGAATGGGGCGTCGACAAGAGATCACCGACTCTTTCAATGAAACGGATCTGGCCGAACTCGAAGATGACCCTATCTTCACGACTTTCGCGGGAAAGCGGTCTTTCAATATCAACGAGGTCGATGAAAACGGCTTGCTTATAGCATTGACCATTTGGTCCCTGGCAGCAAGTACCACGCTTCCCCATCACCCATCGCGATTGAGTGGCTAACACTCGTGACACAGTACTATAGCATTGGTAGCGTTCCCATCAGCAGCGACCTCTGGCAGAGATCATTTGGCTACAGCTCACAAGGCTGCTGGGATTACGATATCGAACAACTGACCGGAATCAACCGGAACAACCGCCCCAACCTCGTGGTGGAACACATAATCGAGCTGCAGACCATCGCACAGTTTGTCAGGTCAACCATCACGGGCGTGTTGCGCAGCGGCGACCACTTCGAAGACAGGGTGGACGGCCGGACTTGGTCCGACGTTGCCAACAATGACTACCCAATGGGCGTTCCCCCGCTCAACGGCCAAAGGCAGGGCTTCCAGCGATTGTTCTCCATCCTTGGAACCAGAACGCATACGGCCCCATTCGTCCTGGCCCCGTCCGACCTGAACTCCGCCAAGCTGAACATGTGGCAGAATAACGAGCCGGTATCAGAGAGCGATTTGAACGGATACCTAGCTACGGGCACCGGGGCGTCCTTCCAGTCTTTCATAAACATGGTCCGGATCCCGGTCGTGGTCCTACAGTATCTGACAGATGGGACCGTCCGGACCCAGGCCCGTGCCGTGTACCGCGCCCTGCGGGACGAGATGAGGGTCCTTTTAGAGCAGACTGTCCAGGCGGGTTACCGCAATCCCAGTCTCCACCACATGTTAGACCGCTAGTTCCGGGATCATATTAACCACATGATTACAGAGACGCTATCAGGGCGAAGGGTCACGAGTAAAGTGAATAGGCACACACAGCGTAGGCGTAGAGTAGGTGTAGGGGAGAAGTAGTATATTAGGTAGTAATAGGCTATTAATCATTACCTTCCTTTCTTTCTTTTAGACCTTTTAATTTTCCTCTATCCTTTTATAACTAATACTATACCTATATAATAGGATATTTATACTATTAAAGCACTAATATTACCATTTTTTACTAGTATTATATTAAAGCCCTATTAATACTAGCTTATTATAATAAATATCTCTAATAGGCTACCCTTCCTTTTATACTTCTACCTTTAGGAGTAATAATAGTATAATATTATAGTATTATTATAATATTACTATAATATAATTAGAGCTAAATTAGAAATAAAAAGGTTAGGTTGTAGTATATTATATTTTAAAGTAGTATAATAATAACTAAAGGGTATTATTAATATAGGGGTTTTTAATAAAGCTAGATTAGTATAGTAATAATATTATAAAAAAATAGGGTAGTTATAGCTTTTAAGGAATCTTTTTTTTATTTTATTATTATTACTTTTTATTATTTTAAATAATAAATTATATTATTAAAGGTACTTATTATTTTAAATAGTTTTATTATTATAATATAAGTAAAATACTCTTTTACCCCTATATTTAAACCTTTATACCCCTATTTTTTTTTTTTCTTTTTTTTCCTTTCCTTTTAATATAACTAGTTAAGCAATAAGTACCCCCTATATATAATAGTTTATAAAAATTATATTAATATATTATAGTAATAGTAGTAGAGTAATAATAGTAAAATAATAATAATAACCCTAATAGTAAGTTTTTTTTTATTACTATTATAATATACTTATATTATTTAAATTAAATATTTATATTAACTTATTTTTAATTACCTATTATAACTATTACTAATATTAATCTTTTAATATTTTTATATAATATATTTATAATATTTATACCTTATATTAATAGTTTTATAGGTTCCTAAATATTTAGTACTTTTATTTTTATTATAAGTTATATTTCCTTATAATATTATATTTATATAATATATAAGTTATATTTATATTAAATTTTTATTAATAAATACTTTAATTTTCTTTATTTTTGCTTTTTTAGTAGCTTTACCCTTAAATAAATATATTTAGGTTTATTTTATTTATATTATACCCTATTATAGTTCTTTTAGGTATACTAGGTGTTAATACTATACTTTTAGCTACCTTATAAAAGGTTAAAAAGTATTTAGCCCTATATATATAGTATCTATATAGTGTGCACACTATATATACCACCTTAAAAAAGATAGTATTTATTATTACTATTATTAAACTAATAAGATATATATTTTATATAACACTTTTACTATATACTTATATTATATATATATAACTAATATAATTTTATTTAGGTATTAATAAGTATTATACTTATTATAATTATAATAATTAAATTTACACTCTTATAAATATATTTTAATCCCTTTTTTTTTATATATTATTAATTTACTATATATATATTATATTAAATCCCCTTTATTATATATAAGCCGCTTTAGGCCTTCTTTTAAAATAGTAAATGTAAGCGCCTTATAGAGGCAATCTACCTTTTACTTATTAAAAGTATAGTTATTATAGCTATATAAATTATACTTACTACTACTTTAATAGTTATAAAGGATAAGTTTATATTATTAATTTATTATAATATTATTATACTTAAAAAGCTTATATATAAGATGTAGATATTATATATACTTTATAAGGAGTAGATAGAGAATAAGGAGAATAATAAGAAGGAGTAATCTAAGAGTGTATAAAGAGTAATAACCTTATAAAAAAAATATAGGTAGGTAGGTATACTATACCTTTATAGGTATAGCATAAGGTTATTATAAGGGTAATATTAAATCCTTAAATAGGTAAATATATAAAATATTTATATAAATAAAAATAAATATAAATTATATTATATATATAACTTTAGCGCTATATTAATATATTTCTAACTACTTTTAATTTTACTTTATATTTTATATTAAATTATTTAATATATAAAAATATAGCTTTTATAAATTATTATTATAGTTATAACCCTTTTAATAAATAAAGTATTATTATACTAATTATAGCCTTTAATATTTTAAAATAGTTTCTACTTTAAAGATATTATTTTATTTAACCTTAATATTAAGTTATAATATAAATACTTTACTTTTATAAAACTTAAATAACTTTAAAATAATAATAAAAATAATATTATAAATATAATATTATATAAATAGGTCTAGCTTATAAATAAGGTTATACTTTCTAATTACCTTAAAGATATAAAATAGGCCTAAATATTTATCTATAAGTTTCCTACTCCTATACTTCTACTATAAGTACTTTATTAATATTATAATTAAATTACCTTTTATAAATTTTATATTAAGGTATTAGTAGTTATACTACTTTATATATTTAGTATTAATATAATATAAATATTATATAATCTAAGTATATATAATTTAAATATTTTTACTAATCCTAACTATATTTAAAACGTTAATTCTTTATAATAAAGATATATTAATAAGTATTATTAAATTATAGCTAAATAGTATAAATAAAGGGCTAGCCTTAATTATTAAGTATTTAAAGTTATTATATATAAATTATATAAAATATAGTCACTATACCTAATTACTTTATTTAATATTCTTATATATATAAAGGTAGTATTCAAGGTTTTAATTTTATTATTCTATTTAGCTATTAGTTTGTAGATAAAAGGTAGTGCTTATACACTACTTTATCTTTAAGTTTATATAAAGTCCCACCTAAAAGTAACTAATAAAAAGGCTACCTTAATTTAATATAATCCTTTAAAGTATTTTAAATATAATAAAGATATATAAGGTAAAAATATCCATTAAACCACTACTTATTAACTATATAGTTATTATAATATAAACCATATATTTTATAAAGCAATCTACTACTACAAAAATAGTATCACAAAGCTTATTATTATATAGGTTAATTAATAAAAATAGGCCTAAAATAAAATCCATTAAAATCTTCTCCTACAATCATTAAAGCAATAATAGTAACACTAAAAAGCTAAGCAGTTAATACTTAAACACCTTTATATATTAATAAACTATATATATATTAACATATTATTTTATATTTTTTTAAAAAAAGTTTTAATAATAGCTATATATAAATAACTTAATTAACTTATTAATATTAAGGTATTCTACAAGCTAATTATTATAATAAGTATATAATAATTCCATTTATATATTTAAGTTATCTAGTATATAAACCCTATTATTAAAATAAAGCAGCTTATCTCTTAATTACTATATTTTTCTAACTTTACTATATTACTTACACCTTTTATATTATACCCCTCCTTATATAAAAACATTTTCTTATTATAGGTATTATAAATATACTATTATAAATTGCTTAAGCTATATTATTACTATTACTATACTTTACTCCCCCACTTTATATAAAAGGGTATTTAAATACATACTTTAATCCTAAACAATTATAATTATTAAGCACACTCTACACTTTAATATTACTTTTCTACATTATTTAAGGCCCCTTTTTTCCAAGTATAAATCTATATTTTAATAGCTATAACCACAATCTACTATCTCTTTTAGCGTTATAAAGTTACTAGATCTTTACAGCTCAATCTCTATCTAATCCCTATAAATATAATTAAACCTATAAAATAAACTATCTATTAAATTCTTATCCCCTAACCTATATTTAATTATTAAGTCCACCACTATTAAAGCATTAAGCCATTATAACTACCTTATAAAAAGGTTCCTTTTTACATACTAATATTTTAGGTTTAAATAATTAGTTAAAATAGTTATAATATACTATAAGTATTATAAATAATAACGCTAAGTTATAATAATATTAATAATAATAAATAGCTTTAAATTACTAATATTATAATATTATTTTATAAAGGTTAACTTTTATAATTTAAATATAATTAAATACTAGGCTCCTTTAAAGGAGAGTTATAAAATAATTAATTTAATAGCTTTAATAAATATATTTATTTTAAGATATATATATAATAAGAGCATAAAGTATTATAAAATAAAGGCTATTATAAAGAATAGTTTTAAATATTTAAATACTACTTTTATATAAAATAAAAACTTAATTAGCCTTATAGTACCACCCTTTAAAAGTTAGTTAAAAATATAATTACTTTAAAATATACTTAAATAAACTATTAATAAAAGCTTAAAAACTTAAAAAATATAAATTTTATAAATACTATAAAATAATAGCTATTCTTTAATAATAATAATATAACTTTACTTTATAATAATATTATTAAATATAACTATAAACCTAAAAACTTAATTTAAATAGTCCTAAATTTATATTTTTCAAGATTTAAATATAATTCTTATTAATATAAATATTTTAAAACACTATATATATCCCTTATATATACTTCATTATTACTATTAAAAATAAAATATTATTTAAATATATAATATAATATATATCTATAAGCCCTATAAGGGCACAATTAATATATACTTAGAATATTATAAAGGTGTTAGTTAGTTTAAATAGCATTACTATATACTTAAAATAACTATATTTTATATAAAAGTTATCTTCTACTTATTATTTATATAAATCCTAACCTAATAGTATACTTTAATATCTAGCTTAGTATATACTTTTATATTTTAAATTAATTTAGAATTTTAGAAATTAAAAGTAGTAAAGTATAATTCTTATATATAAATTAATTAAGTATATAATAATTAATATAAAGGTATAGCTTCCCTCTTTTTTTAAATATAAATATAATAGGCATATTTATTAAACTAATAAATAGTTTAATAAATCCTTATATAAATATATTATTTATATAGCTTTAAAATACCTTTAGCTTTATATTTAAAAGGGGGTATAGCGATCCCTATAAAGGCTAGGTACTCTTTTCTAATTCTATTTTATAATCTATAGGTATATATTTAATAAGAGTGTGTATAGCTTCTTTTAAGTAAATATCTTTAAACTTAGTATATTTAATTAGTAGGTATAGTAGGGGTATAGCTAGGGGGTCTTTATTTTTATTATTTATACCTTTTAAAAGGATAGGATAAAAGTAAATAGCTATAATAATAATATTAGGTAGGAGTGACTTATTTAAAGTATAAATACTAAATTAATTCTTATATAAGGAGAAGTACTATTATTATTACTTTTATTAAATAAGTAGGTTTATTACCTTTAACTAGGGAAAGCTAAATATAATATCTTTATTAAGTAGATTTATAATAATAAAGTAGTAATATTATATATATATAATATTATAAAAGTTTATTATTTAAATAAAGAGGAATAACTATTATAAGAAAGGATTAAATTATTATTAATATTAATAAATTATAGTTTATCCTTAAAATAATATTAATACTTATATATATTAATAATGTTATAGTTAATAAAATTTTCCTTTAATTCTAAGTTAATAATACCTTAAAAGGTTTTATATAATTATTAATCCTAATCTATATATTAATATAAAGTTATTACTTATTTAATATAATATTATTAGTTATTTAGTATATTTATAACTTTAAGAGTTATTAATTAGTTTTTAAAAGGGTCTTAGAGTACTAAGTAATAATATAGCCCTTCTACTTATAATTATAGTAAAAAGTATTTAGACACTAACTGCTAGTATAGTTTATTAACTTATAGGTATAATAGTTATTTTAATATAGCTTAAAATATATATTAATATAATATTTTTACTAATAATAGTTATAATAAGTTATTAAAAGGGTTAATTAAAAGGATAGGGGTATTACTTCTTTTTTAATAGTTTAAATAGGAGTAGCTATAAGAGCGTTCTAAATATATAGTTAGCTTATTATTATTATAAGTATATTTTTATAATACTAAAAGATATATTTAATTTATTAGTAAGTATAATATATAAAAGGGGTTAAAGAGCTTAATAAGGTTATAATAATACTATATTATTATTAATTAATATTATTTCTTTTATAGTCTTTATATATTAAGCTTAACTAACTATTTATTCTTATATAGTGAGTAGTTATACTACATATAAAGTATTATATAAATACTTAACTTAAACCTATTAATTATATTATATATATAGTATAACTTTATAGGGTTATTAGGGATTCTATTTTAACTTTTAATAGTAATATAGAAACTTATAATAAATTTATTATTCTTTTATTAAATTATTATAAATATAATAGATATAATAATAGTATATATAGTGGAATTAAAGAGTTAGTTATATAGAAACTCCTTAAAATTTATAAAAGGGGTAGTAAAAAGGTTTATATTTTATATTTATTTTTTTATAATAAAGTTAATTTAATTTTATTTAAATATACCTTTTAAATAATATACTATATAGTTTACTTACTCCTATAACTTTATAATTTTATATAAGTAAAAGTAATAATAAAGGTTAAAAAAGAAGGTTTATAAAGCTATATAAGATTCTCTATTATAAATAAGAGTAAGAAATCCACTAGGGTAATAGCTTAGTTTAAGTATAATAGTAATATTATATAGGTTAAGCTTACCTTATACTTTAAAATGGGGAGGGGTAGTGTCCTTAAGTATAAAAGGGGCTACTAGGGTAGGGATTAGAGTGGGTTTATTTTTATTATAAAGGAGTAGTATAAACTTAACTTATTTAGTATAAAGGTATTAATAAATAACTTTATCTTTAAATTATTAGTTAAGTTCCTTTTTTTTATATTTAAATTATATACTTATAAGTTAACTATTATATATTATATTTTTAATATTAAGCTAGAATGAAGTTAAATTAAAGAGAGGTTATATTACTTAAAAGTAAGGAATTTAACTACCTTTATAAGGGTTATAGATCCTTTATAACTTAAGTATAGTAGTGCTAATATATAAATATATAAGGTATAATACTAATATTATACTAATATCCTAGATAGTCTACTTTTTAAAATAAATAGAATAATTAAATTATTAAAGTAAAGGGTTATAAGTAGAGTGAATAGATATATATAGTATAAGTGTAGAGTAAGTGTAGGGGAAAAGTAGTATATTAGGTAGTAGTGGGTTACTAATTATTACCTCGACTATTAGGGCGAAGGGTCACAAGTAGAGTAAATAGGCATACATAGTATAGGTATAAAGTAAGTATAGGGGAGAAATAGTGTATTAAGTAGTAGTAAGCTACTAATTATTACCTCCCTTTCTTTCTTCTAAACCTTCTAATTTTCCTCTATCCTTTTATAGCTAGCACCACACCTATATAGTGGGGTATCTACGCTACTAGGGCGCCGATACCGCCGTCCTTCACTAGCACTATATTAGAGCCCCACTAGTGCCAGCTTATTATAACAAACGTCTTTGATAGATGCGGACTTTCATGGACCGTCTTCGGACCCGTGGTAGGGCTGCCATCCTGGGGTCGGGGGTTAACAACGAAAGGGAGCTTTTGGAGGGCCTTCTAGCGATTTGGAATAGTGCGGCGGACTTTAAGTTCGATTATAAGGGTTGGTTCTCGGACAACCCCTGAGCAGGTGTGGTTTCGTTTCTAATCCCCATACATATAAAATGTATACGGCGCCTTCATAAAGTACTAGTAGTAAATGCACAAGACCTAGCGGTTAAAAGAAATATAGTACCAATAATAGTACAGAGAGAACACAGTATGCCTGTGGATATGTGGCCTCAGCCATGTGCCGCACAGACAAGGCACGGTACTAGGCGGGAGCTAAAGTTGGAGGGAGTAAAACCTTGCCCTAGCGTGGGAATACACGTATTTATAGCTTTGCATTAATACGTTGAAATAGTTTATATTTGTGCATGTAGGTTATCCTAATCTTTTCATTTAAAACAGCGTTAGGTTGAGCTTTTCAAGAAATAAAGAAAGAAAGAATGGAAAGTTATAAAAAGGTGAAAGGATAGATTAAGCTTTACAGGTGCAACAAGGCTATATAGCCTCGTCGCTATGTGTGTTCATCACTCAGATTCTATGGCTACGTAGTAGATATCTGAACAAAGATTGTCATTTCGTATAATATGATCACCCAGGTGAATGATGGATGTGTGCAAAATCGGCTTGCTGGCCTTGAAAACGCCAAGAGCGCTGACTAAGAGTGGTTGGATTACATTGTGCGTCTTCGAGACGATGCCGGGCACCCCCTCTTCCTGGCCTCTCCTTGCAAGCCGCTTCTTCACCACCGTTCCACCTAGCAACCACACCCTCTACGAATCAACGCCTGCACAAAATATACAGCAGGCAACATGTTCTCCCGGCAACAAGACCCCCCACTCGTCCTGGATAATTCTCTCAGCTTCTTCTTCAATCAGCTACCCAAAGACCTCCGCTCGGGGAACCCAGAGCGCCAGTTCTGGAAAACCTGGCAGGGCCGTCTCTCCCTCTACAACTTCAAGTGCAAATCAGAGCAGTACCGCCACGAACAGTGCTGGGGCTGGACTATCATACGCACCTCCTACAAAGACGACGAAAAGTTCAGGCATGCCGTCTCTGCTATTCACCGGCTGGGGCTGGCCCGCCTCGAGGAGGAATACCTTGAGAGTAGGACGAGCGGACGCCCAGACAATAGCGACGTGGATGTTGTGGATCAGAGGATCGCCGAGATACCGGGCCACCCGAACCTGCGCGAGCACGTGCAAAGGGCCTGGCACACCATGGTCGAGGCCGCCAGGGGTGCTCTGCCCGCCGGGGAGCCGCTCACACCTGACTGGGTGATCACGAACGAGCTGGCCAGGCGGTATCACAACCACATAGTGCAGGACAGGGACGCCCTCGAGGGGGCCAAAGCATCCGAGGCCTGGAAACACGTGCGTGCCTTGGATATCGAGGAGGAAGAGCAAGGCGCCCGCGGCGCCCTGTTCGTCTACCTAGACGAGGAATCTATCGACCTCCTCGCGCGGGCCCCGGGCCCCGACGAGCTGGCGCGCATGTCCCCCGACGACAGGGCCAGGACCGCGTGGCGGTCCTGGGTGAAGGTCGTGTCTACCGCGTGCGAGGTGGCTGGGGACGGGGATGATATGGATGAGATGATGGCGGACCCGCTGGCGAGACGGCGCGTGCGGCTCTATGACTTCTTTGAGGTCTTTTTGCGCCTTTGTGAGGGGTGCCTGGATGAGATGGGTGTCGAGGGGGAGGGGCGGCGGGGGTTTGTGGAGGGGCCGAAGTGGACGTTTTGTCGATTACCTGGGGCGAGCGGCAGGCGAGCGAAATGGTTGGATGAGTTTTATGGAGAGGAGGACATGGGGAGGTGAACTGACTGGAGTAGCTTGCTTGTCGTCTTGGTCCTTTAAGCGTGAAATCTGGAGTATAGTGGCCGATTATCCTTATACCTTTATCTGTAGCTTCGGCCACACTATATTTTTCCTTTACACTATATAACTATCTTTTAGTTCAGCTATTCATTTCTTCCCTAGTCTAGAGTTTATATATAAAGTTTTTAATAGCTTTATATATATTCTTATAATCCTTTTAAAGAGGAACTTTAAATCTATTCTTTCCTTTATTTTTATTATACTTTTTTATATTATTAAGGAATTAGTAGTTATTAATAATAAGAGTATAGATTTAAAGGAGGATAAGTTTATTATACCCTTTCTTTATTTTTTTATAAATTACTTTTAAAATTCTTTTAAGAGTTTTAATATTTTATTATAAAAGTTTTAAAGGTAGTATATTATAAATTATTTCTTTATTTTAAATTTTTAAAGTTAATAATTATATACTTAAATAAAGGTTATAATATTAATTTATTTAATAAGGGTCTTATAATAAGGTATATATATATATATATATATATATATTTAAAGAGATAATTTTAATTAAGTTTTTTTAATATAATTTATTTATATAATAATTATTTTTAAAACTTAATTTTATTATATAATTCCTTTATAATAATTAAATTATAAGTTACTTCTATTTATAATTAATACTATTATTAAAATAGTACCTTTTAGTTTTATTTATATATTATAAAGTTAAAATTATAAGTATTTATTATATTATAATTATTATTATTAATATTATATTCTTTTTAAATATTAGATTTTAAGTGTTTATTATTATATAAAGGTATTATATATATCCTTAGATATATATAGAATAGAAGTAAAACTATATACCTTTATCTATGTAATCAATCAAGACATCTGACGGAAGACTTTTAATTTACTAGGTTTTCCTGTGCTGGGCCAAGCTTCACCATTGAACAAAAAGCTCTAGAGTCAACTGTGTATATGGCTTGACAACGAAACTCCACAATCAATACTCCATCCATTGAAATCAGTGTGCACCTCCTCACAAGGCAGCCACCGTAGCCTCCAACCCCTTGAACCCAACGCTCGGCATCGAAACATGATAATCATGAACAAACGCCACATCGCTCGCATCAGTCTCCCACAAATCCATATCAAAGCCCCGGGCCAGCGCCGCAGTCACGAGGTACATCTCAGCGCGCGCCAGCTCGATGCCGAGGCACCTCCTGCTGCCCTTGCCAAACGCCATCTGGTACCGCTGGCGCCCGCGGCCCCCGTCGCCGAGCCAGCGGCCCGGGTCGAAGACGAGCGGGTCGGGGAAGACGCTCGGCGCCGTGTGGGCGCTCAGGGTGGTTGTGCTCATGGGGGTGCCGGCGGGGATCTTGAAGGACTTCCTCGTGTTTGAGGGGTATGCGGCGTGGGGTGTGGGTGTGTATGTGAGTGTTTCGCGCGCGACACGCGCCGTCCTGGCTGTGACGCCGAATGAGAGGCGGTGGGCTTCTTCGATCACCGCGGTGAGGTAGGGGAGTTGCTCGAGCTGGGCCCACGATGCTGGCTGTGCGGCGGTGCTGAGTTCTTCTCGCAGCTTGGTCATTATCTGGGGGTTGGCCAGCAGGTGGTAGAAGAGCGTGCTGAGGGACTTTGCTGGTGATTCGGTCCCTGCGAGGACCAGGAGTGCGCCTTCTTGCTCGAGCCGGAGTAGGGCCTTCTCTGGTGCCGGTAAAATGGGACTGTCGAGCACGGTGTAATATACTGATTTTGCAATTGTCGAATCACTGTCTGCTCCGGAGGCTTTGGCGTTGATGATGAGTCCTAGTTCGGCTCGGACTCGCTGTGCCTTTATTAGCATCGGAACACCATGACGATCATTTTCAGTGTGACGCATACATCGAACAGTTCTAGCATATCGAGCAATCCGGGCGGCATGATAGGCCTACTGATGGATTCCGGGAGAGATTCTAGGAAGTCGGGGATGAAAGGGAAGTGCTTGTTGAGATGGACTCCCACCATGAGCTCGTAGCTGTTACGGCGTAGTGTGGCAGCTTTCTGTTCATCCGCAAGGACGTCTGTCCTCTGAGAGAACAAGAAGTTATTCACAACACTGGCCACTGTTAGGATCATTCTTCGTCCGAATTTGAAGAGATCTTACTCATTGGAGAAGGCGAAGAAAACATCCGAAAGATTGACTGGAGTCTGTTCGGAGGCATGTTTAGAAAGCAACTGACAAAGCTGTTGCACTTTCTTGGTGATCGTCGTCTCTAGGCGGACCACATTACGTTTGCTGAAGAATGGAGACAAGGCTTCGCGGCGTTTTCGGTGAACGTCGAGACTAGGAGTGGTGCCAACCCCACCGGGAACCCGCAAGGACCTCAGTTGGTACTCATACTTGTCTCTCGGGGACGAAGAAGGGGCGTAGATGGTGTCGAGGAATCCAACATCAGAGATGTGGATCTCGTCAGGGGTGACCCGGATGATCGGCCCTGCGAGGTATTAATTAAATGAATGATGCTGCGCTGTGGACTGAATTACACCTGCGCACGTATTAGGGCTTACCGTATCGTTTGTGCAGCTCCTGGATTTTGAAGACATATTGGCCGGGCTGGATTACGTCGAAATAGAATTCATACCACCAGGTGAGAGCCGCCAGTCTCGGGCCAGGAATATGAGCCAAGGGGTGGAAGAACAGACGTCGTATGGCACCTCCTATCGTCAACAGGGCGGCCACAAGCAATGTCGTCACAATTACTTGAAGGAGAGCCATGACAAGTTCCACGCCACGCGATCGGGACGGGGGAGAAGACGCAAGGGAGGAGAAAATGTGGAGTAATAGATGCTGACGATGAAAGTAGACGTTGAGGAGGCGGGCGAGGCAAGGATGGGGATCCCATCAGGCACCCATTTTAGGCCTATCTGGGTCTTGCTGGTGGACGTAGTGTCGGCAGTCAAACCTACAGAATACACGCCCTTGACGCCGTCTGAGAATCTGCAGGGATGGGCTTGCGTTGGCTGCGTTTGGCAGGGATCCAGCCATGGTCGCATCAGCCATACCTAGCCGCTCCAGTTTTCAACGTCCCGTCCGCATCACACAGTGAAGTAAACGCCACCTTCCGGGAATACCTGGTCTGGTTTCGCTTCCATTGCGCATACGTCCGAGGACATACATGGCGCCTTCAGACGGCGGTAAACGCTGAAGACCCAGCTTTGTTTTCTCTCTTTTTTTTCTTTTCTTTTTCTTAAGAAAACAAATTACTACGTCTATAACAGTGGTAAGCAGTGTAGTTATGTTCCCCTCATATAGTAGCGGACCCTTAAAACTCTAGCGTTATGTTTTCTGTTCTTTAAAAAAGGAAGTGTTCATAGTCGGAGACTTAGTGAACTCAATGGTACCTAGGGAGCCTCCGGTGATGATGATCCACAAATGTATAAATCGCTCAATGTGACAATTCCCATATGCATTTCTTTGCCCAGGCGAGGAGTTTTGGTTCTGGGCGTGATCCGCTAACCCTAGGTAGTATTGCGCGTTCATTTAGGTCAATTCTATCTAGGAATGCCGTGATGTCAGCGCCATAATCTAATCTAATCACGCACAGCACTGCGTGCTGCCGGGGCAAATCCTACACCGGCCGACCTCCAATGCATCCTGTTTCTCGAGGTCTGGCAGGTGATAAAGGCATCGATGTTATTTTTGATGGATTGGGCGTGAAGACGTCAATTGAAACAACGACAATAATTCACTGACTCTGGAAATATTGCCACCTTGTCTAGGGTCTTGATTCTGATATCGTTGCGCAGGAATGGTACCTACTTGGGAGGTGAGGATATCCTCAACCGAAAGAGTCTTCGCAGCGACGCCAGCTCCAGAACGCCTTGTCGCACTATCGCTGTTAGATGCCACGACAGCCAACTTTTCCTTCACCAGCGCCCTTTGGCTCTTGGAACGCCCGGCAGGTGAACTGGGTGATGGATTCAGCCTGGTACATCATCTCCGCAGCTCACTGAGGGCAGCCCTCGAGTTCTACCCGTGGTGGTGTGGTCGACTAAAGAGCGTCACATCGCTTGATGGCACTGTCGAGGATGAAACGGCCTGGCATATCCCACGACATGCCCGGCGGTACGGTCGCGTGTACGCTCAATACGGCGTCCCTGATCAAGACCCCGGTGTCGAGTTCATCGCCGCCACAAGCTCCGCCACGCTGGATGATTTATACCAGACCGCCCGCCCGCAGGCAACGCCGCTGTGGAATCAGACCGGGCTACCACTCAACTCGTTCGGTCCCTCTACCAACATAGCCAGCGCCCTGGAGGCTAATGAGCCCGTCGCAGGCAAACGGCGTCCCCTGCTGGCTCTGCAGGTGACTGAGTTGGCCTGTGGAGGTATAGCCTTAGCTGTCAAAGGTGCACACCCGTTGGCCGATATCACGTCTTTGGTGCGCTTTGTCAAAGACTGGGCCAGTCTCAGCCGCTCGGCTCTGGACTCGAGCACGCCCAGTATTGAACCAGTTGTTCTTGACCCCGAACTCCTCGACTCCAAGGCTGCTGGCGATATCAATGCCGACGAGGCAGTCGCCACTATAATCCGTCAGGCGGAGAGCCTACCTTTGCACCGGTACGACTGGTGGACCTCGCCGGGCGGCCCTGCGTGGGCTACCAAGAAACCCAGCGTGTTCCCAGAAGATCTGGCCCCGGCGGGACGGCCGATCCCCTGGTCCGAGTGGGATTTTGCCGCGCCCGTTTCAACTTACATTATTCACTTTCATCGGGCCCAGATCGATCATCTCTGGAAGGTGGCTACAAAGAGCGCCCAGAGCCCCAACAGCATTCGGATCAGTAAGCACGACGCCATCCTAGCCCATATATGGTCATGCATCGTGCGTGCTCGGCAGCTGGAAGACGATCCTAACCCGGTGCACTGCGACCTTGTGCTCGGGGTGCGGCCCGCGCTTAAGCTCAGCGAAGCGTTCATGGGATCTCCTATCATCATGGTCAACATCGAGATGGCTGGTTCAGACGTGGCATTCAAGACCTCTGGTTCAGGAGGTGGCGAGAACAAGATCGCCAAGTGCATTCGTGAGACTCTGATTGAGATGAGCAACCCGGAGAACATGGCAGCACATCTCCACAGTGTGGCTTATGAGAAGTCGCCCCAACGTCTATGGCAGGCATTCCTGGGCCGACGCCACATTCTGGTAACAACTTGGGCACGCGCGGGCATCTACGATGTAGATTTTGGCCTCGGGTCTGGGATTCGATATGCTGATGCTGTGCTCCCAGCTATGGACGGAGGTGTCTTGGTTAAAGAGGGCCCGTCGTCATCGCCGCATTCGTGGACAGACAATGGTGTGGATGTGACTGTACATCTTCGCACTGAAGATATGGAGCGCTTGGTGCTTGACCCGCAACTTTTACCTGCATGTACTTAGGCGACTGTGTTAATAGTAGCATTTTGACAGCGGCGATGAGGCTTACCTGTGTGCCTCTTTCTCGAAGTGCTTTACTTTTAGTACCTAGACACAAGAATGAATCCTCATTCCGGTCACCACACACGTTGGACGTGTTTGAAAAGAGCAGGATAAGCTTTTTTACTGACTGTTATTGCTTGTTGGTTCTGAATACAAAGCAGCAGGAGAGGGGGCCGTTCATACCCAAATTCCTGCCTGAATGCGTGATCCGTTTAGGATTGAATCAGCATGCTGCCCGCACGGGTGCACGGCCACGACTCGGAAGAGGGGAGTACACCAATGTGCTGGTTTAATGCTTTCGGGTTTGAACTTAGTTCTTTCTGTTGAACGGAAGGCCCACGTATGCCTTGCGGAATAGAAGCGAAACCAGGTAAGAACGAAACCACTGAGTCAGTCGTCACCTAGCCTTGTCCGTTCGGCACGACGCTGAGACCACTTGCCCGCATACTGTACTTTTTCTGTACTGTTATTGGCAATCCATTGTTTTAATTTGAAAGCTGGGTCTTGAGTGTTTACCACTGTATGAAGGCTCAGGATACGTTATATACATATAGAGATTAGAAAAGAAACCACTTCATACGGGAGTAAAAACATAAACATCCAGCATAGGCTTGTCACTTCTTACCGTGCCATTGAGTAGCAAAACTTTTGATAAGAGGTTTCCCAATACATTAACTTCCCAGCAACTAAGGAGTCTCACGGCGTTCCAGGGATTTGATTTCCGCATCTGCTGCGCCCCAATTTATTAAGTCCTCGATTTCGTAGGACCGGACCAGAAATCGATTCGCCATGGTCCTTTCTTGTGGTAATTGTGCATAAACGGAAGGATTAGACAATTGGAGACATTGCTATGGGATTCTTGTTGGCTTGGATCATCAGAATGAATGATAATTACCTTCTACCCATGCTCGAAGGGGCGTGAATTATTATGCATTGGACAGAGTCATTACGTCCGATGTTCCGCCTCCGGTGTGCTTCTACGCTGAATAGATCACTTCGGACAGCTATTATGTCATAGGCCTTTACATGGTAACGTGATATGAATGTGTATGGTAAAAGCTGCACCGGGAGCCTGTCTTCAGATCCAAGAGTACGGCGCCCAATTGCAGGTGGTCGTAGTGTAAGTCTATTTATGTGAGACCTCTCGCCTGAAGATCGTATCCCGTGACAAGACTAACGTGGAAGGCCACGGGATGGCATTCGGTGCCTACTTCGCCAAGAGATATCTGCCCAGGTGTATCGGTGAGTCCGATATTGGAGACTCGGCAGCGGCGACATCATCCATGATTCCACAGAGATAAGCATCCCAAGCATGAAATGGGATGGAAATTCCGCGAAGTCTGAAACGTACCGCAGACGAGGAGGTATAGGGCGCTCTGCCTAGTTCAGTCTGATGTTGTGACAAAATTGTCAGGGATGTAATCGGCAGATGATATGAGACGATTAGACCTCCGGTGTACTGTATAGGCATTCAAATCGATGGGACATTCATATCCAATTCCTGGGACAACTTCTCATGACGTCTTGCAGCTGTTGTCGTCGCTATTCCTTCAGAACCGGCGAGCTTTATCATGTTGCCTTAAAGTGCTCGCTGGCAGCCAGAGAATGATAAACGCCTGCCCCTGCAGCTCGCCACTCTGATGTGTCCTCTCCACAATAATTATTTTTGATGATTCACAATGTTACTATTCTCCAGTATCCTTGCCCTCCTGGCCCTCCCACACACTGTCCTCGCCGGTCTCCAATTAGACTACGCCGACGTCCCAGCCGCCTGCGTCACAACCTGCCGCGCCATAGCAGAACTAAGCGGGATCTGCGACGTCGACGCCGACTTCGACGACAACAACGCACAGTTAGAGGACCTCATGAAGCTGCAGTGCATCTGCACCAACGCGAGCTTCGACGTCCCTGTCGCCACGGCCCTCTGCGCCAGCTGCATTGACCAGAACGGCATGCCCAGCGACCGCGACGACAACATGGACGACATCGGCGAAATCATGGCGCGCTGCGGGTTCCAAAACCTCACGTGGACGCCTGATGTCGCGGTGGGCGCGGTTCCCGGGGTCGTTGATGTCTATGTCAGCGCTACGAGGCTCATCAGCCCGGCGCAGATTACTACGAGTGTGGATTTTGCGCCGCCGCCGCCGACGGCTACGCCTAGTCAGGGTGCACAGGGCCAGGGCGAAGAGGGTAAGGGTGAAGAGGGTAAGAATGAGCAATGTCAGGGGAAGCAAGGGATGGCACCGAAGAAACACAAGTGGTTACATTCGGGTTGGTGGTGATCCCGTTTTGGACATGGCATTGTGTCTTCAGAGAAGCCGGGCTGCAGTAACTGTCTCCCTGTTATGCCATGGCAAAGATGCCAGAGATACCTGGGTCAAGCTGCGTACAGGACGAACCCTGGGGCAAAATTGCAGCCTTGTAACCTCCACATTTTTGGAATTTGTAGGGGAAGGCAAGGCCCAATATGATTTAAGCCGTGTACATACCTTTTGATAAACCCCCATACAACACTAAGTACCCATGAATGGCACACATCGATTTGTGTGGGCATTTCACTAAACAAGAGTAATCCAATTTGTCGTAATTTCATCAGAGAGTGGCCCAACAGTTCACCACTATCACTGTATTAGCAGTTGAGCTTTTTCATGGAATTCACTGAGACTTTAATTTAACGAAGCAAAGGTTCATATTTTATGTCCTACAGCGTTTTGAAATACCCACTTTAATTCTAGGTACGTAAAAAGCACTTATGCGTGTTGGAACACAACAACACACAGTGCAATGACTCAATTGGCGAAGTTGAATGCCAAGGACCAACAGCCATCACCAAGCTTCGTTGCAAAGGAGGGGGGCCGGATTGCAGGCGCCCGAATCATCGACGTGACCTTCCAAGGTTTTCAAGCCGTTGAAATTTGAGTCGAACTTCGACTCGTTGACTGAGCCTCAAATCATATCTCCTCTCTCATTGGAAATGCCTCAGCCCATACGTATTGCAATCTCTGGAGGCGGCCTCGCCGGCGCCACACTTCTCTACGCCCTCCTTCCACACCCGCACCTAGACGCGCACATCTTCGAGTCGGCCTCCGCCTTCAAAGAAGCTGGCGCGGCTGTGGGGATGACTTGCAATGCTCAGGCTGCACTGGAATTGATCTCGGCAACCGAATGCCTTCGACGTGCTGGAGCGGTACCGCAGAAAGCTGCCCAGGCCATGATGGGTCTAGGCGAAAACCAAGGTAGTGCCATATGTCACATAGGTGCCAACAGCGGCGGTCCAGTCACGAGCATTGTGCACCGTGCTGCTCTCCTCCGGGAGCTGCTATCAGGAGTTCCCTTGGACCGTATGCACGCTTCAAAAAAACTTGAAAGTGTGGATTACAACGATGATGGGTCTCTGACTATCCATTTGTATGTTTGGTCTCCTTCAAGTCTGAGTATTGCGCTACAGAACATGATTTTTAACGTAAAATTATGCAGCTCCGACAAAACCACTCACAATTGTGATATCCTCGTCGGCGCCGACGGCATTCACAGCACTGTGCGGAAGCTAATATTGGGTGAAAGTGAGCCCACAGTCGTGCTACCTCGCAATAGCGGTTGTTGGGCAGTCATGGCCCTGAAGCCGTATGCGGAAGCTCAAGCTAGTATTGGACAGGGAATAGATATTGATGATGCTCGGGAGTACGCCTGGATTGGCAATGGGACCTTTCTAATGCACAACGTCCTGAGTGAGGGCCAACTCGTTCAGCTTGTTCTGACAGCATACGAAGAACAAGCAGTAGGTTCGGACCGTTGGCATCGTACTGTTTCAGCAGATGAGATCCGCAGACTATACAACGACTGGCCACCGCACTTGAAGAATGGAATCGGACAGGTACGTGCATAACATGCCCGAACTTGAATCAGATCAATCTTGCTGATAACACTGGCCTTAGCTACTCTGTGATCAGCCAGAATTACCCGCTATGTACCTCTGGGAGCATTTGCCATCGCATACCTATACGTCTGGCCCGCTCTGCATTATAGGCGATGCAGCCCATGCAACAACTCCATGGCAGGCTTCTGGAGGTGGCATGTCCGTCGAAGACAGCTTTCTCCTCTCTTCCTTGCTTAGCCACGCCACGTCACCAACGGAAGCACTTAACGCGCTGAAAGCATACGACGAAGTGCGGAGGCCACGCACACAGCGTATTGTTGAATCTAGTCGAGGTACAGGAGAAATCATGACAGGTAGGGGCGGCGAGACTGAGATGCCCCTTGACCAAATTAGAGAGAAGCTTGTTCATAGGTGGGACTTCATCTTTGATATCAAACTCGATGAGCATCGAGATGAGGCTATCACCATTATGAACCGCTTGAATCTATCGCAGTAGGAATCACCGGCACAGCACATGGGGGACCGGTAGGCGCTTGTGCGCGAAGAAACCTTGGAAAGGAGCTAAGACATTAGGGGTTGGAGGCTGGCCCTGGGTTTAGACAAACCAACAACTTTCAATAAACCATAAACCACTCAAGCCTTTGCACGTAGCGTTGCAAAGTAGTTCGCAGAATCAGCACAGCAGGCCCTGGGACTTCAAGCATGTAGGAAAACTCCAGTCTTTCAGTCATACCGTTAACAGCTCCATCGTCCCGATCTTTCTCCATCTGGGCGTCTGAGCCGCGCAACGGGGGCGAGGCCTCCGGGGTGTCAAAACCTTGCTGATCAGCTACAGCATGAAAGAAATTCAATTATTAGCTTTTTAATCATTCAATCAATCTCAGCAAATAATAACACAAACACGGATATGTATTATAACATCGGATCTCAAATCAAGGAGAGACGTAAGTCAGTATACCACGTCACACACAGCCCCCCTTACGCACACGTATTTCTCACTAAAAAGACTAATTTTAAGCCCTCTTTAATTAATTCTATATAAATACTACTACTTTAAAAGAATATATATTAAATTTATAAATTTTAGTATATATATAATAAAAGTTTTAAAATAGTTTAAACTATTCTTAATATAGTTAGATAGAAGTAAGTAAGTATTTTTAACTTTTTATATATTAAACTATTATTAAATATTTATAATTAAAGAGGGTTAAATATAGTAATTATTTTAAATAATATAAAACTTTTAATAATAAAATTTTTAAATTAAAATTTTTAATATTACGAATTTTCTTAATTAATTATTAGAGATTTAAAATAAGTAGAGTAAATATAATAGAGATAATAAACCTACTTATTATTAAAACTTAAATAATTAATTTTAAAAATTCTAAAAATAAAATTTCTTTTATATATATTCTTTATATTTAAAATAATTAATTAATAAAAGATATTAATATTTATATTCTTATTTAACTAAAAAATTATAATAATAGTTTAATATATAAAAAGTTAAAAATACTTATTTACTTCTATCTAACTCTATTAGAAATAGTTTAAATTTTTTTTAAATTTTTATTATATATAGATAAAAGAGTAGGAATTTAATATATATGCTTTTAAATTACTAATATTTTTGTATAATTAATTAGAAAGGGCTTGAAATTAGTCTTTTTGGTGAGAAATGCGTGTGCGCGAGGGGGGCTGTGCGTGACGTGGTACGGAACACTGACTTACCCCATCTGCAATTCACCAGCAACACCCCCCTGTCAGGGCCGTGGGGTGATCACCCGCAGGACCAACCAGTAGGTCCGTGCACTCGGCTTATCTTATCAGCCCAAGTAGCCCCCATACCTCTTGCGACGAGATTGCAGCTTCGCTGATTCCTCCGTACTATTCCTTAGGCAACCATAGCTTGAATCAACAATTCCTTACGAATAATTTAAGCCTCTTTTGCCATTGGTTGTGACCATAGCTAGCAGATACTACCCCTAAGAATATATTAATACTTTTGTGGCGATTGCAGTTGTGGCAATCCTTTGTTAGGCTTAGTCAGCAGGAGGGCATTCATCTACATAGGCCCTTCGGGCAACCCTTCGATAGTCACTACCCGTGGGTTCGCTCTCGCTCCGAGGAACCCACTTATTATATTTTATATAAATATAATATTATTATTTTTTATTTATATTAATTACTTTTTTATTTATATTTTTTTTATTATTTATTAATTAAAATTATAAAAATATAATAAATTAATTTTTTAAAATAAATAAATTAATAAATATATTTAAAATTAATATATTTATTTATTATAATTATATTATAAGTTATATAATAAAATAAAATTTGAATAAAGCTTATTTTTAAATTATTTTAATTTTTTAAATATTAATTTTAGTTTAATATTAAATAATAAATAAGATAAATATATAAAAATAATATAATATATTTCTTTTAAAAATTTATTATAAAACTTTAATCTTAGATTTTTAATACTATTTTATAAATAATGTTTTTATTATAAGTATTATAATAATATACTTTTTATATTAATATAAAATTAATTAAAGTTAATATTTATAATAATATAAATAGAAAAAAATAATAAAATTTAGTTAAACCCTAACCCTAGAATTTTATACTTATTTTATTTAAATTCCTTAAAAAATAAGGTTTATAAAACTACTTTTTTTACTTTATATTATTTTTATTTAAGTAAGTTAGACTAAGTTAAGTATAGTGTTTTATTTTTCTTAAGTGTGTGGGGGTTTTGGCCGTGTGGGGGTTTTGGCACCCCCTACGCCGGCAGGCGTAGGGGGCAACCGAAGGTCTGACCCCTGGGTACCTAGAGAGCAATCAACCATTTCCAACACCACTATTTTCCACTCTTACATACATAAGCCCAGCTAATAACTTTACTATCTATCTACTTAAAAGCTAGGTTACTATCTTTTAAAGTTAGATTAATTAAAACTTTTTAAGTATTTTTAAATTTCTTTATAATATATAAGAATTATTAACTTTAATAAAATATAAAAAGTTATTTATAAACTTTTTTAAAAGTTTATAAAGTAAAAGAAATAAACTTTTAATTATTTAAAATAATATAATAATTATTTATAAAAATAAGTAAAAGATTAATTTACTTAAATTTTATAAATAAGTTTACTTTTTTATATTATAAAATAGTTAGTTTTTAAGATATTATAAAGTAAAATTAGTTGTGTGGCTTATATACTGCCTTTAACCCACATGTACCGGGTGGATATGATAGCAACCGCGTCTTCAAGCAGTTATCTAGAATGGGCTTTGAATGCGAAACCCCTCAACGATAGGGACCTTAAGCTGTTTAATTGGCCCAGGAGCCGCCGATATGTAGTCAGCCTGCCCTTCGCTGGCCACCAACCTCCCCACCTAGTCGAAAAACAACCGGCAGCCTCTACCTCACAGTACAGAACGCACCAACCACCATCAGTCCTAATCAGTCTACCGAAACTATGACGCTCTCCAAACGCGAACGCCTCAAAGACTTCCTGAGAAACAGGAGCCGCAATCGCAGTAATGGTCCGGCCGCTCGGACCCCTGCGCCAGCTGAAGACGACAGCTCCTCGCCAGCTAATGCGTTGCGAAATCCGCCATCTTCCACCCATCTACGGACCCCAGATTGTCCAACGGGGCCGTCTCAAGATACCGGTTCGATCCCTTCTGTTATTCCAGGTCAAGCTTCGAGTTCAGCAGCCACTCCCGCCCCCGCGTCCCCCGAAACGGCAGCGTCGCAAACACAGCTTGAGGCTGATCAGTCGCTCTGGGATCGTGCCTACGAAGCTCTCCGGGACGATGATCCAGACCTAGTAGATCATTACGAGAAAATACTTTCAAATGAACTACCAGAATCAGGTATGCCTGCACCACTGTCATTTGTTCTTTACGTGCTCTGCCTGGTTGTCCGCTGTACGGCCACGGTGTGTCTCCCCAGCCTCCTACGGGACAACCTCCTACGTAGCAGTATTCCACCATATCTCCCCATAGGATGCCATAATATGACGAATATTTCTCTAGGGCAACCTCCTATGCAGTAACATAACAGCTAACAATTGACCAGTAATCAACCATGACCCGCATGCGCGCCGGGACCAGCTGAAGAGGATCACCGACCACGGCATGACAGAAGCTGACGGAAAACGGACAAAATATACCATATTTGGGCACGAATTCGTTCTAAAGGATCAGATTTCAGATGTGGCTGGTTTCGTGAAAACTGTGAAAAGCGTCGTTGACGAGGCTGTCAAGGTATCTCCAGAGGCGTCCCTCGCCTGGGCTGGCGTCTGTGTTCTCCTCCCGGTCTTCACAAATCCAAGCGTGGCAGAGGAAGCCAATCGCAATGGGCTGTCATACGTGACCTCTCGCCTCCGCTACTATGTCGAGCTCGAACCTCTGCTGTTGCCAGAAAACATCGAAAGCAAGGAATTAAGGGGAGAGTTCGAGAGGCATGTCGTCGACCTCTACCAGAAGATCCTCCAGTTCCAGATCAAGACAGTCTTACGATTCTACCGAGGTTGGCTGGCTAATATAAGTCGAGATGTGATCGGCTCTGACGATTGGGAAGGGATGGTTTCCAAAATCAAGGATCTGGAACAAACTGTGCGGGACGAATCAAACACCATGAATACCATTGCTTCGCGGGAAAGACTAGGTGACATTCACAATGCGGCACAACAACACGATAAGAAGCTACAGTCATTGTTGGCGGTCGCAGAGGAGCACCTACTAGTCTCAAAGGAGCACAGAGAAATTTCTTCCGGGCAACTTTCTGAGCATAAACAAACGAAGTATGTTTCCGAACCTCATAAACTCGTTGTTCAACAGACTAACAGTAACAATAATCTAGCCAAATCCTCGAGAATTTGTCTATAGATCTTCCTGTTGTTCATGAAGCACGCTACGACAGCGCCGACGTGCAGGACAGCCCGAAGTGTTACGACGGTACTCGTATCAGCATCAGAGACAAGATCAATCATTGGGCAGACGAAGACTCGCAAGAAACCCTACTCTGGCTTGTTGGCCCCGCGGGAACTGGAAAATCTACTCTTGCGCGCACTGTCGCCGACTTTTTTGCCAAGAAATCGCAACTAGTGGCTGCATACTTTTTCAAGAGAGGACAACAGAGCCGCAACGACACCAGTCGGATTTTCCCCACCCTTGCCGTCCAAATGATGGAAACCATTCCCTCATTCAAAGGCTGCCTGGTGAAACACTTAGACGGCTTGAGCAAAGATGCGGTAGAGAAAAAGGCTCTGGAATTCCAATTCGACAAACTTTTACGGCATCCCTTGGCAGACCTACCTCATACCCACACAAAGCAGTTGCCTATGATAATTATCATCGACGCTTTGGATGAATGTGAGCGGCCTGAACATCTTGCGGAAATACTAGGCCTCTTATCCGAGCTTCGAATCATCCCTCAGGTGCGCTTGCGCGTGATCTTAACGAGCAGATCTGCACCCAGCATCGGGAACGCCTTTGATCCGCTGCTGACGAACAACACTGCCCGACGCCTCGAGATCCACCGAGAATTCCTTCAAGACACTAAGAAAGACATCCGAATCTTCTTGGAAACCAACTTTACACAAATCAGACTCGCGCGAAAGGTCAACCAAAACCCCTGGCCGTCAGCTGAGGACATGGACCGTCTGGTCCAGTTGGCTACCAGCCCTGAACCCTTGTTCATATATGCTGCGACTCTTTGCCGGTTTGTCTATGACCAGAAGCAACCCAGAAATCCTAAAAGACAGTTGGATAAATGGCTTGTGCAGTGTGAAGACGGAAAATCCCAGTTGGATCAGATCTACAGCCCGATTCTCGCCCAGGTATTCGCCGATCACAATAATGCGGAATCTGAACAACAGCTGCAGTTCCTGGGGGCCCTTGTCCTCCTCGTGAATCCAATCTCGGCCTTCTCACTTGCGGCTGTTCTTGGAATAGACACGGATGACATCACCTGGTGGCTTTCTGAGCTACATGAAGTGTTGGACATCCCTTCTGATTCTGAAAGACCCCTTAGACTTCTGCACAAGTCATTCAGCGATTTTCTACTCGACTCGGATACTTGCAGTGCTAGCCCCTACCGAGTGGACGTCGCGAAAACACATAGTCTGTTGGCGGAAAAGTGCGTACAGCGAATGGAAGCAGGATTGAGACAAGACATCTGTGATGTCGGAGAGCTTGACGCGACAATCGACGAAGTTCCCGAAGAGCGAATGCACCGCTGCATACCTGAAGACCTCGAATACGCCTGCCTTCATTGGGTCTATCACCTAAAGAGCAGTGGACAACCTCCTAGCACCGACGTCCTCATCTTTCTCAATGAGCACTTCCTTCACTGGCTAGAAGCTTTGTCGCTTCTAGGGCGGCTCTCGGACGGAGCGCTCGCCATCGGAGGCTTGCTTGAATTCATCAAGGTTTGTCAGTCGCTCTCATAATGCAATAATCTCAAACTGACTGTTAAAGGATTTCCCTGGCACGCCCTCGGAATTTGTTGATCTTGTGAAGGATGCCAGGAGCGTCATTTCGAGTTTTGGGTCAATAATTGAGCGCGCTCCTCTCCAGACTTATGGGACATTGCTCTTCTTCACTCCAGTAGCCAGCAAAGTGCGCCAAATGTTTTGGAATCAACGCATGCCGAGGTTGGACCCTATCCAAGGGGTGAAGATGGACTGGGATGCCCACCTCCAGACCCTCGAAGGCCATGACAACTTCATCCTAGCAATTGCATTTTCACCAGACAGCCAAGTTATCGCATCAGGGTCAGGTGATGCTACCGTCCGACTTTGGAGCGCAAACACCGGTGCTCACTTGCACACGCTTGAAGGCCATAGCTCAGTTGTCAGCGCTGTCGTCTTCTTTGATAACGAGACCCTAGCATCAGGATCATATGATGGGACAGTTCGGATCTGGAATTTACCGACTAGAAAGGTTCTGCATACTCTCGATCATCGGGCGATCTTGTCCTCGCATGCCTTAACGGTGACCTCGATCTTCGAATCTATTGAATCGGCAGTATTTTTGCCAGACGGAGAGCATCTAGCATCAGCGTCGGCTTCATTCTCGGGAAAAGGCGATATTTCAATCATACTCTGGGGCCTGAAGGCCGGTGGACCTCCGGAAACCCTCTTTCAGAGCAATGGGAAGGCTTTTCAAAGAGTTGCCTTTTCAGCCGATGGCAAGCTTATGGCATCGAGTTTGTCTGACAACACAATTCAGATATGGGACTTCCCAATTGCTTCTCACCGATGCACGCTTGAAGGGCATGCTCAGGAAGTCACCGCCATGGCCTTCTCGGGCAATAATCAGCTTTTAGCATCGGGTTCCCGTGCCGGGGGCCTCCGAATGTGGAATTTGGCGGACGGGTTGCAGATACACGCGTTTCCAAGCGACAATATGTTCATCAAGAGGATCGCTTTTTCACCCGATGGTCGATTTCTAGCATCATTAGAAATTTCTGGCAACATCAACATTTGGAACGTGGCGGATGGTACCTGCCAGAACAGCCTCTCAGTACACGATGTGGCAGTTCATGCATTTGCTTTCTCGCAAGACAGCCAGCATCTTGCAGCAGGGGAGAACAATGGGATCATCAGGCTCTGGGATGCAGAAATACACACAAACCGTCAGCCTGGCGATTCGCATAGCGAGAAAATAATCAAAGTTGTCTACTCCCCTGACGGCCAACTTGCAGCGACAAATTCTGCCGATCACAGACTAAGACTATGGAACGTATCAACAGGTAAACGTCTGAGAGCGCTTAACAACGAGGACAATCGGGTTGATAGTGTTAGTTTCTCGCCTGATGGGAAGCTATTAGCATGTTGTGATAATGGCGTGGGCTGCATGCGGATTTGGAACCTGGAGAATGGCACACTCCAGCAAAAACGCGACGAGCGATATCACATTAAGTCATTCGATTACTCAGCGGACGCTCAGCTGGCAGCATTGGCTTCACTCAATACCGTCAAGCTATATAATGCCGCAACCGGCGTCGAACTGTTTACACTGGAGGGGGATGAATCCATTGTCATGCGGGTCAAGTTCTTACCCGACAGCCGTCTTCTGGCATCGATGTCAGACGACCGGATTATGAGACTCTGGGAAACGAAAACGGGCATGCTACAGCGTGTTCTTAGATGTGGCGAGCCCTATCATGCCCTTGTTTTCTCCCCTAACAGCCAGTTCTTGGTTTATAAGGATCGTGGTAGTATCATTCTACGGAACGTTAGGGTAGGCACTATACAGGAGACCATCAAGGTTGATGACAATACAATTGTCTACACCATCGCTATTTCACCCGACAACCAGCTTCTAGCGACACGAACAGGCAGTGAAGAACAGACGATTAGTCTCTGGCACAGGACGAATGACAACCTCAAGTCATGGCATCCTAGTACACTCCACATTTTCGACTTGTACATATCTGCCACAGATATCCTCTTCTCACCCGACAGTCAGATTGTGGCGGTAGCAGCGGAGGATAGGACTATCCGGCTTTGGAACACGACGGCGCATACAAACCTACTCACTATCGAGAGCCCCGACGATTTCGTCACGAAACTCAGTTTCTCCCCTGACGGACAAACCCTCGCGACAGCATCGCGAGACAAGACAGTCCATCTCTGGAACATAAGAACAGGCTCCCATCTACAAACAATGCAGCACGGCAGGGGTTTTGTGAGGGCTATCAAGTTCTTAGCCGAAGAGCTTGTGGTTTCCACATCAAGTGAGGAGGAGACCTGGTTCTGTGATCTCTGGGGCCCGATGAAGCTTGAAACTCACAAATTCTCGATTACAGCTGCCCCTGAAATTGGCACGTCAGAGTCGAGCATCGGTCGGATCAGTCTTGATGCGCGTGAAGAATGGATCACGAAGGACTCCAAAAAGGTGATCTGGCTTCCATCGGAATATCGGCCCTCAGCGTGGGCGAGGAGGGGATCCACGGTTTTCATTGGATGCGCTTCAGGTCGAGTTCTAGTGGTCCGAGACATTTGATTGTGTATATGATACTGAGCAGAGAGAACATTTCATTGCATTCTGTCCTTCTGAATACCCACACCTTCAATTCGTCGTGAAATAGACGTTTTGCATTATTCAAAGCTGTTCGCTAATTAAGCTACAACCACAATAACTACCTAGGTACGCTGTTAGAACAGGAGACAATGGATCTGTTTCGATAACACGTTAAGTCTCGAAAGATAAAGCTTCTAGTAGACTGTCAAATCTCGTGGAAACCACATTGTCTTTGAGACCACCATCTCGCACCACGTCTGTTATTGTTAGTTAGGCCGTCTCCGTCAAGGCTGAAGACACCACAAGACGCAGGCTGTTCTCCGACATGTTTTAGTCTTTCAAGGTCGCAGCACGTCATGAGTCTTGTACTTGTTCGTGTACAATATCACGATTGTCTTTCTTCATCATTTTATCAGGACATACTGTGTGTCTGTTAAGGGCTAGGTCGTGGGGAAACGGGGGTCTCATGCTGTATGAACAGGCCGCAATATACGCCTTCATGGGTTCGGACATCTACATACTGATTAAGATTGGAACCAGCCAAATCAGCCAAGAAAAATACTGACGCGAGGATATTACTCCATTGTCCATGCCCTATCAAATCCTTGATGCGTGACGCAACAAGACAAAAGAAATACAGAGATGAATCCTTTCTCCAGACACGGTCCCCAACACTTCCTCCGCTACTCACGAATCCGATCATCTCCCAGATTGCACCTCAGGCAGCAGCGAAACCGCCCCAGGTGCTCTTCAGTAGGCGAGTAACAACCAAGCCACCAACACTGCCTAATCTTCTTCATCTCCTTCGCATGATACAACCACACCGGTATCGCGCCCACCAACAACGACGGTGAGGATATGGCATCAACCTTTGCTTGTCGAACATTGGAACTACTCCGACGGCATGATGGGCATAAAAGTACCCACCCGGGCGAAACACAACGCCTCGTCATCTCACCCCCCCCCCCGCCCCAGGAACCTCGATGGCGGCCCTCCTACACCCCGGAATTGACCAACCGGCGACGGCACAATCAGTTCCCACCCACCCGAGAACCCAAGCCGTTTCGGCGCCGCGTTCAACACCATCCCTGCCCCCCGGCCAGTTGTGGGCGTCGGCAGAAGAGCCTTATGCAAACAGCGACTCTTCCTCCGTGGCGCCGTGGGCAACAACCGCCCCCCCCCACTCCCGCAGACGTATGAACGCCCTCCAAGTCGTCGCCCTCGCCGCCCTGCTCTAAGGTCTCACGGAAACGCCAAACAAACAGATAGGAGATGTACGCCATGTCCTCGGCGCGCATGGTGCTGGCTCCACCCGGCCGGCCAGCCAGCTCATCTCGGCGGCTAACTACCTAGGTACGCGGGCAGGCCATGCCTCGCGGAAACGTCTCGTGGCCGTGAGGCAATCGATGGCGTGGATGTGGTCCCTCTGATATCATGCGGCTGATTTATAGGCACCGCTGACTAGAGACGTCCTGGGTCCCGGTGAGATCCCAGTCCGCGTCGTAGGAGTCCATGGCGCGTGGCACGAGTAATCTCCAAGCCACTCTTGCAGCGCCCCGGCGGCGTGAGAGGATCGGATCGCATGAATACATATGTAGCTAGCCCTCGGCCTAGAGCGAATTCATGGCTGGCTGTCTAGCCAGAGCTGAGTGAAGAAGTGGACAGACTGACAAAACGAGGAGGCGCATGCATCTGGTCTGTGAACGGCACGGGGACGGTTGAACTACCCAGGCACGTGTGCTTAACTACTTACAACATAAATTTTGTCCCTCCGTGCAGAGGAGGGAGGTACTACACACGAAGACACTATTATTTCGCTACTCCTACGCTACGTCCACTCATTTGCTCTACTGACAAACTACACACCTGGCAGATGGCAATGTCCTAGACATCCAGATACCATAGTGCACAGCTCAGAATCTTTAACAAGTTCTCAGAGACCCATATCCCCAGCAGCATTTCCCACGCCCCTAAGTGGCGACGGCACAGACAGATCGAACGACCACGCGGATCGAGATATCAATCAACCTGACTATGAGCCCGTCATCGAAGCCCATACCTCTTCGCAACCACGAAAAACACAGTAACTCACATCACACCATCACGACGCCACTGCACTCACGAGACAATAGCATAGCATAGTCATCTATCTATCAGCCCCCCCACCAGACAGCACACATGGTCAAACCAAACAAGGAGTCGCTTGACATCCAGAACCACCTACCCACCCACCAAGACCACCCTACCCTCTCGGAGTAACAGTCCGGCCGGGACACGTATCCGCAAACGCAGGCTTCAGCTTTCCAAGGTCATCCACCTATCTGTCTATCATGCCTAACGTGCTTCTTGGCGCCGACCATGTTTTGTAGAAACTCAAAACTGAGACATTAAGACAAGAAGAAAGAGGTATAGTATAGAACAGACACCCTACAGGATGTGGAGGGGACATAGAAGCTACTACTAGTCACTGTCTTGGGAGTCCCGCGGTCCGATGGCCAGACCAGTCTTGAGTGAAGGTGGGTGTAGAGAACGACGCAGAAAGATAGGCAAGCACGTGCTGCACGTTGCATCCGACGGCGCAAAGGCAGAATTGTTTTGTTGGGAGAGACAATAATGGCGGTGGATGGAGCAGAGGTGCAGCGCATGTCAAACCAAATGGTTGAAAGTCAAAATGCTAACTTACATTGAAGCGGATCCGGTTCTGTATGGGCAGGGCAGGGCAGGGCGGTCTTCCATGCGCGTGACCGCGACCAGTCGAATCAAGAGGCGACGTTCAGATGCAAAGGCAAGGAGAGAAAAGACAACCGTATGCCGCTGCCATTGCCGTTGGGCTGCTGGCGCGCAAGGTTTCGCGCCTGCATTGCATCGCACTGAGACAGACAACGCTGCGCTGAAATGTTATGTGTGCGCTTGCTTGTGCTTGGCTCTCTCGTGCCCCATCGGGCGGACGAGGACGTGCGCCCTCTGCGGGGAATTAGATGGCATGCATGCATGCAGCCAGTCAGGTAGTCAGTCGGGCTGTGAACCTGGTCGATCGAGGGCAAGAGTGGGTAGGCCGGTCTCGCTCGCTGATACGAGACGGGGAAAAGACGATCAGTAAAAATACTGAACGAGTTGGAATCGAAATTCTAACACGACGCGCAGTGGACGGGAGCTTAAAGGTGACGTCGATGACAGCGAGAAAGCGGGTCGCCAATCCCATGTGCGTGAGTCCCAGAGGGGACGGAAGGTCCGAGATATCCTCTTACCGGGCTGGCCAAGCGGCACGATCCAATGCAGCAGGACAGCGAATGGCAGACGGATTCGGGCGATTTGAAGAAAGCCGGTTGGCCGTGCGTGGAAGTGATCATCCGCCCGTAGGGCAGAGGATGCCTGTCAGCCAGTCTGTCGCTTTTGAGATGGCAGCGCCGCGGCGCTCGCAGTTGGTCGCGGGTGCTTCTGATTTGGCTGGTACCGGCTGCGGGCGTGTCTGACGTGCAGGCCGGCGCGACCTGTGCGAGGCTCGATGAGGATGGTGTGGGTTTTGATGATGGAGGGTGGGAGTCGAACATGACTTGACAGGCGGGCTCCCGCCTGCTTGCTCTGCTCTACCTTGCAGACACCTGCGAGCGGCCGCACGTCGCTAGCCGCCACCGCATGCCCACAGGAGAGAGACATTGGGCCACGAGGACGACGAGCTGGTGCGCTGGCCCTCTTTTTCCCGTGCGCTATGTGTCGCTTGCTCATCGACGGTCTCTTCCACGCCACATACACACGTATGATACATGTACATACGTACATACGTACACAAATACATGCACACAGGCTGGGCTGGCCGGCCACCATGTACGTACCCTAGGTAGAGACTCACTCCCTGTATGGCACGCGAACAAACGGGCGGATAATTAGGACCGACTTTGGGCGCTGCGCGTGCCCACCCGGGCAGCTGCCAGGGCGGTTTGGCGCTTGGCTCTTCCAATAAGCTCGGTACCAGTGTTCGACAGCAGCTTCTTCTGCCCTGTATTCAGGGCGGATGGAGACGTTCAGGTGATCATGGGACGCTGTGGACTCCACTTTGGGGATCTGGTGGGAAAGGGGAGGAAAAGGTAGAAGCGCACAGGGGGTTGGTGGATGCCGGTGGTTGGGTGACAGCGGCACATCGTGCGATTGTGCCATGAGCCACGGTCCGCGGCCCATGGTGCTGGCCCACGAGGGGAGCCCCAGGGAGCGCCCTCATTGGCGAAGGCAGAGCAAAGTTGGTCGTGTGTGGTTGCGCGCGGCGAGGGCAGTGGGCCCGGGTGCGATGACGACGGTAGGGCGAGCCAGGTATGCACGGTAGCAACAAGGATTGGTGGCCGGGTGTTGCCATGAAGTGTGAGTTGGCATGTGTCCGAGTCGGTGGCCGCCCGGCCTTGGCCCGGGTCAGGTCTGGCAGAGGCTGGAAGGCTGGCAGGCTGGCAGGCTGGCAGGCTGGCAGGTCTGGCGGGAGACTTTTTTTTTTTTTGGATTGAATGTGGCCGAGTGGATGTGCAGTCTGGCGGCTGGCCAATCGGCAGCAGACACGCCACACCTCCTGCTCCTCATGTTCTGCTCTCCTCTTTCAGTCATCGTCCCGGGAGGAGGCAGGCGGCAGTAAAGTGAGAGACAAGTGACAGACTAGCAGAGCAGATGGATGTAGTGGTTCCGTCCCGGCACGGGTCATTCCATGCCCTGGTAGTCGGGACTGGACGGGACTGGCCTGGTGGTGCTTGTTGAGCTGGCTGGCGCTGGCGCTGGTGCAGGACGGGAAATATGCGCATTGCGCATTGTTGGCTCAGGATGGGAAACATGGCACGGGCATGTTGTTTAATCTAATCTACAACAGCAGTGCTGCTGTAAGCCAGTGAGCCAGTGGCAGAGGACCTCCGTAGAGTGGCCAGGCCAGGCCAAGCTGAGGACAATGCAATGCACTGCCAAGTCACCAACGAGCCGTTTTGGCGGCGGGAAGAGGCGAGGCGAAGCTTGCCTTGGGGGTCAGACCCCTCTGCCCCTCAGCCTCTGCCTCTGGGGGTCCGCAGTTTGTCGCCTAGTCTACCCAGGTATGTGATATTCTGGTCCGTGGTCTGTACCGTACAGTAGTGTCGTCGTGGTAATACGTCGCCTGCCTGTCGTCTTCCGGGCTGGCCGGGGCATTTTGCAGGAACAACGAACCATCGGTTCCGACCACTAGCCCCAGGAGGATTGCATGAACGTGAACTCTCCCTGGCGTCAACTGGCTGACTGGTCGTCGACCTGCCGACCTGTTTCTGCGGTCTGGCTGGCTGGCAGCCTGCGGTCAGCGGCCAGCGGTCAGGCCTTGTGCGGGCGGCCGCGATGAGCTGTCAGTCATGATTGACCGAGGGGTCCCCTGGCCTGCCTGGCAGCCTGGCAGCGCGGTCGGATGGACGGGTGCGGGTGGGCGACAAGGGCGAGTGGGCGAGTCTGAGTGTCTCTCAACAGTGTGCGGTAGAGATTGAGTTTGAGAGGGCCTGCAACGGGTCCGCGGGTGTGGTCACGGCCCATGACGGGTTGCGGGTGTCCTGATCGCCAGTTGGGCCCTTGAGCCCGTCGCTGCCCTCCCTGCCCTTGCTTGGTCGGTCGTCTCTGTCCGTCTCTTGTCCGTCTCCCTCTCCCTCTCTCAGCCCTTGATCCATCCACCCATCATCGGACCCTGAACCAGCTGAACTCAATTTGCCACGGGGTCGATGGCTCATGCTCTCACGCTGGCATGTTCATGCTCGTCCAGCAGAACAGCCTGGGCATTCAGGGCAGTCCCATGAAGGCGGCAGGGCTGACAATCTACCGGACAGCCGGTCGAGGGAAAAAGAAGGAGAAGGACGGGGAGGAGGCGTGGAAGTTAGGACGGGACTAGCACGCTGGCATCCTAACGTCTCCGAGTCGATGGGTCGCGGCGGGACAGTACCGAACCCTCTTTCGAGGGCGTGCACAGGGAGGGCCCCAGCCTCGGGTAGGACTGCTGGCAGGCCATGTCGGCGGCTTGTTGTGCTGAGTGAGGATCATCCTGGCGTGGGCTGGTTGTGGTTGCCAGCGCATCCAAATCACAGACAACATTTTTCTTTCATTTTTGGAATTCGGGTTAGGCTACGTTCAGGCTACGGGTGGTTTTTTTTTTTTTTTGGAGGGGCGGAAGGGAAGGAAGGCATGGCCTGCATGGCAAAGGCAAGGGAAGGAAGGCCGTTGCACAGTAGTGTGTGCGGGAGGGATTGTGGATTTGGGTGGGTTGTGGAGACTCTGTAGCTACATAGGAGAGTACTGTGGTACTTCCAAGTTCTCGCCTTCCTTCCATGCTGCCTACTGCGTACAGATTACTGTCCACTGCCAGAACTGCCAGAACTGCCTACTGCCTCCTGCCTGGCTGCAAGGACGGGCTGCACACAACAACAACAGCAACAATATGTGGCTGGCTCTACTCTGCTCCGCTGGCTGCACCTGCACCTCCCCTCCTCCCCAAATCGCGCAGTCAGTCGTGAGAAAAATCCAACCAGACAACTCACATCCCCTCAGGCAGGGCAGCACTTGCAGGTCAGCACTGGACCCGACCGACCACTCTCGACCCCTCATCCCTGTCCGCTGCTACCCCACGTTTTACAACGCAGCAACCACGGAAAACAAAGCACACGGGCAGGCGGGCAGGCGCTGCTCGACGCCCTGCCCTGCCTGCTCTGCACGTGTGGGTGGGTGAATACAGACAGTGAGAGGAGAGAAAGAAAGAAGGAGAGAGAGAGAGAGAGGAGAGAGGCGTGATGAGTTGTTGCCCTCTGCTTGCTGCGATCCCCCTACCTAGGGCTACCTAGGTACCTCCCCCTCTCCTGCTGCCCCTCCCTGTCGCCTGCCTTCCTTCCTACTGCCTCCCGCCTCCCGCCTCCCGCCTCCTGCCTCCTGCTTCCTGCCTCCCTGCGTCTCCAACCTCGGAAGGACGCTAGGCTAGCTAGCAGGGCGGTAGCTACCAGCCGCATCACCCACTTAGGTACTGTGCCCTATGTACCTCCGTACTCCGTTACCCCCCCTGCTCCCCCAGTTGCCAGCTGCCAGCCCACCAACCCCCCAACGTTCTTTCCCTCTACTGTAATAAGCTCCCGAGGCCTCAACCCGGCTAGCCGCTTTGCCCTCTGGTCGCCCGAGGGTTGTTTGGCTGTCCAGGTACACCCCGACCTTCTGGGCATGGGCAGCATAGTCCACCTAGCTTCGAGTCCCTCTGTCGCCTCCATCGCAGCCGTCGCAAGCTGGCTGGCCTACACAATCAGATAGTGCTGCTATTGTTTGTCACTGCTGCACTCTGCAAGCTGCACTCTGCACTCTGCCTGCAGTCTGCAGTCTGTGGATCTATAACTGCCCAGGGTACTCCGTACTCCGTACTCGGGTACTCGTGCGGGTACTTGGATACATCATTCCTTCCTTCCTACATGTATCCATAATACTGCTGTGCAAGTCGCCAACCACGCGATTTCCCGCCGCCTCCTTCCATTTCCACTTGCACCCTACCCTGCTCAGTCCTCACCGACACCCGCTTCGAGACTTGTGCGAGTGGGCGGGAATAAATCTAATATCCTCAGCCTCAACTCCCACCTCTGTCTGTTCTCCCGACTTATTCGTGTCTGTCTTGTCTGTTCGTCTGTCTGATCTAGTCTGGAACTTGTTGACGACCACACGACCACCCGACCCACGACCACTCGACGGGCGACCACGACCAGGATCGTCGCGGGTTGTTGTCAGCCAATACCACCCGCTCCTGCGACGACGACGTCAATCCAATTTGGCTGTCTGCCCGCCCGCCTGCCTGCCTGTCTTGGTTCTCCACCCAAGACACAGTCGCGACAACAGACACACAATAAACAGCCACCCCAACTACTAGTATATACCTCGCAGATGACCTGGGCCGAGATCGAGTAGACGCACGACAACGCACGACAACACACCTCCCACACGCCTCCCGCGCCTCTTAGATCCATCCGTCCAAGCCCGTCCAATCTTGGACTCCCACGCTGCACACCTGTCGTGCTCCCTCCCCCGACAGCCCTGACCGCCGCCCGCCGCCCGCCCCTCGAACCTCAATTCAGCCTCCAGCCCTCCAGTCCTGTCACTGTCAGCCCTTTTTATGCTGGCAGTGATCCAGGGCCCTCGCTCCATGGGCGCGCCATGTTCTCCATGCAACGATCCCTCTCTTCGCCCGTCCTGCACGCCTCCGAGCCTGCCCGTATGTTCCACCACACCACCTCAGACTCAAGCTGTACATTTTCTACCCATCTCGTCCTCCCCCTCCCTCAACTCGTCCCCCTTCTGCTGCAGCCCTACCACCGCCTGAACCCGTCCGCCCCGTCTTGCCTGTCACTTGTCCAGCGAGGCTGACCAGCCCACTCGCCAGCAGCTCCTCCCCCGGAAAGGTCGTCAACTCCTCCCTCTCCAGAGCGTCATGTCGAGTCCTCTGTCCCTCGACGAGAACACCCCAGCAGCCCCTCATTGTCCGACATATCTCCAGGCACCTCCCGCGACAGCGAGATGCCACTGCCCACACGCCACAGCGACGACCTCCCGCGGCCCAAGAGCGCCATACAAACTACGAGCCCCATCTTTAGAAAGGCCATAGTCGCCCAGCCCTCGCCTCCCCTCGCCTCCCCGACTCCCGCCTCCAACAACACAGACCCGGCCCAGAACAATGCTGCGCGCGATGAGCCCCAGCAGCAGAGGCTCCCTTCCGCCCTGAGGGCCCCCGTCAAGATCCCCCAGCCGCTCATCACCGACGCCTCCCTCTATACAAACCCGTATCTGGCCCCAGTTGACGCGGCAGAGAGCACCTCGTTAGACGAGCTCGCCCACCTGGTCCGCTTGTCCAAGTACCAGGAGCGCAAGCGCGCCAACACCAGGATTCGCCTGCAGCGTACCTTGGTCTCCACCGCCCTCTCTGCCCGCCTTACCCGCTGCGGCGAGATCGCCCAGAGGAACCTGGCCGAGTGCTTCCGCACCGAGGACAAGAAGACCTTTGCCGCCCTCTATGGCGCCGTCCAGGATGTCCGCAAGAGCTGCGACGAGGTCAGGAGGTACGCCCTCCTCGAGCCAGAGGTGGAGCTGCTACATTCCTCCGGGATGGTGTCGTCCGAAAGTTTGGAAACACCCACCGGCTCCGTCGTCGCCGCCGGCCCCATGGCTGGCTCGACAGTCCCCTTCCTCCACGACATCTCGGCCGATGCCAGGGAGACATTGCTCAGTTTCCTGTCCAAGATCAGGAACGACCCGGACTACCTGGCCACCCGGATATGCTCCCTGTCCAACTCGGAACGTGCCGCCATCACCAACTTCCACTCCGGCTTGGATCCCGTCGAGTCCGTCCTGCCGCTCTACAATAAGCCACACATGCGCGGTCCTGGCGCCTCCAACAGGCACCTGTCTAACAATCCCAGCCCGGTTGAGCGCTTGTTGTCCTTCCAGAGACACGATGCCCTGTCTGCACTCATCTACACGTGCTTTGCTAATTCAGCAGGTCCCGACAGCGCCGAGGATAAGCGCCGGACCGATGTCTGGGCCAACGCGTGCGCGCGCCTCATCTCCAAGTCCGCCACGGAATCCAAGTCTGGAAATGAGAACGTGCCCATCGAGCCCGTCCTCATCCACGTCCTGAACGTTTGGTCAAGCATGCGCGACTGGGCAGGCCGCTCAAACATGGAATGGTACCTCATGAAGATCCTCGAGGATGGCGCATTTCTTTTGGACCGCGCCGAGGACCAGCATGGCACCCGCTTCAACATCTCGGATTGGACGTCCAAGGACCAAATTGCGGCCGATGAGTTCTATGATCGTGCTACTGACGAGCTTTTTGACATCCTGGACGATGAGGACGCCACTGGTCTCCCAGAGGGCCTGCTCGAGATAGGGAACCAGATCCTCAGGCGCCTGGACCACAAGTATGTCGACAGCACCAGGAAGTGGTTCGTCTACAAGTGGCTCTTCTCCGTCTGGCTGCTAGGTGTCGTCGTCCATCCAGAAACCCATGGGATGATGACCGACTACCACATCACCGAGTACGGCAGGCAGAAGATCCTCAAACAGGTCGCCATGAGGGCCTCCAGCGTCGTCGTAGACATGCTTTGGAAGACCGGACCGGTCTCGACACCCCCCAAGGTCAAGGCCCACGTTGAGAACATCCTCGGTCGTTTCAAAAACTCCCGCTACAGGCCCCGCCCGAGGCTGCTCAAGGCCAGGTCCATCACATCGCTGCGGGAAACTGCCGAGGTGCATCCGTATCTCGTTGTGAGCCCTGCGGATTTGGTCACACTCGTCAACGCTCTCTTCCCCGAGAAGAGGCCGATGTCGTCCGCCTCCATCCGGTCTGGTGCCCCTTCTATTTCCGGCATGTCTACCATGTCCCAGCCCATGTCGATGGCCACTTCGAGGAGCAACAATTTTGAGACAGCTTCCATCATCAGCACAAGTGTGTCTTCCGTCCTCAGTGACACAAGCACAGCAGCAGAGACAACCATCGAGCAGCAGGCTACTGGCACCTCAGCGAGATCCTCGCCCCCACTTGGTGCTCGCCCGAGCCAGGAGTATATGAGTAACTATGAGGATGACGGCTACCGGCTCCGCCTTGCCCTCCACGAGATGACCCAGATCCTTGGTGTCGATACGTGCTGCGGGTCATGCCACCCGTGTGCTGAGCGATGGGCCGTGCTTTTCATCTCTTCGGATGGGAAATCACTTTCTACACAGATGACCTACGATCCGGATGACGAACACGAACCAGAGGAGGAGAACTCTTCTTCCCTGAGCGAGACTGACGAGGATGACCTGGACGATGACCGGCCGGAGCTCGACAAGGACTATCACCAACTTCGTGACTCGATCCTGAAACTTGTTGAGGACTTTGAGATCCCCCAGACCTCAGACCAGGGCACTGGAAAGTTCAGCAACAGGACGTCCACACTGAAGAAGTACCGTTCCAAGAACAAGATCATCACAACGGAGAGGGCAAGGCCCGGGAGCCCCAGTCGGAATCCATACCGACGAAAGGTAACGGGTCATGACAGTCCTGTGAGGACCGCCTCGCCGCTCGGCGCTGGCGAGAAAGGCAAGGAGGTGGAAGGCAGAGGACAGGAGTCGCCTGAAACGACGCCGGTTCTCGTTGCCATGCTCCAGGCTGCCGCGGCTCAAGCTCGGGCGCAGTCGGATTTTGTCGGGTCTCTCTCGTATTTCAGGACGCTGCAACAGCTCAATGCCCTGTCTTCGACATCTCTTCGAGCGGACGGATTTGCGACATTGTTGAACATCTTCAGCAGAGGGCCCCGAGACTCAATCCGACGTTCTGCGTCCGCAATCGAGGAATACGACGCCTGGCTTGTCTGGCTCAAGCAATCGCAGGAACGCGCTGAGGGTGTAATTGACTCCATGATGCGGCGTTTGCGAGCGCTGCGCGACAAGATGTGGTACATTACCGATGTGCAGAACTCGAAGCCATACGAGTATTCTCGCAACATTGCCGTTGCTCTCAAGGCGATGGCCACGCGGCACAAGCGCAACAGCTACGGTCGAAGCCGGAGCATGCTTCGTGGAACTGCCACTGCGTATCTCCACCGCACCGAGTCCCAAATTATTGACCTCATAGCTGCGAATGAAGAACGAGGTGGCCCAAACAAGCTTTCTGATGACCAGGCGGAAAAGACTTCACGTTTCCTGGAGGAATACGGGATCGAGAACTTCTGCCGCGGCGAGGAGCGTATCCATCGATTCTGCTGCGAGGTCAAATCATGCATTGGCAAGCTCGTCGGCGACAACATGATGGATGGGCCGGTGCTCTGGAGCAGCGAGCTGTATCTCCGCGACAAGAAATTGCTCGAGGCCCCAGCTGCACGGAGAGATGCACCCCTCTCCTCTTTCCACAACGACGACGCTAGCAGCATCATGAGCGACTCGGAGAGGCGGTTCACACCTGCGTCAAGCAGGCCAGGCTCACTGGCAAGAGACTTGAGGGGCATGTCATCAATTGCAAGCTTTGACTCGGCACGCTACGGATACTCGCGTGCCAGCACGGCGATGAGCGACATCATGGACTCGGGGGAGTACTTTGGGCATTCCTCGCCCGTGCACACCATAGACAGCGCATCGACATATTGGTCGCCCTTCCAGTCCATCACATCAGCAAGCTCGACGACCTCCCGCGCTCACAGTCCCACCACGAGCATCACCAATTTCAGTGGTTCTATGTGCGGGCCACATGGCCATGCAAACCACGGCCTTGCTCGTCCAGGCACGTCAGTGTCCAACAGTGATACGATTCAACAGCAGCGGCTGAATGACGACAAGACAAGGTTCCTCAACGACCTCCGGCAGACCTTGACGAGCTTGTTGCTTAGCGACCTTGGGAACCTGATCTTCTCCAGGGGGTCCGAAACAGACGGCTGGTTCGAGGACCTCGGCCAGGACTGTATCGACCGCCGCGATGCTCAGGAGAGGAAGGCCAAGAAGAGGCGGTCCAGGCTCCGGGTCATTGCGCGAAAGGAGAGCTTCGGGAACCTGCGAGACGCCAACAATGCTGCAGATGCAGCAGCTCTTAACCAGAGCACGTCCGAGTCGCAGCCCGCGACTGGTGCTCAACCAACCCGGGACAATGAGAGTTCCGCGACTAGCGATACGTTGCCGGGCAAGAAGTCCTCGAAACCCAGCCGCGAAAACCTGGCGGAATTCCCATTCAATGGAGCCTACCAGCGGCTGTTGAGGATGTTCTGTGTCCACCCAGACCCATACGCCAAGCTCAACGCCCTCTACGAGCTGGAGCATCTTATTGTTGCATCCCTGTCTTCTGGGACTACTCGCCGCAGGTTCGGATGGCTGCGCTCGCCGGAGCTCGAAGCAGAGAAATACGGCCAAGGAGGTCACTGCCGGCCGTTCGAGGAGGCAATCGACAACCTTCGCGAGCGCAGGTCCCTGACACTCCAACCGCCCGGCATCGGAGGCAATCGCATGCCGAGCGGCAACCTCAACTCGGAAACCCGGTCTGTCGTCAACACGTCCTCGGTAGCCTCCAACACCGACGCCGTCGCTACAGTGCTGCAACAGCTGTTCCGCAGCGCAGAAATCCGACCGGCGACGCTCTTCCGTGACCTCCAGTTCATCGCCAGCTTCGTGCCTGCCAGCATCCTTGACAAGACCGACCGCGGCAAGGCCTTTTGGGACTGCGCGATTGCCGCCCTGGGCCTCAAGCAGGAGGTCTGCAGGACCATGGTCGAGATGGCAGATGAACTCGTCGGTGTGTACACTCAGACCAGGCGAGGCAACCCGCCGCCGCCGCCGGAGAGCACGGCTAGCTCGTCGATCAACGGCGAGGACGAGGCTCGCGCGCAGAGGCCTTCGCCGACCGCTGAACAGCAGGCCTCTCGCACGGCTTCGACCAGCCCACCCACGCCGCCGCCGCCGAGCACGACGTACCGTCTCGAAGACGCGGCGCGCATGTGGACCATCACCGCCAAGGAGGGTGACCCGACGAGCCAGAGGGAGCTTGCGCTCTTCTATCTGTCCAACCCGGAGCTGGTTGACCGGACCACCCTGCCGCTGTCCAAGCCCCGCGAGGTCTTCAAGGAGGCCATCATGGACAAGTATGGCGGGGGCTATGGCGCGCGCATTGGTGCCGGGCAGCCTCATCGTCCAGGTACCGCAGGCCATGGCCAGGGTACGGACGGAGGCAGGCGAGACGTCAGGAGTGATGGTGGGCTGATGTGTGTTGCCATCCACTGGATGGAGGCCGCCGAGCAGGGCGGCGACGAGCTCGCCAGGACGTTCCTTGGTCAAAATGACCTCGGACTGTAAGTAAGTGAGGGTGTATCCCTGGCAGGGGTGCTAATAAGAAGCGAGCGCAGTGAGAGAGGGATCCGGCTCAAGGCGTTGGTGTCGTTTGCATTACCATTTACGTTACCATGCGCGCACGCAATTTGCATACATGTCTAGGGTATCTAGGCCGATCTGTATGTGGGCGTTTTATTTGGCCGGATGACGAATATCTGAGCGGCACACACGATATCATGACAGGATTTGATGACTGGGTTCAAGGGAAAGGAAACTGAAGCATTTACGACGTTGCCCCTGCCAGCTGTTCCCTGCTGGTGGGTAGGATTGATTTTCGAGCTCTCCTTGTCTTCTTCCATTCTTAATCTGTTTCGGCTCGGTTGCTGGGCAGCTCGATTGGTAATATGTTTTTGAATTTGTTTGTCATGACAATCTTGTATCTATTTACATAACTTATTATACCCCTTATACAGCGTCAATAGATACAGAGCCATTGCTCTTTTTTGGATGGAGACAAATGGATGCGCGTTTTGCAAAGATGTGTATGTGTACAGGCTTGTTGACCTTGTTGTATGATGCGTGTATTCCTGTGTCTTTGTCTCTCTCTGTGCGCTCGTGTGAATGAGTACGTACGTTCGCGTGTGTCTGCACACGGACAAAGGTTGCCGAGACTCCCCCCCCCCTCGTAACACAGATAGATACCCTGAGGTAAGATGGAACTTCCCACCAACACGTGCATGTGCATGTGCATGCAGCACGGCGGCGTGGCGATCTGGATCTGGATCGGAATCTGGATCGGAATGAAGAAAGGCCGGGCCAGGGGCAGATTGATTACTAGGGTGCTGCTTCTGTTATTTCTTCTGCCTGCTGGTGCCTGGCTCCCTGGGCTCCCCGTCGGCTGGATCCCCGTCAGCTTAGCTAGGTAGCTGCATGTCTCACTCGCACATTGCATCGGACCGCAGGATCAGCCCAGGGAAGGAATATTTGAACCCCTTGGGTCTCGGCCGGCTGTTCCGGTCGGGCCCTCTCCTCAGCCTCAAATTTGACACAGAGACACCTGGGCAGGGATAGATAGATCGATCGTTAACAACCCACCCCGTCCAGCACTCACTCACTCGCCTCGCTCGCAGCCACCAGCCACGGTGCGGCCGGCAGAACCAGATGTGGCGGGATCGAGGCGGAATTGGATGGACACCGAGGCGGTGGGTCGGATGGATCTTCAGGGACCCGTGCGGCGGCGTGTCTTATTTTCTTCTTCGTTTTCCTTTGTTGGGATCTGCTCTGCTCTGTGGGCTGTCCTTCCTCTTCTTCCTGTTTCTCTCCCTCGTGCTGTCTCTCGGAGTCTGAGTCGCTTGCTGTACACGGGTTGGCGGACAGGTAGGTAGGTGGGTAGGTTTGTGTCTTTGGTCTTGTCCATTCGGTCGGCTGAATGATGGGTGTGTCTCCTTCTCAGACAGACAGGCGGACAGACAGACAGACACACATACGCTGACAGGGCAGAGACACGCACGAGCTGGAACGCCCGTGGACCAAATACTGATAAACGCCGTGCCGGATCTTGATCGGGAAATTAACTGCACATGTGCTTTTTGTTTCTGTTTTTTCTTTTCCGTTCTTTTTCCTCCCCTTGTTTCTTCAGCGCCTGCTTCAGATCCGGACCACCACCGTCATCTCATCTCATCTGTCATCATCATCATCACCTGCGCGAGGAGGCGTCGTGGCACCCGCCGCCCCGGCGCCCTTGGTGTCGTGCATGGCCCTGACGCGGCGCTGCACCCACTCGTAGCAGCTGACCTCGTCGTAGCGCCTCACGCGGCCCGGGGAGGCGGCGACGCAGCTGTCGAGGACGGCGCAGGACTCGTCCATGTTGAAGCCGAAGAAGAAGGGCATGCTGACGCGCTCGCGGCCCCCGCCCCCGGTGCTGCTGCTGCTGCTGTTGTTGATGGCCCGGTGCACCGTCGACACGTACAGGTCGTTGGTGATGCGCTGCAGGTAATCCGCGATGTTGACGACAAAGGTCCCCGGGATGGGGGGCGCGTTGAGCCACTGGCCCGAGCGGGAGAGGACCTGCAGCCCGGGCACGGTGTCCTGGTGGAGGATCGTGAAGAGCTGGAAGTCTGTGTGGGAGCCTATTGAGACTTCTTGTTGTTCCTGGTCCTGTTGCTGCTGGGTAGTGTGTGGTGGTGGCGAGGGCGAGGGCGAGGGCGAGGGCGAGGGCGGGTGTTGCTGGCCCGGGGACTGTGGAGGGGTCGGGGGCAGCGGGGGGTAGTAGTTCAGGGCGAGGGCGGCGTCCGGGTGCGTCACCTTGCCGTCGAAGAAGGTCTCGTCCAGCTCGAGGGAGAGGGCGAAGCAGCGCACGAGGGCGCGGGCCAGGGCGAGGCAGGACCGCCAGTATGCCATGACGGCGGGGGCGAAGTGCGGGACTGTCCTCGTCCGGGACCAGGGGAAGCGCCTGTGAGGATCGTCGTCGTCGTCGTCGTCGTGGTGGCCGGCATCAGCATCCTCGTCGGCGTCCGGCTCGATGCGCAGGAAGGACCTCACCCTCGGCGGGAGGGACCCGAGCGACGGCACGGCCGGGTCGCAGCGCGGGTCGTAGGTCCAGCTGAAGGTCTCGCGGTTGTCGACGCCCTCGGCCGGGTTGATGCGCTGGGAGCGGGGCGGCTTGTAGCCGTTGAAGTAGGCGGACTGCGCGGCGCCGGCGCGGTCCTTGACGTCCTGGGGCTGGCGGAAGAAGGCGAGGCAGGCGTCGTGGGCGGCGTCCGTGATGTCCCGAGGGATGCCGTGGTTGCGGATGTAGAAGAAGCCGTTGTTGGTCGCCGCGGCGTGGACCCGGCGGGCCACGGCCCTGCGGGACTCGAGGGACGGGCTGAAGATGGCCGAGATGTCGATTATGGGGATCTCGGAGGGGGTTGCGTCGCGGGGCGGGGCGCGGAGGACGGTGCGGTAGACGGGGCCGTTGCCTGAGGAGAGCTGGAGCTGGAAGGTCTCGTCTGTGCTGGTGTTGGTGTCCTTGTTGTTGTTGTTGTTGTTGCCGAGGCCCACTTGCAGCGGTGCCGGGCGGGATGGTGGAGGGGGTGCCGTTTGTATGGCCATGTTTTTGGGGAGGAGATGGGATCGTTTAGGTTCAGTTTGGGTGCATGCGTGAAGAGGAAGAGGAAGAGGAAGAGGCAGAGGATGTGGTTGAAGGGATACGACCCGGACGGCTCGTTCAGATAATGCAGTGGGGAGCGTTGGGATGGTATGATTCTTTGGCGGCGGGTCTTCCGGCGTGGGGGAGGAGTTACAGCATGATATATATTCCAGTTACACCCGTGGCAGAGCAGCAAACATCGCAACCTGTCCCGGGCGCCGTGCTCCGTCGAACAGGTGGCCGTCAGAGGCGGTTGTTGTGGACGCGAAGACTGACACTGAGCCATACACACACACAGACACGCACGCACCACACCCACTCACTTCCCCCACACCGGAGCTGTGTACCAAACTCAAAATCATGGAACTAACTACGTAGCCCGGGGTCGGCCTGGAGTCTAAGCCAAGTCCAGGTGGCTCAGGGCTCAGCCGGCGCTCACCGGGTGGAGTTTGTCTCGATAAGATGTGACAGAAAACCACCCCCAAAAGCCATACCTGCGGCGAGGCTTCTGATGGGTTCCGGAGGCGGCCGCTTCCGTTGTGGCTCCCCCGTGTTGGCCCGCCCGGATTGTCCATTCACTGCCTCTCTCAGATTTCTGGCCCTGGTGGGCGCTCCCACGGTATGACAGTCCCGCTGCTGCTCCACCGCGCCGGGCCTGTGGGGGTGTTGGGTTGCAGTGGCTTTTTCCCTTCCCACCGACTGGTCCCTCCTGGCTTGGCCTTTTTCCCACACACACAATCCGCCGCGGGGCGGAGGCAAATCGGTCAGTTGGACTCCTCGTGAGTCCGGAAGGGGGGGCAGCCGAATTATTGGCTCATGGCAACGACAGCGTGAGGAAAGCCAATGGCTATATATTAGATTCCCCCATCTTCTTTTGCTGTTCCTGACTGACCCTTCTCCCCCGCCCAAGCCTGGTTCTGAGTTTATCTCACTAGTCCCGGCCACATGTTCTTGATCGCTTGCTCTAGTAGCTTCCCACGTGAGTTGTTCCAGATAGCCGGATCCCTTGTCTAAGACATCGGGGCTCACCCCACGACGTAAATGGCGTAATTTTGGTTCGCCAGGTGCAACATTACATCTCGTAGCTGATCGCGACGGAAATTTTATTGTGCCGCGTTTTTATGGTTATCTCTAGGCGCCACGGGTCTTTTTGAGGAGAAAAAAACAAAAGAACATGCCACTGGCTTTTGGCCTTTTTCATTATTTATTACCCGTGGTCTAAATGTTGACCTCGGAATGTTTACTTGTGCATTGGCTTATTTGATGCACCGAGGCCGGAATATTGGCCCTTCTGGATCGTATCTTGGCATTGCTGGACATGTCCGTGTGACCATTGTCTGGGCCATGAACAGATGCACGGGTGTTACAAGGTTCACCGACAATTACTCGTAACAACCGTGCAAGGCAGTGCGACGGGGTGTCAACGCTGTGTGTCATTGAGAATGCTTGGTGCTAAATCTCCGTGCAACTCGTGGTCTCTGACACGAGGATATAGCACGACTGTACACGAGCAGGTGTCATGTAGGAAACACTGCTGTCAATGACACAATGTTGCGCCATGCCGTGTACCGGCAAATCTAGTCTGCAACTACAAACACTCAGCAGTGTGCAGCTTTGCCTCTCTGAGTGGGTCAGCACCACTCACGGTCGTCCGCGACTGCATCTGCCCGAAGGGTTCGTCTTTGGTGATGGCAAAAAGGTTCTCAATTATATCACTCACGTTGAGACTCGGTCGGACAGTACAAAATCGACATGGGCACGCTCTCGGGCTTATAGGCCACTGTGAGTCAGTACGACAGAGAATCACGTCATGAAGACTACGCCTGGCTGATACATGCTACTGCCGTCTGGATATTCGTTGATTGTGAGATGGGTTGTAGTGGATCTGGTTCGGCATAGTATACATGTTTACAGGTCTGACGGTGTTGGGTAATTGCAGTAGATAGCTAACTTCGAAACGTCCTTTTGTCGCTTTGGTACTTGCTGGTGGATGCCCGCTGCTTGCATAGAATCACATACTAGTATGGGCCACTCATGGTCATATATTGGATGTTATCCTTGTTCTCCAAGTAATGATGAGAGATGATGATGAAAAAAACAAGTATTTTATGTGCTGCGCGTATCTCTTCGGAGCTTTGTTCACAGCTTGAACAAGCTGCCGAATCGGCAGCGAAACCGGCACTGATAACAATGATGTGATTGGAACTTGGGAGCGGGGGACATCCCGAGAACACCGCCCTTTTCTGGTTCTGGCACCCAACGTTCGGCTTTGCTTGTTAGCCATACGTATTGCATCGTTTCTGCAGCGGCTTCTGGCACTGAACTCGGTCGTTAGGAGACAGACAGATGGCGGACGCCGCAGTGTTCGCCCCAGCCGGATCGGCTTTGCCTCCGAGCTTCAAGGTGACCCACACCACGCCCTAGAAGCAAGACTTCAGGAGACACTTACATCCATGGATGCTGATCAACAGATCCCAGGACGAGAGCCAATATGTATACTTCCACTCGGGGGCCGAAGCTACATATCGGAAAGTGGCCGAGCACCCTTCATCCTTCACCACAATCCCAGTCATCGACTTGGCTGAGCTAGACAGCCCTTCTCTCGAGGCAAGGAAAAGGATCGCCAAGAATATCTACGATGCCTGCTCTCAATGTGGGTTCTTCTACATTGAGAACCATGGGGTCTCCCAACACATCATCTCCGAGACCCTAGGTCTACTTAGGCGATTCTTCGCATTGGACCTCGACGCCAAGATGGACGCCCACGTACAAAAGAATCCTGCTATTCGTGGTTACGAGCCAATGCTTGAGACGAGAAATGACCCTCGAACCAAGGGCGGCAAGTATTCAACCTGCACACACAGCTCGAGACTCAGGACACTAACTGTGCCGTGTAGACATGAAAGAGGCCTTCACGATGGGCGACTGCGTGATAGAACCCGAGCAGGATTACATCGGCAAGACGGGCCACGAGCCGCCATCTCACATCACCAAGCCGCAGAACATCTGGCCTTCCAGTGCACCCTGGTGGCGCCAGGGACTGTATCGATATTATGACAACGTGCTCCCCCTGGCCATGAAGCTCGTGGGGATATTTGCACTCGCCTTCGGCCTGGACGAGACGGCTTTCGACAAGGACTTCCAGTTCCCCATCACGGGCATGAGAGCCCTGTATTACCCACCCACCCCAGCCGATGACGAGCAGCCCAGCATTGGACTTGGTGCGCATGCCGACTTTTCATGTGAGTTCAGCTAGGCCAGACACAGGGATACGTGTACCTCAAGCAGAAAGTAAAAGAAGCTGACGCCAGCCGCCCCAGGGCTCACGCTCGTCCTGCAGGACTCGGTCCCCGCCCTCGAGGTCCTGAACCAGGACGGCGTCTGGGTCGACGCGCCGCCGAGGCCCGGCACCTTCGTCTGCAACGTCGGCCAGTACCTCGAGAGGCAGTCCAACGGGAGGTTCCAGGCGACCGTCCACCGGGTCAGGAACAGGACGGGCCGTGAGCGGTATTCCCTCCCGTTCTTCCTCACGCCCGATCCGGACGTGGATCTCGAGGTGTTGCCGTGCTGCGTCGACGAGGGTGAGGCTCCCAAGTACGAGACCATCAACGTGGGTGATTTGTACATTAGGAAGGTCTTGCCCGCCAGAGATAAGCACCCGACCAGTATCAAGTATAAGGATGTGCCTGAGGAGGAGTGGACGTATGATTTGTTGCTCACTTGAACAATTTGGTATGGGTAATAAATGGGACTGAGGTGCGGCTGGGGTGAGAGCTCCTTGCTAACTTGATTTGGCTCGAGTCAGCTGCAGTCTGGTGTGGCTGTCTACTGCATGTGTTGTAGCTGGGCGATAGTGGCGGGGGCAGTGCATGACACCTCACCAGCCAGGGATTCTGCCTAGCCGCCTAGACTGCTATATTACTAGACTATCTTGCCTTTTTCATAAACTTATGTGACTTTTGCTTTTATATTGCAATATTTCCGACCAAATGGATCCCGAAGACGTAGCCGCTTTCCTCGACAAAATCCACACGACGGAGGAGTCCCGAGCCGACATATTGCGACTTGTGCCTTCTGAGGATGCCGTGACTAAAACAGGCTTGGACGATGAGGCGATAGAGAGTGAATTGGGCGATGTCAGTAAATCAGTTGTCAAGCCACTCATTAGCAAACCCGTTTCTTCTTCATGGGGGCCATTTGTGCTCGTGTAAGCCGCGCACTTCAATACCAGCCTCCGCAAGAATTAAAGTTGATATCTGGTGATTGTATCAGGTCTGCCACTGGAGATCCTGCTTACAGGAGTAAGCCAATAAGCATATCCAAGGCATCATTTTCCACTATCCTGCTGGCATGTGGGCTTCCGTCATTCACACTGCTGGCATGCGGGATGAAGCGTTTCCACCTGTCGCACCACGTCCAATACGATGACGCAGACGGCAGCGAGCAACCCGTCGCGCTGGTGCTGCTCCTCCGCATCCCAAGGAACAGCCAGTCCGTCAGCATCGCCATGCGGATCCGCCTCGCCGACCTGGCCACCGTCGCCTTCGTCACGAGCATGAGCGAGGAGACAAGCAAGGCGATACAGGAGAGGTGCACGGAGCGCCGCCGCCTGCTCGCCAGGCACCCGCTGTACTTCCTGGCGCTGGTGTACGAGGACCGCTGCGCCGATTACAAGAGCTGGTTCGACGACATCCTGGAGGAGATCAACGTGGTCGAGTCGGCGACGGGCATGACGCGCAACACGTGGAAGATGCGGCTCTCGCCGCGGCTGCGGGGCTGGCTTGGTGATTATGACAACCTGCTGCGCACGCTGTACGCGAGCAACACCGAGCTGAGCCACTTCGACACCGTGACGACCTTCTCGGTCAAGCTGGGGGATTTCCTGCTGCGCGCGCTGGGGATGCTGGATGAGCTGCGTCTCGAGGGCGGGTTGGCGCCGCTGCCTGGGAGGGATCTCAGGGCCCTGCGGGAGAGGATTGCTTTTACGAGGTCGCGGTGCGATCTCACTGCTGACAAGACGAGGGAGATGCTTGAGAGGGTCAAGGGACAGATTAATGTGGTAAGAGCCAGCGGAATCCCAAAACGCCACGGGAGCCCGGTCTTGGTCTATCCCAGAACAGAGAGATTTGTCCTGCTGACTGAGTTGCGCCCCAGGCCTTCAACCTCGTCGCACAGAGAGACAGCAAGGTCAACCTCGCGGTTGCCGAAGACTCTTACCATGTCGCAACGCTTGCTGCACGCGATAGCGAGACGATGAAGACCATCACGGTGCTAACATTGGCTTTTCTTCCATCCACATTGGTCACGGTAGGCAAAGAATCCACACCGGACCGCCGGTCCTTCTCATCCGTATATCATGCGCAGATCTTGCCTCAGCTGCTGACCTGCAACAGTCCATGTGGTCTGCAGACTTATTCCAACTCGATCCCGCCACGAACTGGAAGGTATACGTTGGCGTGACGCTCGCACTTACAGCTGTCGTGTTTGCCGCCTGGTTCTTATACCTCCGGTACTCGAGCCTGAGGAGAGAAGAACGGCCTCTGCACATTGCTGGTGTGGGTTACATACGAGGAGGGAAAGTGGTTCATACAGGTGCTGTCGATCAAGACGAGGCTCCTGTGGACATCCGCAGGGAAACTAACTGGCACGATAAGTGAACGTTGAGGCTGGTTGGCACATTGCCGGGAGGAAATTGAAAGGGATATGCGCTGTTGTTAAAGGACCCCTACGGTCAACAGATCCACCTGCAGGTGGACAAAAATCAAATGTCGGAGAGGGCAGTAAAGTAAGACGTTTGAATGATTATTATTCCTTTTCCGGCTACAAGAGCCCCCGGATGCTATTGGACTGGCTCATCACCTGAAGCCCAGCACTTAGGGTTGCGATGGCCATTGTATACTGGAGCCGTCTATAGTAACGCTGAAGTTTATAAGGGCGCAAGAGATGCGCCTGGGTATCCTTTCCTCCACTCTTCAAATCATCCTCCAACGTTATGTCGCTAGTACAAACTGGACTTCTTTACAACGGCACCACTAGTCGTCAGAAAACTATCATGTCAGCACTAGAATCATGAAACTACCCATAGTGGGAATATACCTACAAATTTGCTGGGATAAACTTCATGATGAAGATGACGACGGCGCTGTGACGCAGGCGAGGATGACACCGGTCGCCCCGCTGAATGCAATGACAGTAGTCAGGAATTCGGTCTTGGAAATCTGTTCCTGGACGGCGGCCTTGGGAGGCTGGGTTGCGATCATTCGGCGCGCAATGTGCGGGCGCAGGGTGGTGAACAGACGTTGGGCGGCTCTTTGCTGGAACATTTTGGCTTTGGTGGCGTGCAGCGCAAAAGTGGATTAAGATGATCTGGGGGTGAGGGTAGGGTAGATTGGCTTTGCAGGGGATAGCCGGGAATTAAGATTTGGTGAACTTGAGTGGTTCGTGAAGACAACTTCGAGTCGAACAAGATATATGTGTATATGATATAGTTGATCAGATATAAATCGATGCAGGTGTCACCAGACTGGTTTATCTAGATCTTGTCGTGTTTCGCAGCAGTTTCACGGCTGATTTATGTATTGTCCCAAGATTGGGAACGCCCAGTTGGTGGTGGTGTGACCTGCTCAGCCGGCTGGCTGGTGGCATGTTGGGTCAGCCCATTTGCCCACTGTATTTCCCCATGGGGGCAGCTGTGGGAGCTGACCAGCACCCCGACCGCGAAGACAACCCGGGTCAATGGAAAAACACGGCTCGCCAATTGAACATGCACTGAGGGGGGCCTAGGTATCTTCCGCAGATCTGACAGCACTATTTACGGACACCACGCGACACTGCACTTCGCTGTGGCAGCCGTGGCGTGACATCGTCGCAGCCTTAAACGTTGCTCGAGTTACAGGTCTCTTTTGGTCGGTACAGCCCGATACACTGCTTTCGGATGTCATCTGATGGGTTGCAGATCCACCTGTTCGTGTAGAGTCCCACCGTGTTTTTAATACTAATAAGTGGGAAAATCGATTTCACCGGGGCTGCTGAGTAAGGCCACACCCGTCACAAGCTCAGACATCCGAACTGCTAGGTCTCTTTACACCCCGTTCTATACAATAACCATAGGTGTAGTAGCCATAGTCCTATACATTGAATCATACGAAGTTCCGTCTAAGTTCTCATATTTCCTTCAGGGGATGTGATGGTTTTAATCTAATAGTGGGCGTGAGATCAGGAATAGGACCGAGGCCAGAAGTGAGCGGACATCACCTGGGCTGTCAGGAACACCTTATTTTAGCTGGCTACACAACATAACCTCCTGAATGTTGCACAATCGAGGAGATGCTGACAATGAATAACCCCGCTTTTGCGCGATTTCTATTTCATCATGCCACGAACTCAAACATCTGAACCCTTTCACTGTTCAATCGCAGCCGCCCATCGAAAGACGGCAACAGTTCTCTCACAACTTCAAGTCAGAACCGTAATCACGTGGAGGAGATATCATGTCTCACCATGATCATTCAAACGAAAGCTCTGTCACGCCTCCCAAGGGACACGCATGGATCAACGAAGTGAAAGGGGCCTGGCGGACCTCTGATAAGGCGAGGTACGACTATTGCGTTCTGGAAAGCGATCGCCATATTCGCCTGCTCCATATAACCATCGACGAGCATGTGCCGTTGCCGCGGCTGAAAATCATAAACGTACCGCTTGACTCTGCACCAGCTTTTGAAGCACTCTCGTACTGTTGGGGCGACGACACAAAACTATACCAGATTCCTATCGAGACCGATCAAGACTTCGACACGAGATCTATCCCTTCGACTGACAGCGTGGCAACAGCCATGGTCTTCGTGCCACGTTCGTGCAGCACAAGATACATTTGGATAGACCAGATTTGCATCAACCAAGAAGATGACAATGAAAAAGGACAACAGATTGCCTTGATGGGAGAGATATACAGTACAGCGACCCGAGTTCTGGTATGGCTTGGTCCAGGCCTAGATCTTGGCAGCGACAAAACGCAGACTTCTGTTTGCTCGGCAGGCCTACAACCTGTCATCGTTGATGACTTGAATGCAGACCTGGAAGAACTTATGGGATCCGATGGACTCCATGCTCTATTCAACAACAACTGGTTCCAGCGGGCCTGGGTGGTACAGGAGTCATGTCTTGCAAGAGAAAAGCAAGTATTGATTGGTAAATTTTCGATCACGTGGTGGGGCTTGCTCCAACAAATACAGCGGGTTGTAGATACCAAGGATGTTTCCAAGTGCATGGATGTTTCCAAGTTTATGTTCCATTTGCACACCTGTCCCGAATGGGGGTATTTCGAGGAGGTGGCAGAAAACAATAAGCCTCGTGTATTTTGTGGGTTCCTGGCAAGATACAGTCAAAGGTTTATGGCAAGCGATCCGAAAGACAAAGTTCTTGCCTTTTTCGGTCTATGGAAGCCGCCCAGTTTCGATACCAAAGCCGCAACTCGAAGAGAAGAAACCACAGCAGATGTCTACACAAGATTTGCCACGTCTCTCATCAAAGATACCAAAGGTCTGGATATCTTAGCGGCGGTCGACCATACACCAGGACAGCATGAGAGAGACCCCACTATAGTGCCTTCCTGGGTACCACAGTGGGGATATACCGGGGACTTGTGGCAGTCTCCCCTTTTCCAGTTCCAGTCACAGGGGACAAACCTTGCCTATGAGTGGAACACATCGCGTTCGAGGAACCACCAATATCGATTTAACTCGCCAACTGCAAAAGAACTGCACACGCTCGGCCGAATTCTCTGGAAGATCGGCTGTGTGGCTCATCGAATCATGGGTGCGCCTCCTGATCCAGACAATTTGGAAAAGACCAAAAGGATACTCGGACTACACTCCGGTGCGCGAGGAATCACAGTTTCGGACGCGCTAAGGATACTGTTTCTCTGCAAGGGATTAAAGAGAACAGTCAAATTCACCGACTTTGAGCCAGGACTGAGAGGACCTCGAGGTATTGGGATCCTTCGTACATGTTTCCCCGAGGCCAAAACAGGGTCGGGGGCGAGACATCAAATCGAAGGGCTGCCTGAATATGACGGGGTCCCTGCATATGACGGGAGCCCTGAATCAGAGAACGCGCCTTCGGACTCACAGGAACATTCATACGAATGTGAAATAGATGACCCTGAGTCGCTTGGGTTTGCCTGTCTTCATGCATTTTATAACGCGACACGGAAGCGATTTTTCAATACTCAATGGTCCTGTAACGCGAATGTCGAAGGAGTTGACGGTCCAGTCGGCCTCGGTCCTGGTTGCATCGAGATGGGTGATGAAATTGCGATCCTGCACGGCGCAGATTTCCCCGTTGTCTTGCGCAAGCTCGAAGGCAGGGAGCAGAGGTATCAATTCGTCGGTGATTGTTATCTCGATGGTGTCATGTTTGGAGAGGCGGTAGATTGGGAGGAGAAAGACGCTGATGATATTATTATTGTGTAATCAGTACTTGTGTGTTCGTTGTGGTTTCGTTTCTAATTCTCATACAAATAAAAATGTGTGGCGCGTCCATACAGTGGCTAACGATCAAGACCCAACATCTAAAAACACAAAAAAAAAACACACAATGTCAATAAAAGTGCAGAGAGAACATTAGTACAATACGTTGGGAAGTGGCCTCAGCCTCGTGCTGCCTCCTCAAGCGAATCTGGACATTACGATCTCAGCATATAGTTCACAACTAACCAATTACAGGAACAGTCTCGAGTATCACTTTGATGAGGTATTAATTATTGAAAGCTATTGAGTTGAAAGAATTTTTAAGTTAGTGTGAAAGCCCCCTGAGCTTGCGGGTTTCTCAGTCCGAGGAGTCGAAATGTCTGAGACAACTCCACAATGCAACCGAGACATTTTGGTGTTGTCTAGAATCATAAAGGAATGAAGCCACAGGTGATTATGCCCATCAAAGATAACTGTACGTGTTGTAAATTCCAATGGGGCAGTCACCAATGTCGGCGTTCCCGATGTCCTGGAAATAGGTGAATGTTGTGTCATTGGTATAGGTTTCTATGCAAGGTCAGCTACTAGGTCCGTGTAATTGCACATGTGCAGTGACCGAAGGCATGGATAGCCAAGAACGCCAAGCAAAGGGATACACTCACTGCCAGCGACGCAGGTTCCGGCCGTCACAAAGCAAGGTCCTGTTTCCAGCGTGTAGACGAAACCAGGCTCCATGTGAATAGCTGGGAATGGAGGGTATGGACCCGGGGCTGGCTGGTTGTTGTAGGTTGTCTGGGGGCCTGAACAGACAAGTCAGTCATTACATCTTCGTGGGAAAGACCGTCTGATGGAAACCAAAGCACTAACCAGGACAGTCCCCAGCATTGTACCCCTCGAAGAAGAAACTGCCACCACCACTGTAGCTGAAAGAGCTTGTCTTTAGGTCTTCCAGCTTGGGGAAGATGAACTGCAGTGTGCAGTTGGCATCGGTGCGGCTCGCCGGGATGTCAAAGGTGAAGAGGGAGGCGATGTCGTTGGGGGTGAAGACGCCGTTGTACTGGTTTCCGAAGGCCTTGTCAGGCTCTGAGGCCGAGATCTGAGTGATGTAGTGAGGGAACTCGAACTCCCCGTCCGGGAGCAGCGCTGGGCAATTGGCTCTCGAGTTAAGGGGTGAGGAAGACCGGGTCCATTCGTGAGATGCAAGGGGCCGCTTTGAGACAAGGTCGAAAGGAGCCGCGACAGCGGAAGTGACCAGCAAGGAGAATGAAGCGAAGGTGAAGGTATTCATTTTGTCTGAATGTTCTGGACGGGATTTGAATGAATACTGGAATTTGCAGTGGATCAGGAGAACATAAAGGTACGGTGATATATCTCGGGCGATGCGCTGGTGGGCGGGCAAACTCGACTGTGACACTGCCAAATCATGCTGCCCAACGAGGGACAACACAAGGAGACGATGGTGTACTTATACGAGCTTCGGCCCTCTCACTGAGTCAACATTCCCAGCCCGAGTCTCGCGTGAGGGCGAAGTCGATCCTGCTTCTTCGCACCCCTCACAATTAAACACACATGGCGCTAAGCCCGCGGATCCCTGGGCTTAATTCAGCCCCGACGGCCAATTCAGCCTCCCGGCCACCAACACCAAGCCTTCATGCAAGAAGCAGGGCTTCTGGCATACTGTAATAATCAATTCATGTCAACACATGATCGATACGCGGCCGTGTCACTCGAGCACGGTCCCCGCGTGGGCTGCCCAGAAACGCCTCGCGGCACGCTTCCGTGAGGGCCGTTGAACCCCAACATTTGAATTGAGTTTTGAAACAAAACCTTCCAACGATTCTCAGACATAATTACGGCCTGCATGTCTGTCTCCCTTCCGACTCACTCTCCGGGGGAAAATAGCTACGAATGCAGTATGCTACTTACACAGCCCTAACTAACTAACTACTTACCGCCTGGGGCTCTGCAAGTCTCGGTCAAGGATTCTCAAGCTTGCGTTTAGTACGTAAGCTTACATGGCCTCAGCAAGAAGGCTAACGCCACGTATCCGGGGCTGTCGCTCAGCTCGTGTAGACGGGATGAACTGTGCGGCGGGCTGAGCTCAAGTGCTAGGTTGCCCCCTCGGGCCCCAATGCAGTGTTCGGCACCGTTTGGTGCCAGCGGGGACAGCTGACAGCTGACAAGTGACGGCGGGGACGGCGCACATGGTCGGGAGGCTGCATGGGGGGTTTTCGTAGGAAGAGAGGACATCCCGCAGTCGCCGTCCCACAGAGATTCCGGCGTGGGGTTTGAGAGCTATCTATCTGTCCCGGGCCGAGCTTATCAGCCAGTGTGCCGGGGCAGAGCCAGTCGTCTTTCAGCTGCACCGCGCTTGACTACTTGCTTATATATTATTTACCCAGGTACCGACTCAACTACCCCTCATCGTGCGGCGCAGGGCAATTGTGAGGCGGGCTTCGGTCCCGAAGGTGTTGATCGAATGATGCTAAAAGATAGTTTTAGAGCTTGGGGATTACGAGAGCATGCTAAGCATTACGGACCGGCGTATTATTCGGCACTTCAAGTGGGATGACAGCTTGAGCCAGGCTAGCAAAGTGCCCGAGACTGGGAAGTGAATTCACGGCTTGAACTTGGAATCGATTCCCGTAAGAGGCTACCACATTGGACCCGCCCTAGCCTTCTTGTTTTGTTTCCGGGTCGATTCAATGTTGGTACCTAGGTAGTTAGCATCGAAAGTGATTTGCTGGCCGTCAGTGATCAAGTGGGAGTAGTCAGTCAGTCACAACTTTCGTATCATTCGGATATGCAAGGAGTGCAAGTCACAGCTGCTTCAAGAGGCGTTGAACAGATGAACACTCCATCTACATGACCTGGCAGGCACCAATTCTGTCTCAAGGTTTGCGGATATAAATACACGCCGACGCAAAGCCAGTCCGAGTCTTGCCCCGATTGTCGACAAACTCACATTTTCCCTAAAAACGAAAGTTTTGCGTGGATTTACCATACGAAAAGGAGTTGCTATCCGTCAAAAACACTCAACACACCCCTCAAAGATATTTGATACCAACATGGATCAACAAGGCGTCTTGATCACCACCCTGGTCTGGGTCCTTGTAGCCTTCCTGGCGCTGTTGCTCGTGGGAGTGGTCATATACATGCTCCGGGACCCAAATTCGTGGTTCCCAGGCCGGTCAAATTCAGGACCGAAGGATGTTGTGTAGCATAGTGTAGCATGCGCTTAATTGAGACTAGGATTGAGAATAAATAAACAGTTTCCCCACCATCATGCCTGTTTCGAACAGGTGAAGGACTTCTTGTGACATGGCAACAAATAACGACAGCGCGTGTGAGGTGACTGGCTCGCAGCTTACGGGATCGTGTCGGCTTAGTGAACAGCCCGCGTACGAGCTAACACATGGCACAGCAAATCGAGTGGTAGAATCAAAGGGCGGAGCAAACAAATGAAGATGCTGACGGTAACACTTTGTCATTCTCCGTCATGACTACTAGTCGGGTGGAAGGTGACGGCGCCGCTATGACCCAGCTTCCACAGTCCAGTACATGTCACAGACCCATCATCTGTCTCCCCAAGCTGCTTAAAGCTGCGCAGGCCCCACGTAAACAAGATGCCGCATTGCTTGGGTTGTCAGTGAGCCGAACTCCCCAAGACGACGCCCATCATCCCCCTTCACTCAAACGTCCTCTGACCATGTGGATCTCCTCCGAACTGTTCTTCTTCTTCCTCGCGCTCGTCGTGGGCTGCCTGGCGTGTGGTGCGTACCTAGGAGCCAGCATGGCCCTGTGGAGCGCAACCGAGTGGGAGGTCCAGGGCCCCTGGGCTAGGTGGCGGAGGCACAAGTCGGAAGCAGATTGCGAGAGTACCTAGGTAATGACGAGGAGTCCGGTGCTCCTCGCCGAGGAGGCCGGTGAGGTGCGAAGAGCCATGTAAGTGCCCAGCCTAGATCGGTGAGTCAGCGGATAATTGTGCTTTCGGGCAAGATTCACCGCGTGTAATAAATAGCTTTTGAGTCGCTCGTCCCCATGCTTCTGTGTTGATGGAACGTCAGTCTAGGTGTGTCATTGACAACTATCTGCGTTTAGCCGCTGCCGATGAGCTAGACTCGGCCTACACGACTTTGATGGCATCGAGTACGATAAATAAGACGGGGCGCACAAGACGTCAAGCTACCAATCAGCTTAAACATACCCAAATTCAAGATCGGGCAGGTAGAAATCAGAGGAATCATACTTGACAAAACTCCGAACACCGAGAAACAGCACATCTTATCATGAGTACAAACAACACCCTAAATGAACCACATACATGCGCTTCCACGACGAGGTACGAGATAGCCATTGTCGTACTTTCATCGGTATTATTTTTCAGCTTGGTGGTCCACGCGTATCACCTTGGGAAGGCTCTCAACAGGTGGAGACGGGAGCGTGCCATCTTCTTGGGCAGGCTCAGGTATGGGTAGTAACCAATGTCCTGGGTGAATAGCGGTGGATGATGGGGCCTTTGCTTGTTTGTAGGTGGACAAGGCCTTAATATTTAGCAATGAACTATTGAATGATCGCTTTACTCATCATGCTTGGCTGACTTTTCACCTAAGTGACCCGGTGCGAATTAGTCCCCAGACCGTAGCAATGCTAGCAAGCGGTGGCCTGATAACTAACTACCCACGCTGTGAATCACAAGATGTGCTGGCCATGACGATGACCATCCTAATTCGCAAGACTTTGTTGTAACATGTCCGTTTGAAATGGACACGTCGGGGATTCAACTCGCGTCCATTTTTCAGACACCACCGTCAAAGGCCCAGACTGGGTTGAAGCACCCCCTCGTGCGGACCTCAAATAACTCCTGGTTTCGCTCTTGAGAGGCAGAGGAGGAGGAAGAAAGAGTTTCTACCAGACACCCACACCGTGACAAAAATCAGGGGGTCTGGGTAGGTAGTGAGTGACTCCCTGTTGCTGAACTGGGCATAATAACTTTGAATCACTGTGCCGTGAGTCCGAGGTTCCATCGCATCATCTCAAATCGAACACATGCTGAGACAGACAAAGACCCATCAATCCGACAATGGAACAGGACCGAGGAGCCAAACAAACGTTTACAAATAAAAGAAGCCCCCCGAAAAGATCAAACCACAAAAGCATCCCCCGCCGGACCTCCATCATCGATTGCTACATGACAAGCAACCCCGCTCTCAGAGCAGAGAATCAACAACTACAACAACAACACACACACACAATCTCAAACACAAATACAAAATGGAACCAAACACCCTCGTCTTCTGGGTGGTGTTCTCCGCCGTCTTCACCATCTTGGCGGTGGCCTACCTCGTCCTCGACAGGGCGGCGGCGCGGGGGGAGGGGGATAAGCAGGCGGGATTCCGGCAGCGGGCGTTCCCCAGGGGCTGGCTGCGCGAGGACGAGCGCCGCGCGTACTGGTCTGGCCAGGACGAGGGCGTCGTCGATGTAGGCAGCGGCAGCAAGGGCGGACCGTCCGGGTTTGAGGGTGGCGGCAGACCGTGTGGTTTTGATGGTGGTGGTGGTGGTGACGCGTCGCCGCTTCGGTCTCCGTCGGAAGCCCATGTGCGGCGTTGAGGGGATCGACGGATGGGGTGGTGATGGTGGTGGAGGTTGGAATAGAATGGAAGGGCGGGCTAGACTTGATTCATCTTCGGCTTATGGGCATATATCAGGCCCCCTGTCTGCGGATTATCGACTGGATGGACGGATGATAGCAGCCGTGCAGAAGACGGGCTCCAGGGACCTCATCTCGTCTCCTCCGCAGACGCCGATGCGCAGGGGATGGGAAGTCGTAGGGTCTTCAGTCAACGTTGAATTACTATAACCTCATTTGCCCAGCCATTTCGCGAGCACCCAAAGAACGCCGGCCCCAATGCAAAATATATGCCCGCCCGCCCTCTCTTTTCCGTGACGCACGTGTTTCGGACTCCTTACTTACTCACTCCCACAGCGTGACTTGCACTCGCTCACTCACTCGCTCGTTACCTCCGCCTGCCCTGTGTGGCCCCGCCTCCCATGCCGCCCATGCCGCCCATCATGCCGCCCATCTGCTTCATCAGGGCGTTCATGTCCATGCCGCCCATGTTGGGCATGCCGCCGGCCCCGCCTCCGCCACCGCCGAGCATCTTCATCATGCTGGAGATGTCGGGCATGCCGCCGGCGCCGCCGGCGCCGCCGCCCATGGACTGGAGGCGCTTCTGCATGGCGGCCATCTGCTGGGCCTTGTTGCCGCCGCCCATGGCGGCCTGGGCGCGCTGCATGTTCTTCATGTTGCCGCCCATCTTCTTGGCCATGCCGGCCATCATGCGCTGCTGGGTGAGCAGGTCCTCGACCTCGCGCACGCTGGTGCCGGACCCGCGGGCGACGCGGGTCATGCGCTCGGGCTGGTCGATGAAGAGCTTGCCGTCCGAGTCGAGCTCCTTCTTGGTCATGCTGTCGCAGATGTACATCATCCGGCGCAGCTTGGCGTTGCCCTCGTCGTCGTCCATGCCGGCCATCATGTTGCTCATGCCCGGGATCATGCCGGCCATCTTGGACAGCGGGCCCATCTTCATGATGTTCTGCAGCTGGTCCCGCAGGTCGCGGATCGTGAAGACGCCCTCGGTGATGTGCTTGATCGTGTCCTTCTGGTCCAGCTTGAGCGACTGCACGTGCTCCACCAGCCCGGCCATGTCGCCCATGCCCAGCAGCTTGGAGACGAACTGCTTCGGCACGAAGCGCTCCAGGTCCAGCATGTGCTCGCCCGTGCCGATGAACACGATGGGCGTGTGCGTCGCGGCGACTGCTGATATGGCACCACCGCCGCTCGCGTGGCCGTCGGTCTTCGTGATGATGATGGCCCCAAAGTCAGCGGCCTCCTTGAACGCCTTGGCCTGGGCCTCGGCCTGCTGGCCGATGCTCGCGTCCAGCACCATGATGGTCTCGTCGGGTTTTACGGCCTCCTGGATGTCGATCATCTCCTGGAACAGGGCGGCCTCCTGCCTGTGCCTGCCGGACGTGTCGACGATGATGACCTCGAACTTCTCCTTGCGGAACTTCTCGACGCCCTCCCTGGCGACGACGGCGGGGTCGGTCTCGGTCAGGCTGCCGTAGTAGGGGATCTTGGCCTTTGTGGCGTTCTGCTTGAGCTGGTCGAAGGCTCCGGCTCGGAAGGTGTCGGCGCAGACCATGCAGGACTTGAAGCCGCGGGCCTGGTAGTGGCGGGCCAGCTTGCCGACGGTGGTGGTCTTTCCGGCGCCCTGCAGGCCGACGAACATGATGACGTTGGCGCGGCCCTTCTTGGGCTTGAAGGGCTCGTTGTGGGGGTTGACGAGGTTGACGAGCTCGTCGTAGACGGCCTTCTGGATCAGGCGCTTCTTGTTGACGGCGGGGGGCAGCTCCTTGAAGTTGACGGTGGACTTTATCGACTTTCGCAGCTGCTGGACGAGGCGCACGTTGACGTCGGCTTCGAGGAGGGCGGCCGAGATCTCCTTGATCATGGAGTCGAAGGCCTGGGGGGGGGACGTTAGCAGTCAGTCAGTCACTCAGACAGGTCAAGTGGGGGGGCGCATCATGAGCAGCGGCGACAGCGAGGGTGGTGATGGAGTCGTCGCCGGATGGCACAAGGGAAAGGCACTCACCTTCTCGTCCAGGTTTGGTGCCCTGGTCAGGTCGGACACGGCCGTGTTGATACGGCGCCCGAGATCTTGGAGAACCATGGCGGCGGTGTGTTGGACCTGTTCTGCTGTGGGTGTTGGCGTTGCTTCGCAGCTGGACAGCAGAGTCGGCAGTGGTGTGGTCGGGGTGGGATGGCGAAGACGGGGGATGGGAAATGTCGTGGCCAAAGAGATGCGACAGTCGCCATTCGCCGTCACTAACCTTCTAGAAGCTCCACGCCGAATCGCGGGGTGTGGGTTGCCTGCCGTCGCGGGGGCTTAGCTAAGCACCGTATGTGCGCCGTAATTGACACCGTCTAGATACGGCACTAGCGTCCATACTTTCAGCCTTACTGGTTGTGCAGCAGACAGTCCTGGCCAACAGACATAAGAAACAAGTGGAGACAACTGGACGTGCTTCTGTATAGATCAATCCTGCTTACCTAGGTACCTTCATTTACCTTGCCTTTTTTTACACCAGCTTCTCTGTCATTTTAGTACCAGTCATAGCACCCACTGCCACCCCACCTCAACCGCTCTTCATTGACCATTCATCATCAGCCTCGTCGACATGTTCCCCAGCTTCGCACCCCGCCACATCCCAGGCCTCATGTTCGTCAAGCCACCCCGACCCTCTCGGTGAATATACTAGTACTAAAAACCCTCGCTGACAACAACCCCCATCGAGCAGCGTCGCCTCGACCATGACATTCGGCGGCATGTGGGCATTCCTCAACACCCAGGCAGCAATGCTGGAGTTTGGGTTTCCCGCCAGGATAGCCGAGGCGCCCGCAGCCGCCCCGGTGAAGGTGGTCGGCCAGGCCCGCGGGACTGTCATCGGCCTGCTGGTCTTCACTTTCTACTCCCGGAGCCAATTCGACCAGGTGGATCTGGCCATGGCTGTGACGGGCACCTATTGTGGCCTGGTCGACAGCTATGTTGTGTGGAAGGAGGGAAACCCTCGCAAGGCGCTGTTCCGCCTGGTCACTTCTGGCCTACTTGCTGCCTGGGGATGGGCTGGCTGGACCTCACCCTGAGGCTAAGTAGCTGCCCAGGTGATCCATATGAGACCGACTGGCGAAAATGATTATCGGAGGCGGAGAGTACTGTGATGTTTGGTTGACAGCTGCATGTAGGACACCCTGCACCATTAGGCTGCAATCGGCAACAGCTCTAGAGATTTCTTTCGGCTCATCCATGCCTACATCCATGACCTGCAGTTCTATACCTCCCCATCATTTCTTCAAGTTATTCTAAGCTTGGTTATTATGGCAAATTCTATGAGTAGACTAAATCAGACCGGCCAGCGGGCATCCATATGACCAACCAGATCTAGAGACTCTTAGAGATAATCTGCCCTCCATCATACCCGACAAGGCTGAACAGATAGAGATTCTCTACGCCTAAAAGGCTGCCCTAAATTAACTATCCCAGTTCTCCCTATCGATTCTAGTTCAAGAGCCAGCAAAGACAGTTTTCACTTAAAATAAGAATTTCGTCCACGAAGGCGGACACGGGCAATCAACCTTGGAAGCGTTTCTCCTGGAGCAGCTGCAAGTGGCCCTAGTCTTGATGCGTACCGCGCAGTAAACTCCCAACCCTCACTTTGGCCAGATGCAGGCCTTCATTATGGGTACCGTCGGGCTGATTGTTTCCCCGCCGAGGGGGGGGGGGGTGGCGGATGATGTTTCTGGAGGCGCTGGGAATGAGAATGCGGGATGGTAGGAGTGGTAAAACTTCTCAATTGCGTAATATTGCTTGCAACGCCTTTTACCATCAAAGCCTATGGTGTCTCATCAGGGCGTGAAATTTTCAAATAATTTAAGCTACTCGGGCTTGATGTGAGGCATAAATGGTGGAGGTAGATGAAGTAGCTTTGCTTAGCCGGTGTGGGTGACGCCCGAGAAATGCAACAGTGACAAACATCCGCACTGCATCCGTTATCATAGAATCCGGAACACTCGGGGGCATGATATCGGCCAGACATTGTTGAATAACTTCAATGGTACTGGTCCAATTCCAGGTTGGAATCCGAGCACTTTCAACGTGCGAGGGGGGACATCTGGATGGTGTAAAGAAGCACCATCACTTCCCAGGTTAGCTCTGCCATGAAAGTGACAGTAACACGACCAACAGCATTATGCCCGGTTCCAATAGCTAGGGCAGACCCTGGCCTGATCCACATTGCTGACATCCACTGTGTGTTGGTCGTCCTTCCTTTATAACCCCACTACGAACCAACACTGCATTCCTTCGCTGCCGGCTGCCCCTCAGGCCCTCTGGCCACAAGCTCAAAATCTGATGACCCGGTGGCCGAAGCATTCGAATCTGTACTCTCATTGCCCACTTATAAAAGTCTCCCGTTACGACATCTTCATTCCATGATATCCAGCCCTGCCCAGTACTAAATACAATAGTCTTTTCTCTTCCCAATCCCAGCAACTATGGCTTCCGAGTACGACATTATCATCATCGGTGGCGGCCCGGCAGGGCTTAGCGCGGCCGCTTCCATCGTGCGGCAAGACCACAAGACGATCATTTTTGATTCTGGCAAGTATCACAACGCCGGGGCAAAGCATATGCATACTGTTCCCTCGTGGGACCATCGTGATCCTGCCGAGTTCCGAGCTGCCTGTCTTGCCGATTTCAAGCGGTATGGGAGCGTTACTGTCGAGAACATTGAGATTGACAGTGCCAAGAAGAACGAGGACAGCACTTTCACCGTAAAAGGGGGTGGGAAGACCTGGACTGGCAAGAAGTTGCTTCTTGCCACTGGTGTCGAGGACGTCTTTCCGGAGATCCCAGGCTATGCAGACTGTTGGGTCTCGGGCATGTAAGTGTGTTCCTAGTTGGATGGCTGACTGTCTGGCTGTCCAGCCACTTCTCCATCCCGCAACGAACTTCACACTAACCAGCAACCCAACCAGCTTCCACTGCCTCTACTGCCACGGGTGGGAGGAGAAGGAACACTCGCCCTCCGCAGGGATGCTGGCCGAGGGCGACACAGGAAACGTCCTCGTCGCCCTGCACTTTGCCCGCCAAGCCCTGCGCATCGCGCAGCACGTCACCCTCTACACGAACGGCAACGACGAGCTGGCAGCGCAGCTGACGGCCGCCCTGGCGGCGGCGCCGGCCCCCATGACGGTGAACGCCAACAGGATCTCAAAGCTGGTCAAGGCCCCCGAGCGCTCCCGGATCACCCTCCACTTCGAGGACGGCACCGCGCAGACCGAGGCCTTCCTGGCCCACAAGCCCAAGACCCGCCTGAGGGGCGAGCTGGCGCAGCAGCTGGGGCTTGAGATAACGCCGATGGGCACGGTCAAGGTCAGCCCGCCTTTTAACCAGACTACGGTTAAGGGTGTCTTTGCTGCTGGGGACTGCTCGTCTCCTATGCATACTGTTACTTCTGCTCTTCACTCTGGGACATGTGTTGGAGGTGGCGCGCCGCTGCAGATACAGGCTGAGATGTACAACCAGGCCGCGATCTTCCAATGAAACCCCCTTCTGTTGGCAAATTCCTTAGTCATGGAGGTCCGTGGGTTGCCTTCCGGATCGGTAGATGGCTATTTACCCAGGTAGATAGCGAGGTATGGGCTCGGCGTGAGTGGGGGTCAGGTGGATGTATATTCGGTACAGAGACAGTTGTATCCGATAATATGAGCAAGATACATCACCATATTAATGCTCAATCTATCCTCGTACCTTCGATGATTTTGCATGGGATTCTGCCTTCTCCACTATGCATTGTTTTGAGCTAGTAGTTCGAAGACTGTGCGTCATCAGTCATCTCCCAGGCTACCAGAATTCTTTGTACTCGTGCAGAAAGAATACACAAATGGAAGCCCCAATACCAAGTGCAACAAGAGCAGCGACAATCGCATTCCGCCATGTGTTCTTGCGCAGCTTCATGCCTTTGAATATGTTATCAGCCAAATGAATAACGTGCGTAAACACCAGTGGCGCAGCCAGCAGACACACAAGGAATGGGATCATGAAGGTGACCCCTGAATCTGACACGGCGTATGTAACAACGGAGACGAAATTGAGCCACGCCAACAGGGAAAATATGACCAAGAACTCAAAGATGAGGAAAACTGTGATGCGGGTGGACTCGTCGTATGTCTTGCCGATGAGCGGCTGCGGTAACTGGAATTTGTTCGTCGGCCACTTTGTTTTAGAACCATTCCTCTTAGCTACATTGGTTCTAGTTAGTCACCAATCCACAATGCAATCTCAAATTTCGTGAGGATTCAAGGGAGTACGGCGCAGGTTACTCACCAAAATACTGTTCGACGATGGTAATTGCAGGGAGAATTAAAAGAACTAGTGGCGTGGTTTGCCCAAAGCCCCATTTGTTGTCTCCGGCCTCAATCAAGTCTCTGAAGAACCATTTGTTGTACACCACGAGATAGATATTCCACGATAGCATTATGAAAAGCCAGAATATCTGTTTCAGTACTCATTTGTGAGCAGCCCGTCGAGGTCATACGCGGATGCCGCAACCACATGCATGACTTGGGTAGACTTACATGCCCACCAAAGGACTCCAGCAATCTCCACACGGTTCGCAGGGTCGCGTGAGTTGAATACCAGAAAAAGTCAATGATAGGGTATTTTCTCATGTTCTTATCCATGGAGTGATTCCATTTACGAAACTCGTCCCTCGATGTGGATTGGTGTGCAAGAGCGCGTTTCCTCATGGGCCGCGTTACAAGCTCGAGCAGCCGTTTAAGGAAGGTGATGGTGGCCAGGCCGATAGACCAAGAGAGCCAAATTCCACCAAATGCAGTCATACGGGCTGCATATGGCCCGGATTCTTGCGGGAAATTGTAGTCGAAGAAACAGAGCGCTGGAAGTGTCATTCCCTCGGAAGGATGGGCGTATGACCCCCAAAGCCACTGGGGATGACCTGTTGGGACGAGCGAAGAGACCAACATCGCAAGCACAAAAGTCATGAGTGCAGCTCTAATTTAAATCGAAAGCCGACTGGCCTCGGGTTCAAGCTTGTGGAGCTGGGCTCTCAGGATCGGGATGGTCGCCAAGTGTGTGGCTGATGTGAACCAGACGCACTCTACCATGATCTGCCAGTGATAGGGGTCCATACTACACCCCATAGTAAACGCCCCCAGAAGGAGAGAAAAGGCGTTTACCAGCTGAGCGTCGCTGAAACTAACAATGATCTGTTCATGTTGTCATTAGCCCCATCTTGACACTGCTTGTTTGCCTGTAGGAGCCAGGCTCACTCTCTCAAGCGCATCTCCATTTGTGCGCCAATTGGGCCGCTTGGCATGTAGCCACCTCAGGAACGAGACATCGAGCTTCGTCCATATGTCCAACTGGTTGGGGTCGACGGCAGAGAGGTAATAGACCACGAGCAGTACGAACGTGGCCAGTGCAGGCAAGGTCAACCCGATAAGAACCTACGCTTTTGTGATCAGTAGGATCAACAACGGCAAACTATTACTTTAAATGGGGTGGGGGACGCCTCACTCCTATTCCAGCAACGTCTGGGATGGAAATTAGATCCCCATGTTCGCCCGTCAGTGCTCGACTGCAGTTGCACGGATATCCCATGGTGCGGGAAGCTCAATGGTGATAAGACTACTGCTGCTTTTGGAATTGGACTTTAGTCAAAGAACCATGAAACAGACATGGAATCGAGGGGTTTGCCCCGACAACACATATGGGAACTGACCAGGCGTTGCCTTCTTCTCTGCATGCCGCTGCGCAAGGCCCACGAGACGTTGCCTTGGTAATGTCGTCTTCGTACTGGATGCAACTACATGAAAGAGTCAAGCCTTGCAAGATGAAAAGGGGGCCGCGTATGTTGCAGATATTTGTGTATGCAGGCAGCGCCGAAAATGCGCTTGGGGGATTCAGCCAAGCCCAAGTGCTGACACTCACCCTATCAGATTCCATCGGGGCTTGCAGTCGTCGCGCATGGTAGGCTCCCAAACTGTCTCCGCAGCAGTTCTAGATCATCTTTGTGTCGCACAGCATACGCCAAGGCCCGAGACAAAGGTTGTTCAGCTCGTGTGCTGCGGTTGCACGACGTTGTAAAATTAGAAACACAGTATATTAGAGAGATTAGTTGGCCGGGTGGCAATGGGCGTGAGGACTTAGACTGCGCCGAGAAAGCTTCGATACATGTTGTACAACATTATCTAGACCCTTGGGCGGTTGCGTTGGCATTAGTGGCTCGATTTCTCAGGCACCGTTTCACCTACGCAGACAGGCTGTGCCCATTTTGCATCCAATCCAGCGGTGAATTAGTTAATCTTGTCGTGCGATGTTGATTGGGAGGAGAAAGGGCGGAGGCAGTGGTATGTGACACCGATGGCTTCGAAGGTTATTAAATCCACTCGCAACTACTTGTTCGTAAATTGGCATGAGTTTAGAACGCATAACTAGCACCTCATAGACACTTGTTATCACTAATTCCAAGTATTAATATTACAAGGCCGATAGTGGGGACTGCTGCTAGCACACTGCAGTTCCATGCTTGCACTTGTGCCTAACGGTCGAAATAAACGTGATAAGAGACATAACTACAGTTTTAAGCTTTGACAGACGGTAGAACGCGAACGAAGACCAGGTAAACTAAATGACGCGCCATGCACACAGAAGCTTGCCACACAGTGATAACAGTAACTTAAGCCCTTCCCTTGGGCCTCCTTGCAAGCCAGTAGAGAGCAAACACAGCCAGGACGTTGAAAATGACATGCACAGTCATGTATCCTGCATTCCACCATGGATGTTTGATGTCCATTCCCATGGATTCTAACGCCGCGTTCGTGCTGAATATCGGACAATACTGACAGTCGTTGGTGGCCTCCGGATTGTCGAGATAGCCACCCGAATACTCCATATACGATGCGAGGTACGAACCGCATGTTACCGGACTTGTGGCATGGGCAAGACTCTGAGGTATTTTCACTATCAGTGTCTCAATAGAAGAACAATGAATATGGGTGTTGGCAAGGCCGGCGGCCACGAGGCCTCGGATGAAATACGTCAAAGGCGACACTCGGTAGACGAAAATCCAGAATCTAGGAAGCGCATCAGGCCCGACAATGACCCTACAACCCAAAGACGCGTTAGCTTCTTCATATATCTTTGGGAATACAGGTCATGTGTATGCCTTACCCGGAGAATACCAAAGACAACCAGAAAAACAGGGTTGCAATTTGCACGGCTGTCTCTGCCTGTTCGATTCCTGCTGCAATGGCTTGAGAGAATGCTGATATCCACAGGCAGAAGAGCCAAATCAGAACGAAAGCCAGAGCACCTCGCTCATTAGAAGTGAATTCTGAGTCTCCATTTCGCCACAAACCTGTCGGGAAGTACCACACTACAAACACAAGGACCGCAGCAATAGTCTGCCAAAAGAGCTCGACAACAATGTTTGCAGCAAGGAATACAACCCATGAATATGATTTCGCGCGGCTGTCACGGGATTCGTAGCGCGATCGATTGTCTAAAAACCGCGGAATGACCTGCTGGTCAACAGTGCTGAACAGCATGGACAATAGGAAGATGGAAAAGATGATGTTGGTCACGCCCTGTAAGTCGAGCGGGGTGTTGGTGAAAGAAAGTCCGTTGAATAAGGCCTGGTAGGAATGTTACAATGTAAGTGTCTGGTCTTTAAGGAAAGACGCCGTGTACAAGGTACATGGGTAGATGAGCAGCAGTCTTTTGAAACGGAACGTGTACGTACGAGTCCTGTACATAGAGCCATTTTCGAGTACATGTAGGTTGGATTTCTCCAATACTCGAGGCAGACCTGTCTTGTGATGAGGAGCATCTGCCGAGGAATGGAGGCGGCATATTTCTTTTCCAGTTGTGATACGTCCCGGGCCCGAATCTGAATGTCTTCCGGGCTTTTCCCACTTGAGTGTTCGGCCCCAGGGGACGCGCTTTCTTGCGTTTGATCACTTTTGATGCACTTGGGGTCCCATTGGTCAAAGCCATCACCGTTCGTGACATCAAGCATCCACTCAGCTGGATTAGTCGACGCCCCGGAGAATTTTGGTGCTCCTCTGTCTTCGAAGTAATTAATCACCGCCGTAGCATGTGGTCCGATGTCTCCGAAGTACAGCGCTTGTCCTTGACGATTGAGTAGGAGAAGACGGTCAAACATCTCAAATATTTGCGCCGATGGCTGGTGGATTGTGCACAAAATGGCTTGGCCGTGGTCCGTAAGTTTGCGAAGAAGTACACAGATAGACCAGGCTGTCTGACTATCCAGACCCGAGGTCGGCTCATCTAATGCGTCAAAGTTCAGTCAAAAACTCTAAAGACCGTGTCTTCGAAACAATGCCCCAGCACGGGGGCAACAGGCCATTTCAGAGTTGGCAACGTACCCAGGAAAAGCAGCAGATCGGGCTTTGCCACCAGCTCCACCCCGATGCTCAACCGCTTGCGTTGTTCAATATTAAGTCCTGCTCGCGGCTTAGTACAACACTTGAAATCTGAGCAAGGCCGCCTGATGACAATGAGACCACGAGATCTGGACCTTGAAACTGACCTGCTCCGGGAACTCCAACGACCGCATCGGCATGTGACTCCATTTCGAGGAGGTTCAGTACTGTGTTGACATAGTCAAGCTTCTCTTTCGTGGACTGTGGCCCAGCTTGACGCAGCAAGGCGTTGAGCTCCAAGGTCTCGCGCACTGTCGCGGGAGGCGAATGCCAGTCTTCTTGCTGCACGTAACCGACCTTGCGCTGGAAACTTGAGTCTCTCGGAGAACCACCCACAAGAATTTGGCCGCTTTCCTTGCCAAAAGTTGCGCGATTCGCGAGGACATCGAGGAGTGTGGTTTTGCCAGCACCACTCACACCCTGAAGTTTTGAGATAATTGATCAGTTGCCATGGAAACAGCGCGTAGGAAACTATGTAGAAACGGCCGGTTTGGAAACAGGTATTCGATTCGAAACAAGAAAACGAAAAAGAAAACAAAACCTGTTCCTTACCATCAGGGCTGTCATTGTCCCAGGCTTGACCCATCCTGTAATTCCATTCAGGATTCGTTTCGTGCCGTTCTTAGTAGCCACTTCATAGCATAGATTATTCCATTGAAACATGACTGACTGCCTGGGAATCCTGATGTCCAAAATTTGATCTCCTGCATTGTGTTGAGTCCTTCGCAGTTTGTTGATATCCTGGGCAAATGTCATAGGCAGCTCTTTGTTACCTCCTTCAAGACCTGGCTTGGAAGGCTGTTGCTGAGGTACACCCCGATTCTGGAAGATAAGTACGTCTCCTTTCGATCTTTCCGCCAGTATGTACTGGGAAGCGATGACATGGATGGCACAGAAGGCGAACATAAACCCAAATTGAATGCCGAGGTTTCTAAGTTATGACCTCGTTAGCCGGAAAACTGTATCCTCTGACCACATGTGCAGTAATCAGCGAAAAGATGCACTTGGATGAAGGATACTTACCTCCACAAGTGACTTGGATAATATTCGTACTTTTGTGCAAGATACCTGGATCCTTCAACTACGGACTCGCCTGGGAGAGCACCAATGACCGGGCAAACCTTGCCCTCCATGACGGCAGTCGAGCTGTAGTTAGGCCCACTCGGCAGTGGCGACAGGCAGTAGAAATTTCTTCCAATAAACTAAACAAGCCGAAGATCAGACTTGCTTTCCTACCTACAAAAAGCGTCCCGCGTCGGTCGAGTAGACGTACCTCATTAAGCATCAGGCTCTCGTAGACATACGCCAGAGGGTTGATGAACCGGAACCAACCCAGCCATGGTACCATGTATGATACAGGTATGACGAACCCCGCGTAAACTGAACAAAGTAATACAGCAATGGAAGACGGTGCCATGGTCTGCTCCATCCTTCTTGAGACAGATCCAACCATGCGAAAATACATAGACATGGCCAAGAGAACAAAGAAGTTGAACAAATAATAGGTGAAAAAAGCAGAGCCTGTTCTACGGAGGTTCGTCATGAAGTAAAGAGTGACATTGAACAGAAATGAAGTAGCAATCTTGTTGGGAAGGTCGCAGAGCATCGATGTTACACTCTCAATGAAAGGTTGGCAGTATTCATATCGAGCATGCTTTTCAACTATGGGACGTTGAGCCCACATAGTAAGTACCTTGGGAACGTCAGTAATGTTCCGTTCAATGGGGTGGAAGGTTGAGCTTGCCTCAAATGCTGGAGTGCATGCGTTGATGACAAGCGAAAAGAAAAGCAGCACGGCGCGATGATCCATGCTTTCGGCGGTCTGTGGGATATTGTAGAATGCGCTGCCTATGACCAAGGCCAGGATCGAGTTTGCCACAAGTCCCGCGATGACGGGGACATAGTTATTGCGCAGACGCTGGAGACCTCTTTCAAGGCAGGCCGTGAGCTGTCGATATGCTGATACCGTGTATGTAGAGTAGGATGCTGCTCTCGAACCATTTTCTTGAAAGGGATGGGCAGACTCGAAGTCGGTGATCTCACGGCTGTTCAAGTGATTCTGACGACTTTGTCGCCAAGCAGCTGCGAATTCGTCTGGGGTCCGCGGTACCTTGTCGACAGACCCTCGAGCTCTACGCTCTGCTGGATTGGTCAGGGACGTCAGGAAGTCTGCGGTGGTAGAATTCTTCGGTCTATCGAATCCCAGGTCTTCGAAATACTCAGAAGCCATTGCTGTTGGTCCGAAAAAGATCTGGCGGCCTTCATAGAGAAGCATGACCTTATCAAACTTCTAAAAAAGCCTCTTGTCAGTCGCCTGATACACATACCCTGTGTACAATTCTAGTTCTTGGACGGTAAATACCTGATACTGTGCTTCAGAAGCCTGGTATATGCTCATCATCATGACAAGTCTAGCCTTGTCAGTTATCAGTCTCAGAAGGGAAATGAAGCTCAAGGCAGTTGAGCTGTCCAGTCCCCGTGTGCTGTTGTCCCAGCACTGATATTGTGCGCTGCTGATGTACGCCTCAGCGAGACTCGCTCGACGTTTCTCCCCGCCACTAATTCCACGGACAACGGCATTACCTACGGGCGTGTCGAAGGCCTTGTCCAAATAGAATAACGACGCGATAGTGCGACTCAGATTGTCTGGCGAGGCTGTCAGTCCAAGATTGTGAAGGACCGAGCTGACATCTCTGAGTTGTGTGGTGAATCCAAGTGTTTGGCCGAGAGTGAGCTCCGGGAAATGGGCATCTTGTTCTGCCACATACAGACGTTCGGCCGTTTGGAGTTCGGTCATCTGTTGGTAGGATACACCTGATTAATTGTAAGCGACTTTTGCGAGAATGATCAGGATAGTGGCTGTCTCCGCGATTTTACTAGCCTTGGTAATTGATCGAATTCTCTTCCAAGTCGATACCGTAAGTATTACCCGACATGCATTTGAGAAATGTCGAGAAACCACTTCCAGGTCGGCCAAGGACAAGTAGCATCTCGCCAGGCTGGATGATGCCGGTTACTTGGTGGAGGATGACAACCTTCTCCGAATGTTGTGCCCTTGAGACCAACCCAAGCAGTCTCCTCGGTAGCCAGAAAAGGGCTGTCAAAAAGTTGGATTGATACTGATTCGCCGTGATGTATCCATAGCAGTTCAAGTCTCGAAAGCTGACACCAGATGGAAAACGGCCCTTGGACTCAGCTACAATGGGCTCGCCATTGGCGACATTGGCCCCAGACTTCTCAGACATATTGGGCTATTGAAAGAATTGGTGATCGCCGCAACGTCGCGATTGAGCGATGGCAGCTCGCGGGAAATACAGAAACGATGACTGCTCGCACACGTCGGCGGCGAAAATGATGGGGAAGCAGAGTGTCTGGTCGTCACCTGGGCAGTGCAGGTCAATAACGGCCAAGAATGGGGATCCACCTTCAAACTGTTGGTTTGAAATCGGGAGGCTCTGCTCGGTCCGAATGGCTAGATACGCTTCACCATATCTCGCTTCACAAGAAAATAATGCAGTGCGACACTATTATTATGCTGATTGAAGGCACTAGACACGGTGCTTGACTGTTGGCTCAGCCGCGCCGCGCACAGCACGCATGCGTTCTTGGAGCTGCGTCGCGCAGTATCCATGAAGTCGTCAAGTGCTATTCCTCATGATCCAGATACTATGCACTGTGTAATTTCCAGGACAACGGCCCGTAAAAAGCCGATGCAACGTACTGTGTACCTGAGTCAAATCTGAGCAGCACATGAAATGTCAGCTACGGCACCATCGATCAACCTAGACAGGAGCAACGATGTAATCCAGCTATTGCCATGACACGGGACAAGGATTGCACATGGGTGGGTACCCGTCGTGACGAAGTACTCAGAAGGCATGTTAGACTCCGAAATGGCGTCCCACTGTCATCTTGTCAGCCGTCCTGCCGACCCTGGCCTAGCTACGGCGGGCAGCGGCGCAGCACACGGCACGGAGGACGGCCCCGCGCCATCTTATCGTGTTCTCATGCGGCCCACGTTTCTTCAATATCATAGGGTATTTCACAGGGAAGACCTTTGCCTTTGGGTCGTTCTGGAATATTGTGTCGGCTGCGGGAACCGCCGGCGTAAGTCCTTCAGCCCGGTCCGGTGGAGTGCCAGTGAGAGCATGGTGGGAAGACCCGATTGTGTGATGTTGCGACTGAGGCCAGGATGAGGGCTTGGCAAATTCATGTTGGGTTGGGAGTAGCCTAAGTACAATGCATATAGTACCCAGGCCTCCTTCTCTGAAGGTGAACAACATTCGGAGTTTCCACAGCCTTCTGAGGTTCAACATACGACACAATTTATGTGCAGTATAGATTTACTTCCTAAGAACGGAAAGACTATATATAATAAATTTCTAAACCTTAAATTAAAACTAATAAGGTTAATATTTAAAAATAATTAAAAGTTAACTCTTAATTAATTTAATAAGAGAACGGATATTAGTACTTATAAAAATAAATAATATACTTACTTATATATTTTAAATTTTTTAAAACGTTATCTATTAATATATAATTATATAAAATATTCTTATATTTTATAATACTTTTAAATATTTCTATATATAAAAGTAAAGTTAAATAAAATTATGTTTATATTTATATTAAGATTTTTAACTAATTAAAAACTATTATTTATTAAATTATAAACTATTTATTTTTTAATTATATTACTAAGTTAAAAGTGAATAATTAAAGTTTTAAAAGGATAAAATATAATATATCTTTTAAAGATTAACTTAATTAAATTTATTATATAAAACTTTTATAATAACTTTATAATTTACTATATTTATAATATTATTTATTATTAAAAGATACCTTTTATATTAATATACTAAGTTATACCTAATTTATTTAAGTTAATACTATTAGCCTTAATATAAATTAATTTATTAAAGGTTAAAGCTATTATAAACTATAAACTATAAGCTAGTTTTAATACTATTAAGTATTATATATAAGATTATTATATAATTTAGGTAAGTTAGTTGAAATAAGTAAAAATAAAGCTACTATTTTCTTAAAGGGTTCTAACTCTACTCTATAAGTAAATACCTATCTAGTAAACTTAAAAGACTATTAACTTTACTACTAAATAAAACTAGTTAAAAGCAGTCACTTAGTTTACTACATAACCTATTAAACTAAAAAATAACCTTTAAATAAGGTAACCACACTCTATTATTACTTTAAGTTTATAATTCTAATAGTTTATAAATAAAAAAAGAAATAATTATTAATAATTAAGTTTATAACTATATAAAGGTAAAACTTTACTTTAAAGAAAGGTTATTAATATTTAAGATAGTTAAATATATCTTTAAAAAATTAAAATTATAAGCTTAATTTAAAGGAAATTAAGATTTATAAAATTTTAAATTTAAACTTAAAGGCTCCTTTTAAATTTAACTCCTTTAAAAGAAGAAATATTAAAAGGTTTAAAGAGGTTTAAATAAAGTTAGAAATTAAATTAAGTTATAATATAATAAAATAGTTAAATAAAAATTAATTAGAAAATTATAATTATAAATCTTTTAATTATATATTTAAAAGAGATTTATTAAATTATAAGTTAGTTTTAATAAAGTTATAAAAATATAAAAATATAAATAAATACTTTATTCTTTATATTATAATTTAATATTATTTTTAAATTTAAAAGAAAGTTCTATTTAAAGTTAAAGTAAAAGTTATAATATAACTTCTTTTATAAAATTTAAGATTTACTATTATTTATAAAATATTAATTTTATAATAATAATTATATTATTATATTTTATATTATTATAAAATAAAATTGAAAGGATACTTAATATATATAATTTATATATTATTTATTTAAATTAAGGTAGTAATTAAATTATATATTTATTTTAATAAAAGTATATTATTCGTTTTTATAGGTACGAATATTCATTCTTTATAATAATATACTAATAATATAATATTAACACTTACTACTAACCTTTCTAATATTCTTATATAAAATAAATATTAAATATTTTTAAAAAGATTTTATATTTTTAAAAAAATATAAATAAAATATATTAAATTTAAAATCTAATATATATTATATATTTTTTAGTTTTTAAAATTTCTTAGTTTATTCTGTTATATTTTAGTTTTTAAAAACTTATTAATTATAAGTAAGGGACTGTTTATACTTAGGTCGAGTTTATTTATATCAATTTTCATTAAAATACTTTAATAAAAGAAGAGCCGTAAGGTGGGACAAGATGCTGTGCATGTGTGCGGTCCTAGTTATCTTCTACATGTTTATCCATTTTTGATTTAGTATCCATCGCACAAAAGCACTCCCGAGATCTGCTAATCCAGTGATAGAGTGGTTGCCGTCGCACGGTTGGTGTGGATAGGCTTCATTGATTACGACGCCAGGAAGATGCAGCTGAGAGGCTCAGTCAGAACAACACGAATCACCTCGGATGGCCAGGCCTTGGCCAGCCATTTCGGATAACTGCACATGGACTAATCAAGCAGCTGGTAGGCTTCGCGGTGACATTTTCAGTGGGGCATTCTAGGTTGAGAAGCCCGTTGGTTGCTATTGATGACCATTGAGGGACTTCGTGTTCTCCGAGTTGGCCCAGCGTGGTGTAGCTCTCCCCGCACAGTGCTGCACTGTCTCATCAGTGCAACACAGGGCTCCATACTCGATTTGTTGGTGACCAAACCTGTACGGAGCTCTGCCGCCGCCCGTGCAGCCCGGGAACAAACCGTTGAAAATCTCATCTTGGAGGCTCCCGTTCTAACTTTTATGTAAGGCCACTGGCACTGAATGCTACGTCGGTCCAATCCAGTCTTACGGCGGCGGCTTGTCTCTACGAATGCTAGATCTGCGCTGCATCATCAGAGTCGGTTGAGCCTGAGACGCGAGCCTTGAGCCTTGGATCACTGGAGCAAACACTACATACAGGGCTGCCCTTCTGATCGTTTGTTGACGACCGAACATTATTGCTCCTTGGTTTCACTTTAAACACGCGCCACTCACCGTACACACAACTTGAGCTGCACATCCCGATCCGTCTCTCCCTCCCAAATCTTGCACGGTGTATTGCAGTCTCCGTACTTGGACGGAGCCCAGGATGTCGAACTCTGCTTTTGTGGTGGTCTTGGGGGGCGCGGTTGCATCATATGCTTTCTTCTGGGCACTTTTGCGCCTCACGCAGGACAGCAGGGAGCCTCCCGCTGTGCTCCAGACCTTACCATTCCTTAGTCCCATCTTCGGCATGATACGATGGAGTATGGAGTTTTATCCGCACATGAGGTGAGTTCGTCTCTAGCATACTCGATTGAACCATGGCTCACAAAGTCGGGCCAGAGAGTCATACCTGAATTTACCCATCTACACGTTAAGAATTCCTGGCGCCCGCCTCTACGTCATCAACTCTTTGAATCTCATTCCTGTCGTGCAACGCCAATGGCGCACACTCTTGTTTCCTCCTGTGTCGGTCAAGGCGGCGAAGGTCGCGATGGGGGCCAGTGACTCCGCCATTGCAATTCTTGAACAGGATATGGTCACCGATAGAGGTTTTGTTCCAGGAATGGTGAAAGTTACGCATCCCACCATGGTATGTCCATCTTTCAGCCCCGAATTCTCACTTGTCAAACTTGTCTCAAGACACTTCACCCTGTTGTCTGGACCTATATCCCTGCATCGTAGTCGAGCAACAGTTGATCCGAGACGCGAGGCACAAAACTATGGAAATTGGGGTTTTGTATGAATCCGAGGACTAACCAGGCATTAATAGAGCAATGGTCCAGCTCTAGACGACCTCAACGCCAAGGCCTTTGCGGCCTTCGATGAAGCCATGGGCCATTTCACAAACCCTGCTGGCACAACCGTCAGCATGTTTCAGTGGATTGGCTCTCAAATTATGCGCGCCACCACTGATGCTGTTTACGGGCCTGGGAACCCGTTGCGCGACCCAGAGAACCTCGAAGCTTGGCAGTAAGTGCCCACATCATCTCATTTCCTACCCTGCCGTTTTGCTGCCTGCAAGACCTGACCGCGCCACGCAGTAAATACCACCCAGCTCTTATGTTCATGATGTTGGACATATTGCCGCAAAATGTTTTCTTCAGACAAGCTGTCGCCGGTCGTGAACAACTTGTCAGAAGCTTTGCTAAATACTTCGCCGACGGTGGCTACAAAAATGGGTCAGCCTACATACAGAGGTTCACCCAGCACTGTATCGACCAGCAGATACCTGAAAGCGATGTTCCGAGGTTTCTCCTGGGCACCCTGTTCAACAACGTGGCTAATACCATTCCCGCTGCGTTCTGGGTGATTTATCGCATCTTCAGCGACAAGACCGTCATGGAAGCATGCCGTGCAGAAGTGAGCAACGCGGTGAAAGAGAGCAGCAACTCTTCTACCATCGACCTTACTCTAGTTCTCAACTCATGTCCGCTGCTTTTATCTACGTACCATGAGGTCTTCCGCTATTACGGCCTGGCGAATTCTGTCCGCATAGTATCAGAGGACCACATGCTGGGTGGACAGTACCTGCTGAAGAAAGGAGGTCTCGTCATGATGTCCGCCCGTGCCCAACACAGCAACCCAGCCGAATGGGGCGCCAACGTGAGGGAGTTCGACTACAAGCGTTTTGCAAAGACAGGCGATTCCGAGAAGCGCATCAACCCCGTTGCGTTCCGCGGTTTCGGAGGCGGTACATCACTGTGTCCAGGCCGCCACTTCGCTACCAGCGAGATATTGCTGCTGGCAACTTTGCTACTTTTACGGTTCGATGTGCAGCCGGCGGACGGTCAGTGGGTGCATCCTTCGACTGCAAAGTCATCTCAAGCGGAGGCCGTTGAGCAGCCTGACAAGGACATCAACATCAAGCTCATTCCTCGAGTTGGCTTGAACCAGAAACCGTGGCAAATTGTCTTTTCGGGTCGAAGGGACGCGGGGGCTCTGATGCAGGAGTAGTTGACTGTCTGAGTGGGGCCTTGGTTTGTGAGGAGTACCTGGGTACTATCTTGAACTTGGTCAATACCCCTATTTGCGTCGCCATGTTGTGGTTATTTGCGTTAGAGTTTGAGCTCACTGCGCAGTGGTCTCATTGTGAAGTTGGTTTCTTTGGTCATACAGTAGTATGGTGGGTCTACTTTATCATTGAGCAGGTAGAGTAATTTATCGCAGTTCAATTGCAACATACCTGGGTAATCGGCCGATTTGCCAGCCAGGAAATGCTTTCACTGGTGGCCGTGATAAATATGGCGTCTTAAGGTGCGTCCGGTGAAAGGTTACTGGGTGCCCCTGGAGAAGATTGTGCCTCTTCCAACTACGCTTCCTATTCCAGTGCGGAGGCATCAACCCCAAGTGACTTGGATGTCACGACCGTACCGAGACAACATACCATGTCATGATCTTTTGTATATAGCAAACGTGGCACATCATAAATAGTCGAGCTTCTCAAGTGATTACATCAAATCAAGTAATTCCATGTGTTTCTGATTTCTGCAAGCACTGGGATTTTTTCAACTCGCCAGACTGTCCGCTATAGATGTATGTATAAACGTAATTATGACTGAGTATCAAATTATGCGGTCTAATGGCCCTTGTTACATACTTATGTACATGCTTACTTCACAAGGTACTTGAGTAGGTACCTAGATACATTTGGGGGGCGGAATAGCTCCTGATTGGCGGATCATTCAGCCACGCGTGGCTGACTGGTCTGTGGCTGTGCCATTTGGAAACGTCTCACCATTTTGTCCTCGGAGCACTTGAGAGATCGTTGCAGAGACCGAAAAAGTACAAACGTCCAATCATCCCACTCAAATTTCAATCCCGGCGCTGATTGGACTCTGAATTGAAGCAGGTGAATCGTCTTCATTTGAGCCTGATCGACATTGTTTTTGTGGCCACGCTTTATGAAATTTTACTTACTGGTCGCGGGACTGGTGCTGCTCGTCGCCTTGGGCTTCAACTACCGGTCTTCATCCAACGTCACCATGTCGGAAAGCCCGTTACCAGAGGAGGTTGCTGCATCGCTTCTTACTTTGAACGGTCTCGAGCTTCAGTCATTGAAAACAATACAGTCATTGTGGGCTGGCTATGGCGAAATCTGCCGCATCGTCGCGACGCCGAGCAGTTCGGTAAATTCTTCGGCAGAGTCATCACGTACAGCCTCGACCAGCAACTCGGGGATCTCTACGCCCCAATCTACAGTCTCAGAACCCCAGACGTTCATTTTGAAGCTGGTCAATCCGCCGCCGACGAGGTCGGGCGATGAAGGTCACACGAGGAAAATCCTGAGTTACCAGGTCGAACAATACTTCTACAGCCACCTTGCGCCACAGATGCCAGCGTCCCTGCCAGTCGCTAAATGCCTGGGAAGCGTTAAGAAGCACAATAAGGACGGGTCGTCAGTCACAGCTACATTATTGAGCGATCTTCGGGTTCAGTATCCCGTCGCAGGGGAGAAGCGCAACGTGCTCTCTTCGACTCAAGCACATGCGGCCCTCGACTGGCTCTCGGGATTCCATGGTTTCTGGTGGCCGCGTGCCAAAGATTTCAAGCGCTCCTCCTTGGTATTGCCGCCTCTTGAGGAAGTGCAACGTGATGGTCAAGACGCGACTGACAAGACGGTCTGGCTGAACGGCGGCTACACATACCTGGCGACACGTCTCACGGAATATAACAGACTTTCTAGCGACCACCGAGACGAATGGAATGGACCTCTCACTGCTGTTGTCGACGGAACAGACAAGTCCGTCGCTCAGATCGTGGCCGCATATCTCGCACCAAGCCTACCCGAGTCGGAGCCTAGCGCCATTGAGGAGTATCAAACACTCATCCACGGCGACGTCAAGTCCGAAAACTTGTTCACTTCTACGTCCGGCTCGGAGGTTGCATTCTACGACTTCCAGTACACCGGCCTCGGCCTCGGTGTCTGCGACTTGGCCAAGCTCTTCACGTGCTCAATACCGTTGAACATGCTTGTAGCCGACAGTGACGTACCCCACGAGCTCAAGATGCAGCCTGGCGAGAAAGATTTATTGAACAGGTATTGGGCACGTCTGAAGGAGGCCAGCGGAAAAGAGTACGACTGGGCTCTCTTCGTGCGGCATTGGGAGACTGCACTGGTCGACTGGCTGCGCTTTCAGGCGAGCTGGGGCTTTTGGGGCAACACGGAGTGGTTGGAGGCTCGTGTTAGAAGCATTCTCAGCTATGAGGATTGGAGGAGAGAAGTGATTCGCGGTGCTGGAAAAACTAGAATACCTGGCCTCAGTTGAAAGGATCAAAACGAGGCGAGCGTGTTAAGCCGAGGTTCGCAATACCGACTGACATTTGTACGATTCACATGGTTAGATAGCTGCATAGAGGGTTGTAACTAGCACGACACGCTTCTTGAAGAGATGAGTCTAAAAATTTCACATGGCTTAGACGAGCTCACTGCAATGCATCAAGCCCGCACCCATAGGACATTCCGGCGTCCTTTGCTAAATTAGTATACAGATATTACCACTGGGCAGTTCAAACTTACCATGGCTGACTGTGGCACGGTAGTCGCTGTAGTACTAAGCCTAGTAGTTTCGGCGTTATTTCCATACCAGAAGCGGCCAGCTGTGCGGCTGATCATCTGATCCACAACGGCAGTAGCGTATTCGGTTCTCTCCATTCGAGAAAGCTGTTCATTTCCTTGGGCCCTGCTGGCGACGACACCCTCGATCGGTTTGTACAGGGACATCTCCGGGAGCTTGAAATCACCGAAGTACGTCTGGCCGTTGGTTTTGACTGCCCCAGTGACGACCTCGAGCACGCCGACGCCAAAAGGGGCCAATTCGAGTCTCAAGGTCTCAGCTACCAGCTCTAGAGACCTCTTGGATGCCGCATAAGCTCCTGTGTCCCACGTAAGTTCCCTGAGAGCTCCCAAGGGCTGGGGCGGGACAGCTGGCGTTTGGTGATATTTTGCTTACCCATGAAAGGAACGTTAATGTAGCCGGATATCGAGGTGATATACACCACCATGCCCTTTGATTTAATAAGCAGAGGCGCGAAGGCTTGAGTAATGGCGAGCGGGCCGTAAAGGTTGACCTCGAACAGGTTCCGGACCCGGTCCAAGTCCTCGTCTAAGATAGGCATGAAGTGATTGCGTCCGGCATTGTTGATGAGGTAGTTCAAAGTGCCACCTGTCTGCTTGGTGACAAGTTCAACGGCAGCCTTGATGTCGTCGTGTTTGGTGACATCAAGCGTCAGAATCGTGATGTTGGGGAGATCTTGGAGCTCCGACATCTTTGAGGGGTCGCGGGCTGTGGCGAAGACATGGAGACCACGCTGCTGCAGGACCAGGGCGAGGGCAGAGCCAATGCCGCCATCGCTGCAGCCAGTGATGAGGACAGTTTTCTTCGAAGACATCACAATAGTAATTGTTTAGCCAAGTCGCTCGGTATGGGTAATTAGTAGATCCCAAGTCGGGCTTTTGGACTCATGTCAAGAACAAGGCAGATATGATGGCCGCGGAGGCCAAGGTTGCATTGTGGGATCATCTAGTCTCTGTTAGTTCGTTCTTGGCCAACAGGCCGAGAATCATCATTGATGTGCGCACTGCATGTCGAGTGATGTGAGCGGCGCAAAAGGTCCGCTCACAGTACGCATCTGTTGGTCGGTAGCGCGTATCTTGATTTTCACAACAGCACATCCCTGCCATTTTGCTTCCCAAAATGCACTGCAGACCAGCACCAGTTAATACGTCCCAGGCGTTGAGTGCTATTATCAGCCTAGCTCCAGACCATGCCAGCGCTGCTGTCCGCGAGCGAGGTGCGCGAGGAATACAGTACACCAACTTAGATCGTGCTAGTTAGGCAGGGCAGGATCGAAAGAAGAAGCCACTGTCTCCACCAGATCATTCAGAGTAAGAGTCGCAAGCTCATCCTTCCTTTCGCACATGAAAGTCAAGCATCGCTGCAGAACCTCTATGAAACTCACCGGGAAGCCGTGCTCTTTTCTCCACCTCTTGTACGCCTCCCCCTCGCCGTCCACCATGAAAAGCTGATTAATGCCCATGCGCATGCAGTTCACTGTCGTGTGGCACGGGAGTTCCACCAGGAACTGCTCAGGCCCGTCCTCGATCACCTGCGACCACAAGCTTCCAGCAGGCACCTCGCGCCAGTTGTATATCACGTGGACATCCTTTGCCATAGTTAAGGACTCCACCAGCAGCCGGTTCGTGTTGGTATCTGCCGTCTTGAGTGCGGCCTGGTGGCAGTGCATCCACAAGGACTGCCTCGCGAGCGAGAGAGGGAAGCGGAATGGTGATGGGAACGCGGCCAAGCCTCGGGACTGGTCAATATTCGGGATCCGTGGGTTACGTGATGAAGTGCCGTAGCCGAAGCAGACGGCCTTTGGCAGCGTGTGGGTACCTTGGTATTCGTAGACTGCCAGGGCTAATGGTACGATCACCTGGACCGTAGTGGGCGCGGTCATGCCCATGGCGAGCGTCAGGCCCGTGAGGTCGCCAGTCCACATGGCTTGGTTGAAGGCATTGTCCACGGACACGCGAGAGATCCTGTGGCCGGCACTTGATCCTAGTGGTGGGATATATGGTGGCAGTTCAGACACGCCGTGGCTCAACTCATCATCCTTCCAGAACTTGATCTTGCTAGAGTAACTGGCTTTAGCTCTTTGAAGGAGATCTCGAGTTAGAATGCCGGTTGGCAAGGGCTTCTGTGGCAAATTTTCGATTGTTGCCAGGCCTTCGTATAGCCTTATAACATTGTCTCGCAGCCTTGAGCGAGAGGTGTTGTCGGTTACAATGTGGCTTTCAGAGAAGAACAGGGATCGGCATGTCTCGCCCTGGTCGTTTGGAAAGCTGACTAGCAAGTACTTCTGTTTAATCACCACTTGCCGTTAGCATCTGCCTAGTGAAGCGATGGTTATTAAATCGAATGGGGAATCCGTCCTACCGATGCACGACAACCAGGAGTGTAGCGTTCTGCGTCGTGCTCCCGTTGCAGCCTTTCAAGCATCGCTCCTTTCGAGGGAGCGGACCACTCTTCCCAGTTCAAATTTGCGACATTGGGTTTGGCAATAACTTGAAGCCACTCCTCGGTAGAGGGTAGCTGAGCGAAAAAAGATCGCGGAAGCTGGGTCCAGGCAAGCAAGCTGTCAGCATACGTTGATGATAACAGCATTTGAAGACTTTTGAGGAGGACAGTGTTATAACGAACCGGCTCAACTTTAGCCACCTCCTCCAACGCCCATTTCAGCCTTTCAATATCGACAGATTCCTTGATCGTAGCTCCAATCGTAACGAATGACGCCGCTGTGCCCTTCATACCCCATTGATCTGTCAAGGTCACACTGTGGAACCACTTCGCCTCCGGAGTTAAGGGGAGGACATCTTCTAGTTGATCGGTTGTTAGTCCTGTTTGCTTCGCCACCTGGGACAGGGCTTCATCAAGAGACAGTGGACTCTCAGTGTCTTTGATGAGTTCGCTCAGAAGAGAAAAAGGAGCAGGCGGCTCGACATCATCAGCGGCTGCCTTGCCGGGACTCCCTGTCACATTGTCTCCCTTCCCAGATGAATACGATTCCACACACATGTCGATGACTTCCTGAACAGTGGGATTCAGCATCAAATCCGACATAGCGAGGCTGCACCCCAAACGGCGGACGTTGCCTAAAAGCCTCGTCAGATTCATCGAGTCCGCGCCCAGCTCCAGTAGCGTGACTTCAGGCTTAAGCTTGTCAGCAGCGACGCGCAAATCCTGTGCCATCAGTGTAGATATCTGAGATGAAAGATCCACGGCATCCATCTTCACCGGCCTTCCGTTGACCTCGCCATTAGGTCGTCTCGCCAGCTTTTTGCACAGCTGCGCACGCTGGATTTTCCCTGTCGGGCCCTTCGGGATCTTGTCCTCAAAGAAATGTATCCGCTTGGGGATTTTGAAGAGGGCCAGCCGCTCTTCAAGACGGCGCTGGAGCACTGCCTCGTCGTGAAGTTCTTGGGGTGCGTCTTTAGCGAGGACGACGGCGGCCTCCACCTCTTGGCCAAAAAACTCATCAGGGACTGCAAAGCATGCCGCCTCGCGGATGTGTGGCGCGGCGCAGAGAATGATGGCCTCGTCGACCTCGGGTGGTGAGATCTTCTCCCCGCCGCGGTTGATAATCTCCGACTTCCGTCCAACAATACGCAGGTATCTCCCGGCCTGACTGTCTAGAATACCGATATCGCCCGTGCGGAGCCAGCGTCTGCCAGACGAGTCTACAAAGAACGTCTTGGCGTTGGCTTCAGGATTATCGAGGTAGCCTCTCATGACCGAGCCCCCTGTGATGCAAATTTCACCCTGGACGTCTGTTCCAAGCGGACCAGCGGTGGGGTCATCGCCGTAGATGCTCAGGGACACCGAGCCCGATGCCTTGCCGACGTATCCTGGCCTGGTTTCAGTCAATGAGTTCGTAGCCATTTGATGGGCATTCTCGGTCATTGCGTAAGCCTCCAGAACCGGGCAGCCGAATACCTTTCGCAGGTCCGCGAAAGTGGAAGGGAGCAGTGGCGCAGAGCAGCTGCGAAGGAATCTGATACGCAAGTCGGGGCCGGGTTGCGGCGCGTGGAGGAGGATCTGCAGCGCTGAAGGTGTACCCGACAGCCATGAGCAACCTGCTTCGACGAATTGATGCCAGGCAACGTTGGCGTCAAACTTGTTTGGAACCACCACACTGCCCCTGGCTGCCAGAGGGGCGAGCAGTCCAGCGACGATGCCGTGGATATGGAAAAGCACTTGGATGAGATAACCTCGATCCCCGGGGCCAAGACAGCAGGCCTGGGCCACATTCTGAGCACCATGGCAAAGATTAGCGTGGGATAACGGCACAGCTTTTGGTTTACCTGTTGTCCCTGACGTGTGCAAGATGAGTGCGATTGAATCGGTCGTGGGAGAAGTGGACACAGGCACCACGTCGTTTGAGACATTTGCCTCGTCCTGTAGCTTCTCTGTCTGCTTGCCAAGTACTGTTACATCGACCTGATGAGATCCTGGCCCATCTTGATCTATGCGGACTGTGCAGACCGCAACGCCAAGTTTGCGTGCAGCCACGATCCCCGGATATGCTTCGTCCGTGCAGGTTGAGTCGACGACCAACACGCTCGCTTTCGCGTCACTCAAATAGAACTACCCCTCTATATCAATATTGTGACTTCACATAATTATGTCAGTTCACGCAGGTTGGCCTACTTCGAATTCCGGGACGGTGTAGGCAGGGTTCAGCGGGGCAGCAACGACACCACGGCTCACCAGCCCGAGGAACGTGCAGACGAAGCCGATGCCGTTGGGGAGAGCTAGGGCAACGACCGGCTGCCCGTCGATGCCAGATCCATTGTCACCCGCCTTGCCTTTTGCCAGAATCAGATCAGCCAACCGTTGGCTGGCCTGTTTGAGCTGAGGGCGTGTCAGGGAAATGTCGTTCACGTGTGGCGTGAGGACCGCGGGCGCAGACTCATTAGCATTCTCGGTCTCAAAAATGAGACCAGGGAGAGTTTGAGCAGCCATTTCCGAATCGAGACAGATTTCAGGGGTGATTGTTCAATGATGAGACTTTAGGTTTACTGGATGCTGCAAAGTGCGACTTCAAGTTGATAACGGAGGCGCAATCTGTCAAGATGGTACACAGTACAGAATTTTACTGAACTTTGGAATCTGTCTTTGTAAGCTTGGGTGCTTGGCTTGGCCACAGAGAGTTACAGTCTGACAGTCATATGCATCCGGGTGGACCATCGCTGCTATCGGGTGGGTATGGCAACACTACCTGACTCCCCAGCTTCCACTGCAGAGTCGATCTTTGATAACGTGGCATGATGCCCGTCTGGGCATTTTGTGGTGCGTGGGGCTAACGTTAGTTTGCTTACTCGCCTGAATCCAGTACTGCAACGATCTGCTTGCAACCATGGGAACTTGCAGGAACTATCTGCATGTGTCTCACATACCCACAGTAGTACTGCCACTACTGCATACTCATGTAAAGTGGAGACTTGGCGAGCGGCAAGGCTATCGGGCCTCTCAGAGATGCAGCACAAAGCCACATGGTGTGCCGGGCACCGTGTTGCCTTCTGGACACAGGAATCATTGCACCACTTTTCATTTTGGGCGACGTGCCTCTGGAAAAGCCGCTATATTTAAAGGTGCGACATACAGAAAGATAGGATCATCTTCCCCTGTTTTGAAAGGGCTAGCGTGCCAGTCCGAGATCGTCTTCTCGCCCTTTAACTCCAAGCTACCTGTTCAGGTGTAAGTCCTCAACGGCGTATTACCGCCTAGGTCTCATCAGCCGCCAGCACGGGTCATGAAAGCGGGCCACATCGACCGTCGGGGCCCCCGTCGGAAAAAAGAAATCAACGGTAGGCAGGCCGTCGTCGTTGCACACCATAATGACTTTCGTATCTCCGCATCCTCTCCCTCCTGTCTTGCCTTGCAACCACATACCACGCGTGAAGCAGGCCGGGCAGCCAGCCCAAGAGAGTGAGAAGTATGTTCAAACAGAAATGCGCACCGCACCCATCCGCAATCAAGACCGCTGCCGGTGGAAGAAAGACGGCAAGTACGAAGAGGATGATGCTCGACTGCCGCGCTCCTTAGCCTCGTTCGATTCAAATAGCCCGCACGTGCGTCGAGGGTGAAAGTTGGCTGGCCGATAGGAGAGGATAGAGAAGAAAGACTTGGAGAGGTGCACTCACGGCTGCGAGACTCATCTTGATCAGGCCGAAGGCAATTCCACCGCAGCACCTGGCTTGGAAGGACCTCGTAACTAGATAGCTAGGTAAGCCAGATATAGAGTTGCACACAAGAGGACTGTCGTGCGATTGGACAATGATCTCCAAGAACGATAGAGTTCTCCAGTATGAGACGTGAGTTAAGAATGAAGTCGGCTGCACAGGTGCGTATGAAAGTGCAGCAAATTTCGAAATTATTTTCCTTGCGTGAACGAACTGCCCCGGCTAAGACCCAAGACGTAACCAGGTTCACCGGTTGCACTGGCCTGTGGAAACACGCCAGGTCCCTTGTATTCCGTGCCTCACTTTTCTATCATCAATGCTGGTGCCGATCTCGCTCACATTGTGCGATGTTGGATCGCATGACCAAGATGAGCTTGCGTAACCAGGAACAACATTGGGTGCCGACTGCGATCTTGGTGTTTAGACGCGTGGATATCCCGGTCCCGAAAGCTTCTCGAAGGCTGCTGCTTCTGATTCAGCCTTCCGCTAGTGGTTTCGCCAGGAACTGTTCATGCGTGTTCGCCGCGGATTGGACCAAGACGCCATGACATCATATCGGAAGATTTCGAACGTCTATGCTTCGCACATTTATAGAGATTGTCGAGGTCGTCAGCGGTGGTGTCTGACGGGTTCTGCCTGTCTTGGTTGGGGGCTTGGCTGTACTTGGCCCAGTTGTCGCGAGATTACGCACGCTTGCAACTTGGCGAGTGAAGCTTACCGGAACTCCCGGCCGAATCCATTCCACGATCCTTGCCCCAACGCAAAATCCGTGGATTTGTGGGGTTTTACGTGAGTCACTTTAGTGCCTCGAGGGCCATCTTGCTTCAAGAGACTCCCCTTACACAGTATCTTTCATTGGAGATGTTCTCGTGGTGAATGAGGTGTTTTTGGGCGGCTGAAACCCTGTTCAAACTCTCTATATGAATCTATATATGGTATTTCGCTCGTCATGATATTAATTCCTCCCTGCGACTCATATGTACAGTTTCTCATCTTCTTTTAACCCCATGTCGTTATCTCTCTGTAGAGCGAATTCATCTTGCGGTGACGGGTACCGCGCAATGTCTTCGAGCGCTTTGTTTTTCCACCTCCTTGGAAGATATGGATCCCACCAGTGAGCGGCGGAATCACCTGCACTTAGCGGAGGATAGTTCATAGGCGTCAATGCTGGACTGGGAGGGACGCGTTGCTTCGGACGTTTCCGTATATCCTTCTGAACCTCTGGTAGGGCCCCTGGGATCATGGCAATGACAGCCAGCGCGAGCATGATGACGCTGAACACAAACAAATATGCCACGAGCGCTTTATACCCATCGCCCGTGTGAGCCACTATGGCCCTGATCACGATGGCTCCGAGCTTCCCTGAAGCAGCAGCAATGCCGTAGAATGAGCCGCGAAAGACCGTCGGGAATACTTCAGCTGTTATGATGAAAGTAAGCGTGTTCGGCCCAACGTTGAACATGAACTGAGCCAGCGCGAAAAAGACCATACTGAGGTAATGTGTTGGTCTGCTAAATGTCCTCACAACGCTGGCTCCTGTGGCAATAAACAGAAAGGAGAGGGCCACAGATGTGTAGATCAATAATCTCTTGCGGTTCGCATAGTGGACCATGGGGATAGCCACCAGGCTCCCAGCCAGCGATGCAATTGAGGACAGCAGCAATGTCCGCACAGCATTGTCGTTCAAGGCCCGCTGGATGGTAGCATTGGGAAGTGCGGGATTCGCATTCCAAATGGGCAAGGTCGAGTTCCAAACAGCCACGGTGCCGTTGACAAAATGCCCGGTCGTGTTGAACACGTCGGTCTCAAGCCAGAGCACATTCAATGTCGCCGGGCTGTCCAGACTGGTTCCATAAAAGCACACGTCCAAAAGGAACCATATGCTTGAGATACCCAGAAGGGGCTTCCAACCGCCCTCCTTCAGGTACTTCTGTGCGGCCTTGAACCATGGCGTCGGCTCGTGGTCGTTCTTGCTGTAGCTGTGCTGTGTCCCTGTCGAGAGTGATGTTTCTGGTCGTTGCTCCGCGCTGAGATCCCCGCCGGCCTGTTGGACGGCTATGGCTGCCTGTCGCAGGTCTTTCCGAATCCCAGAGTAGTACCTGGGTGATTCTGGCATGGTAAGGCGAAGACCAACAGCAACGAGTGCAATAGCACCGCCAACACCGATGACAGTTCGCCACACAATATCAATGACGATTTTGGCTTTTATCTCGTTTGCCCCCACATTAGGCTCATCCATATTCAGGTCGTAGTGCTCCATGAGTCTTCGTAATGATCCCAGGCCAATGCCGATGGCGAGAAAGCGGCCGACGCTTTGCATCAGGAAGATCGAAGCCATCATTGTAGCCCTGGTATCGGTAGAGGCGAATTCAGAGGCTATGACAGCCGAGACCGGATACTAATGAGACCGCATCAGTTTAGTATGCTCAAGGCACTGTGAGGCTTCGCCTCCCCAATAACTCACCTCTGCCCCGATTCCCAATCCTAATAAGCAGCGAAAGAAGATGATGGACGCGTAGATGCTCATAGAGGACTCTGTGTTGCCGTCCACGCCCTGGCTCATGAATCCCTGAGAGGACAAGACCAGCCCGACCGTCGCGAAAATGAGAATGATAAGCTCCCAGCCGTAGAGCTTCTTCCGCCCGCCCCGGTCGGCAAAGTGCCCGAAGACGACCATGCCGACCAGGGTGGAGCTCAGGGTCGTCAGGTCGAGGACTTCTCCGATGTCCTGCTTGGACTGGTTGCTCGGAGGATAGACGTAGAGAAGCGCGGGCTTCACGAAGTTCGTGGCGAACAGGCTGTATGAGGTTGCCAGGAAGCCAATGGCGACCGCGCAGAAGACTGGCCAGTTAAAACCGATGCAATCGAGGATGCGGAGAATGGCGATTTCCCGCTCGTGCCGGTCCTGAGCGGCAGTCGTCAGCGGAGTGGTCAGCGCAGTGAGAGGGTGAGGGGGTGAGTGGGATGGTTCTAAGCTGCCCATCGCCGGGGGCGGCGTTCTTACAGTGATGTGGTCGATATCCGGATGGACATCGATCGGCCGCATGGGATCCGGCAGTCGAAGGCCGGAGAGCCGCCAGTGTCGGTCGGCTCTGACTTCTTGGTGCATTGTGGCGTCAAGGCAGAGCGTTGGAAAACTAACAAGCCTCGGGGACGGGATCGGTGATGAGCTTGTTTCCGATATGGCCTAGATGCGGAAGAAGAATGTTAAAAATGAACTTCTGGGCGCTCTTCCCGCCTTCCCGCCTTGGGAAGCTGGTCGCGTGCTCGCCTCCTCGCTTAATCCTGTGAAGAAATCGAGCCGCATGCCGACTTGATCTCTGCCTAGGGTAGCTCCGCGGAAGCACGGTGAGGTAGTAATGCCCTGATCAGGCCATGGAGACGTCGATCTATTTCGGGCCATGGTACCAAGGTACGGTCGATTGCTAGTGCTTGCTGGGAGCATCGGCAATAGCACGGAGGAGCCCCCTTGCCCCCGTTTCCCCCAAGAGGTGGGCATCCCGAAAACAGGCCGGGGATGACATCAACCGAACTTGATTGCGGCGGGCCAGAACCATGCGGGCCGCCCCTACATGAGAGCCCTGTAGCCTTTGGAGCCACCCGGCCCACAGGTTCCGTGCCTTGAAGCGTGTTTATTGGCTCTTTAAGGCTCGACAGCATGTACCACAGCAATCCAATGCGTCCAAAGTCACCAACACTCAGGCTCCTTCAACCTTCCGCGTATTTTCATGCATGGTTCGGGTGACTTCCGACATTCTAGATCGGCTACGGACCCCGGCCCCGTCTGCCGCGATCGCGCTTTTCAGTAACGTCGCGTGGAGGGGGAGGGCCGGTAAAAATTTCCTTACGCGTCGGAAAATCCATTACGTTTCCGACCATTCTGTAACATGTAACAACAACAACCAAAAAGAAAGCGAAAAAATTGACTTCGATGTTCCCGGACGCTTTTGAAAAGCTTTGCCCATGATTCCAGCGTACCTAGGTAGTTGCATTTGACTCGCCCAACCTCCGAGTCGTGTACCTATCGGTCGAACAGCAATGACAACGTCATGCGCAACTTGCTAGCTTTAGGTCGTATCTGCATGGGTACACTGTGTATTGGTGCCAACTCCAGCCTTTTATTAGTGAAGCTATGATGCCAAGTATCCGACCTCTACGTGCAGTCCGTAGACCGGCGCCGTTGATGAGCGGGTGTTATGGTGACTTGATTCCCACGGCCTCGTCCGAGAGTTATTAATCCGTTTTTCTCCCAGATTTTATGATCTCGTGGCACAGCTTGGACATACCTCACAGGTAACAATCACACAGATAGTAGGGGACAACAGGGCTGCAGTGGCGTGCTTGCGAAGACTGAAGAGGGAACTCTTTTAAGAGTGAAAACTCAAGCGCCCGCAGTGCCCTTGTCTTGAGCCTTGGGATATCTGGATCCCGGCAAGCCGTCCAAGAGCACTGGCATCAATTGAGCGTGGTCTCTGCCTCAATTGTGCGGCTGCAAGCTACCTGCCTTGCTTGGCCTCAGTTCCGCGCGGAAGGAGGGTCTGAAATCGGGTCCGTATCTCCGAAGTGGATGGATCTAATCGCCGGTTATTGTCGGTTGTGGGAATGCATCAAGGTGGAGCTCGAGCTACAACTTGCAGCCTACAAGATCAACGGAGCCATTGGTTCATATATGTGAACAAGTATAATGGAACTCTGACTCTACCACTAAGTAGAAAGAAGGAGGATTTTTACAAAAGAGTTATTCAGATACTTACCACGGTAAGGAGTCGCAAAGATCATCTGTCACCATGGACGCATTCTCTGCAACCTCGACCCAGCTGTCCATGCTTCAACACTGCTGAGTGTGGCGAAGCGACCGATCAATGTGGAAATGTTGGGGGGGGGGGTGGTACGCCTGTCGAAGAACCCTAAATTTGGATATAAACTCACATCAGGTCCGGGCGAGTCTCTACGAGTTTCACAAGTAGCAGCGGTGGAAAAGTCCAACAGAGAAATGTTATTGCAACAAATACACTGAGGCTCTCGGTGATTTGACAGGAACAGCTTACTCTTCTTGAACCAAGAAGTGAAATTCAACTATATAGAACAAGTTCGCTCGTAACGCAGTGTCCATCACCACTCACTCTGCGTTGTGAAGAAACTTGCAAGCTTGTCTCATTGATGCATAGAATCCTTCTTCCAACTTAAACATGTGATAGTTGAGCAAAAGATCGTGTGCTGCCCTGTCCTGGGCATAGAACCGGACTTTGTTGCCTGGGGTATCTGCCATCTCCTTCGCAAAAGTTTTAATGTCGGCGCAAAAGGCTTCGGCTGCGCCGGCCCAAATGAAGACAGGAACTGATGTCTGGAAGGGATGGTGTATCGGTGAGACGTATGCCTCTACCTCAGCAGGAAGTCTCTCCATGGAAGGCAGGTATGACTCTGCCCCCCACTGCAAAAACGCTCCGTTTAAAATATCAGAATCTTGGTTTTCGCAGCTGGCATAATGCGCTGCTGCCCTGGTCGTAACACTGACCCAGGGCGAAAAGACAATGAACCCTCCCGGGAGAGGAAGTTCGGGCAGTTTGGAAGCCTCGAGGTAGCGCAGCAAGGCGAGGGCCACATTACCGCCAGCAGAATCGCCCGAAATAATTATATTCTCGGGCTCGAAGCCAAGAGAGATGACATGACGGTAAAAGGTAACAGCATCCTGAACCGCTCCGGGGAACCGGGTCTCGTCGTTCTCGGAGAGCCGGTAGTGCGCCCACAACACAAGGGACGCTTTCAGGTGTTTCGTAAAGATTTCTGCGGCGGGTCTCCCTGAGAACTCATGGCCGAAGGTGACGACGAATGCACCTCCTGGAAAGTGCAGGACGACCTTTTCTTTTTTCAATTCGGCCGAATGTTTGGGAGGGACACGAGGAAGCCATACGCCTTTGACAGGTGCAGGTTTGACAATACCGGTGGCTGCGATGGCTCCGGAGAAGAGTTCTTGCGGTGGCGGATCGATTTCCACGAACCTCTCCTTCGCTGTCTTTGGATCATTGCTAAGCCGCTATCAGATTGATTGCTGTAGTAATAAGACACATCGCCGTCTTGCAGTTTGAGAAGATGCACTCGGCTCGGCGCCGTCGTTAGGGTTTGGTTGTTTGTAGAACACAGGATACCAGAACCTGACTCCACGGACGAAGAGGTAGCAAGAGCAAAGGGGTCATGGCACATACTCGAGGACGTGTCGAGATCCGGTAACCAGGCAGTATTGAAAGAGCACATCTAGCATTGCGCTCAACAAGCTCATGTTGGCATTCCATTCTGGGTGGAGGGGCTTGACCAGGTATCTCAGGTAAAAATATACGGCTCGTACGGGAATGGTGAGAAGGATGTAGATTGTGTAGATTGCCTTCAGCGGCTGGGTGGCTAGCAGTGGTGCCATGATCTAGCTGATGGATGATATTTTTGGACTGCTGTTCTTGATGTGGTAGCCTCCAAAGCAGATTGGGGGGGTTGCGTATTTATTGCTCTTATTCCTAGCATAGGTTTGCTCAAACAGCAAGCTCCGTGCTTACGGCGTGGTCGGCATTTTTGGAGAGCGAGAAAGAGCAACAAGTCATTGGACGGGAGATTCCGTAAAGGTAGGATGGGGAAGCTCAAATCAACACGCATCAGCGCTTACTAGTATGTTGGTTTAATGCAACCAGGTCTGTTGCCCAATTCGCTGCGGCAAACCACCCCGGTGTATATCCGTGGGCAGAAGCCCGGGTTTGAAGACAGGCTTACCACACCGAGTGCCCAGGTGAGGAACAGGGCTTATCCTTGGCCTCCACGTCTTATCAAGGGCTTACTTCTTCCCAACAAGTAATGGTTGGCACCCTGTAGAAGGCCCCGGCCAATGAACCAAGCATAAATCCTACGCGGAAAACCTCCCTGGGGTGGAAAGGAGAGCGCGTGGTGCCTTGGATATTTGCTAAACGTTTATTAGCTATAGAAGGCCAGTCCGACGACAATCAAAGTATGCACCAGTCATAACCGTTTCCTCGTTAAGATCACCAAGGCATCGTAAATGATGGCGGAAATCGCAACAACTTGGAGGAAAGTGGCCACCGCTGGGCCGACAAAGCCAAAATACTTTTCCCGCGAGAGGAGGGGTTTTACAGAGGCTACGAGACGCCGGGCTCTTCACAAGCCTCCAACTTACACCACTGTCATCACCCCTGCCAGTGCTACCCTACCCTACGGTAGTGTACAGAAGATAATGTAGTCGAAGTGATGAGTCTCCAAATTGCAATGTTCCTCCTCACATTTTGGTGGTGTTGACAAATGCGAATTGGTTGACGTCGAACAGTAATCTGCCAAAGACACATCGCCAGGTCAAGCTGGCAACAAAGCATAAAACCCCTCTCCTGGCCACTGGCGGGCGACACGGTTTGGCAGTGGGATTTGGTTTGCTGAACCACAACGCAGCGCCGAAAATGACCACGGCAGGTGGTGGTGTAACCACAAGCGAGGTGCTTGACCCACTGTTCGAGGGAGCATTCGAACTTCATGAGTACATCTACTAAGCCGTACGCAGAAGGCTTGGGAGTCAGATGTGATTGAAACATGCACCGTGAAAATCAGCGACGGGACTGTGCTCGTCGTGAGCCCAACACTACGCGGGGGTGTAGGACGCTACTCTGGTGTATACCTAGGTACGGGGAACTCGTTTCTTTGTATGATACCTTCCATGGTCTCACATGCATTCCGCTTTACTTTTGAACATTCCTTTGTTTGTGCGGGCCAGTTAACATTTCAGATTGCAAAAGGCCTTTCCGAGGCTGTCATTGAGGGTCCAGCAGCCTGCTTCAACTTCAGACTTTCTACCTTGTTTTTCATTGATGCAAGGAGTTTGTTACCTTGAGTTTCAGACTAACGCCGAAAACTTATGCCGTATTACCCCACAGATCGCCTGTGCGATGAGGACGCCGGTGAAGAAATGGCGACAACCAATGCTGATCAAAGTCAGCAAGGCGGGCTAGGTGCTGGCGAATTTCAAGCATCCACACAGCGCTCAAATCTCCTAGTAAAACCCAAAAGCCACACAGCGTCTGTCCAATTTCACTTTAGATCAAATTCAGTCATAACGGATATACTGAAGATCTTCAGCGGACCAACGAATTGCTAACAAGTTCCAGCACCGCTACATCGACACGAGGGAAGCGTTCCGATCCTCGCCAGATCAAGGTTGCCGTGGCCCCTCTGACAAAGCGTAATCTCCGGATCTTGGAAAGAATGGCTCGATCTAAGAGACCGAAGATGCCAGGAACATATCCGAGTAGAAGCAGTTCGAGAACAGGGGAGTCTCAATTTAATTCCAGCACTGCTACGTCAGAGAAGCTTCTCTCCTCGTCTGCCTCTGGTTTTGAGGACCGACTTCGCCAGAATGGTGCTGTGCACCACGATGAACACTGGCATGGGCCGCCATCGAACTTCGATAAGTTGATCCGGCGATTCCATCGGGATAGGACCGGATCAACAGTGCCTTCGGAGGGCACATTTTATAACTTCAGGGAGTTGGCTGGAGAAGCTACCAGCGAATCGGATATGGCTCATGCTCTTCAGAATTTTGTTTTCAAAGACACCACTGATCCGGCGCTCATGAGCGAGGGGTATCGAATAAAGCTGGACAAACGGTGGCTCGATTACCCCAATGATCAAGGCTTCAACAACGGACTTTCGAAGCCAAGGCCAGACTATGTTCAAGGATACAAGAGGTCTGCCTTTCCACCTACCATCTGGGATTTGGGAGGTGCTGCCACCCTTGATAACCAAGCTAAAGACTTCATCGCATTACCCCATTTTGCTGCTGAGTTCAGAGGAAGAGAATCAAATTTACATGCCGCTCGAGTCCAAGCAGGCTTTATTGGAGCTGCTAGTGAGCGAGCCCAGCTTTCTCTTGATGCCGACTGACGATGGGCATCTGGTGATTGCTCAGCAATATGCTAACATACACTTTCTTGCAGTGACCCATGGCCGAAGTATTGCAATGCAGCGCCTCAAGGCCAACGACCCGCCAAAGCATGCCGCTGTAGTGACAGCAGTTACCGACGGCACGCTATACCAAACATATGCTCATTATCACGATATGGACTCACGAACCGGAAAGAAGGTGTATTATCAGTACCCAGTTGAGTCGGGTACACTTGATACTTACAGAAACTACAAAACCGGCTATCGAGTTCTAAGAAACGTGCAGAGCTTTGCGCAGGAGCAGTCAAATGACATCCGAACTCGCCTGCATCAACAGTACGCGGCAGAATCTATGTTATCGCTCTCTGATGACATGATGTACCTATTTTATGACTGAGGTGGCTCTTTGGGCATTTAGATGTGCGAACAAGATCTGGGGTCAATTCTTCGTCATGGTGATTCCCGAGGTCGACATGTATTGATACTAGACCGTGGCTGTCCGACGAACTGAGTGACTACACTTAAATGCTGCCTGCCAGGGTGGTACTGAACAGATCCATAGATCGGTCTCTGCCACCCTTTCAATGTTGCCTATTCTTTACAAAGCCTTGCCGTTCCAGCTCCCTGTGTAACAATACGCGATGACATGTTAGAAGGGTAGATCGATAGATTGCGAACGATTTCATCGAGAGCATCAGTGTGTACAGATCAAGCCCTTGGAATAGAAGGGTATATCCCCATATGTAATGTGATTATGCCCTCTTGAATTGGTGTCAGACTACAAAGGGGACAACTGCACGTTCCACGGAAGCCTAGACCTATTGAGGTTCCGCTTAATGGATGCAAGCCCTGAGAGGCGTTTACAGAGGTGAGTAAGAGTCGTGACCAAAAGGGATGTGTATCCTTATGAATAGTTCCCTACCAAGTATACGCGAATGACATTTTCCCCTCTCAGGACTTCAGCTTTGGTATCACTGTGTGTAGGGTCGGCGCCGACTGATCCAGGCACCAGCACAACTGACGGTGAGTCTGGGATCCAAGGTGAGACTGGGACTGCGGGACGACGGCATACATTAGGGTATACCACCGCATGCTTTCCGGCAATTCAAACACTGGCATATACCCTTATGGCGTCCACTGGAGAAGACCTACCCGTAATATACGCGGATTCTGACCGCCGCTGCGTGCCGTAACCAGGGCGTAAGTGAGCTCATCCATACTCAGGAAGCCGAGGAATGCCTTTGCAGAGGTACTCACTCCCCGTATGTTTTGGTAACATGATAAGTAATATATACTCTGATGTGACACAGTAACCTGTGGTCAATGATGATACGTGATGACCTGCCGCGGCAGAGGTGAACTTGGTGAGAGATCGACCAAGTTGCGGGGGAAGGGCCAGCCACACGAAGCACATGCAGCAGGAATTCTCTCAAGATCTATCATGATCAGCGGTGGGGAATCTTGATTGTGGCATGTGGAAGCACGATGCACCCTTGGACGGTCACATATAGTCAGCGAGTGAATCCACTGGCCGGCTTTATACATATGTGTAACACAGCGTGGAGCGGGGTTCAAGCCTTGGATGAGTCAGGGTGGCACTCAGAAGATATATGTAAGGCTTGCACCTCTGATCGATTGTCCGAAACGCTGGGAGCTTCATAATTTCATTAATGAACCAACTCAAGATGACCTCAGACCCTCATGTCTACGACCTCGTTGTGGTGGGTAGTGGCTTGTAAGTAATTGTACTGTTCTGCCCACTCTACGCTACTGATCATCAAACCACTTCTAGTGCCGGTTGTATGACGACGCTCAACTTCCTCGAGGAATGCAAGCGGCTTGGTAAATATGGCAAGGTAGCTCTGATCGAGGCTGGCAAAAACGGGGAGCGCTGTGGGGCATCGCGCTGGACAATGGCATACCTTCGGCTCGACAGAGGCAACCGCTTTGACGACATGTGGAAACAGGAGATGGCCTTTGTCAGCAACGGCCTCGCTGACCAGCAATACTGCCGGAAGATGGAGGAGGAGGTACCAGATGCGGCGGAATATCTCCTTGACCACGGGGTGAAGTTGAACTACCACAATGAGTCAAACGTGTTGTTAGAGTTCAATACCAAACAGCACTTCGTCTCACCTGAGGGAGGTGGTCTCGCTGTCATAAATGCACTGCTCAGCCATATTCAGAACTTCGACAATGTGGACGTCATCTGGGAGAGAATGGCTGAGAAATTACTTACAACCGAGCAAGGCGAAGTGTCTGGTGTAAAGGTACGGAGGCCGGATGGTAGAATGGAAAACATCCATGGGAAAAGAATTATGCTGGCGTGTGGCGGATTTGAGGGAAACAAAGAACAGTAAGCTCCCCTGAAGCATGATACTGTGTCCACCGAGTACTGAATTAGGTGCAGACTCGCCCGGTACGTGGGCCCTCGAACGGAACACCTCGAGCTCATAGCACCGGGTCTCAAGCATAACACAGGCCGAGGCTTGCAGATGGCCCTCGACATAGGGGCGGCAGTAGCTGGCTCGATGAATGGCATGCATTGCGAGCTGGTGGACACGCGGGCGAGCAAGCCCGATGCGGTGATCTGGGGGCACAACTATGGGATAGTGGTGAACTCAGAATGCCAGCGGTTCTTCGACGAGGGCAAACGGCACCTCTTTGCGACGTTTGAGATGATTGCCCTGGAGACATGGCGCCATCACGACAGCAAGGCATACTTCGTCACTGATGCAATCATCATGAAGCGCTTTCGTCCGGGATGGGTTTATGAAACCACGGACAAGGAGCCCGAGCAGGCGGATACTATCGAGGAATTGGCGGTGAAACTGTCGCTGGAGCCCAAGGATCTGAAGGTCACCGTGGATGAGTTCAATCGTGCAGTGGATAGGAACGCCACGTTTGATTTGATGGCTCTGGACGGGAAGGCCACAACGGGCCTGTCGCCGAACAAGACAAATTGGGCAAACCCGATTGAAACGCCGCCGTTTTACGGATATCCCCTGAAGCCTCAGCTGACGTTCACGTACGGTGGTCTCAAGTGTGACCTCGAATCGCGGGTGCTGGCCACGAATGGATCTCCAATACCGAATTTGTATTGTGCTGGAGAGTTGTCAGGTCTTTGTAAGCGCTCGTAATCCCACATGTGACGAATTGCTGGAGAATGTCTGTGAAATTGGAACTCACATCGCGTGCCAGTCTACAACGAATATCCACCCGGAACATCCGTTTTGCGATCTCTGACGTTCGGCCGCCTGGCTGGTATAGCTGTTGCGCGGGAACTTTGAATTATAAGGTGATCCAGAATGTCATGGTGTCATCAGCCATGTTCCAAACGAGGCAGATTGGGAGAAGAGCAGACAGAATGCATTGCCGCTATCCCAGAATTTGAACGAACGTTCAATGATGTCAAGCGTGTTATCATGAAATCCCTTGTAGTACTTCATGAATTTCAATCCACTCTCAATCAGCCGTAGACAGTTTTCATTGTGAACATTATGGACTCCTAGGTGGCTTCACCTGAACAAGCAGTCACTCAAGTAGTAAGTACCTAGATATGTTGGGTGTAGAGGAGATTGGATGCGCTTGTGTCGGACTCAAGGGGTTCATTGTAAAGTCTAACTAGTATGAGACAGTTTGGAAGTGGACTCGTCGTACGCAATAGTGCAGACGGGCGAGAGAAGGGTGCAACCTAGAGTGCGGTGTGAGTCAGGCCGAGAACCATTGAAAAGAAACGGCGCTTGTTGCCCATACTAAATGGATTCATTCCTCCGATCCCCGCATCAACGTTATGGTTCTGCAGGCATCTTGAATAACCCATCATGAAACCCAATCACCTCTTTCTATCTCAACTTCATCATGCAGTCGAATACGCAAGAGCTTCCGGCAGATGTGAAAGCCAAAGTCAAAGAAACATACGATGCCATCGCCACAGTATACAATGAGCGGCATGGACGTAACGAGACGACGCGCGAGCACTTTCTCGGGCAGCTGCTGAAGCATATCCCTGACGAACAGGGTCGGCAACTCTCTATCCTGGAGCTCGGCTGCGGCGCAGCTCTGACGTCCACCAGAATGCTGCTGTCCAGGCCCGGGGTCCACGTCATAGCAAATGACATATCCGCGGCGCAGATCCAAGCTGCCAGGAAGAATCTCAGCGAGCTTCCTGCCACATATGTGGACCGTGTGGTCTTCAAAGAGGGTGACATGATGCAGCTCTCCTTCCCGAATGGTTCACTTGATGCCGTGATCGGCCTGTACACCGTGATCCACCTGCCGCGCGAGGAGCAGTCAGAGCTGCTGGCCAGGATTGCGGGGTGGCTCAGGCCGGGGGGCCACCTTCTCTTCAACTTCACCCCAACTGATGATGAGTTCCAAGTCAATCCGAGCTGGTTGGTTGAAGAAGGTTGGATGTTCTGGAGTGGGTGGGGCCCTGAGCGTACGTCTGAACTTCTAAAGAAGAACGATTTTAAGATACTCAGCGCCGAGGTTCAAGGCGACATTGGGGATTCTACCTTCTACTGGGTCATTGCGCAGAAGACATGATCTCATGCTATTTTGGCTCAATGTAACACACACTAAGTTTGCCACATGGATTAATGGGAAACCGGGCTGAGTTGCGGCTGGGAACTTTTCCAATGTACACTATTGGCCTTGTGTTTTTCCTTAAACGCTGCGTGTTAAACTTTCACGACTGTATGGTACGCCAGTTATTCGAATCATTCTTTGTTATGCAGCTAGATTGTACAGAGCGTGGTCGCTCATTTCGCCCAATCCTATCCGGGATTGTGGCTGTGGATGCACCGAAGGCCGTCTTAGTTATAGTTTCTGAACCGCCTCTAACTTGAAATCATGTAAGGGACGTCGATCCGTAATAATTTTGAATACATTGACTGCGGTCTATGTTTCAATAACTCTGAGGTCTCGAAATGTGTATTTGACTCGGCAAACTGACTGATACGCCATTCTCTTCAAGTTGTGCGTGGTGGAGATTTAAGCCTCTCATCCATGGATGCTAACTAAGAGCTCGACGATTTCTATTGGCTTAGTTTGTCTTCTTCTTTCGTAGACCCTGCTTCTCTAGGAGACCCAACAAGGCCTCCGCCTTTGCGCTGAAATCGTGCGCCGGGCTCGGATAGGCAGCAACATCAAGCGGCTGCACTTCAGGCACCCATCCCTCCGTCTCCACCGCCTTGGCTAGCCTGGCCACATGTTTTTCCAGCTCATCCCAAGCGCGAGCCTGTCCCTTGGCCATACCCGAAGTAGTCAACACGTTGCCGAAACTGGTGCCTCGGTCCTCCCTGACGAGCATCAAGTAGTGCCCGTCATCAACTTCCTCGTCTTCGATCTGGTAGGTTCGATCAGCCCCCCATATGGTCTTGCAGTGTGATTGAATCCGTTCCCAGCGACTGGAGGCCATGATGCAAGTGTGTGGGTGTCGTTATGGAAAGAGGTGTGGTGTGGTGGAGAGAGATGGTGTGTTTCTCAGAGGGACGGTCTGACAGATACCTAGGTAGTAGAAGGTAAATGATGGAGTTCTCAGGTTCGCTACGAGGGAGAGCAATGGGCATCTGATCTGGACAATAAATAGTCCCGCAGCTATTCAGCTCATGGTGGGCCTCCTGCAGATGTTTGGTGGGCCTCCTGCAGACGGTTGGTAGGCCTCCTGCAGATGTTGGCATGTCTCTTGTTGGTGAATCTCATGGATATGAAACCACTTTAAATGCACATTGGCCAACCAAGTTATCTCAAATGTTCAGATGCCCTTAGCCAGGCCTGCGGCCTGGCCGTCACTCGCGTCACTCGAGAGCACAGACTCCCCACCCAGAATGGGTGGGGACTCCATGGCTTATAATAATCCTGTAGCTAGGTTAATTACTAAGCGGTCTGAACTCAAATAAAGAACATTTAAAACCAAAACGCCAAAAATCTAGAGCGAAGGGACGGGTTTATATAGTATTCTAAAGTACCCTCCTTAAACACTCCTTAATTCTAACACCTTTCCAACTAATAATCCACATAGAAATAATATATTAAAAGAGAGAATTAATAAAAACTTCTTTTTAAAGTTTTTTCATTCCTATAGTCCTCTATTTAGTAAAATCTAGCATACCTAATCGATAAATTAAGGGGAGGGACGGAAATCACTCCTTTAATTACCCATATCGCCTAATCTAGATTCCTTTAGAAATAGAGTACAACCTAGGGTAAAATAATTAGTATTAGTATTATAAACTTAGAAGGGTACTTACTTAAAGAGAGAAGAGTTATTAAGGGAAAAATTTAAATTTAAAGTTGGGGGGGGAAATGGGCGTCCCTTCGTCCTTATAAAGGGTGCATTTTGGTTACAGACCTCCATACGTCAAAAGCTAACCTCTCCTCTCCAGCCACACCTTAAGTAAACAGTAGCCATAAGTCAAGCGTAGCTTTCCCAGCACAAAGGTCTATATATCAGAGATAACAACCAAGGTGCTTTGGCCCACAGAGCAATGGCAAAAGAGGTTGCGGCTTTAAAGGGTTGGCCTCAAATGGTTGGGCGTAAAGGCATCAACGGAACGCGCCCGCTTCTCAACTGTCAGTGATTATCGGTGCATGCATACGAAATGCTACTGTCGAGGCGATTTCTCAAAGCCCCCTCACTGACAGCTGTTACAAGACATCCACTGGGCTACCTAGAAAGACTAGGAAAATAGTGAGTGGATAAAGGGTTGAATTTGAAAAATACAATGTAGTCAAAGCCTACGCTTAGGAGACAAGTTGATCTAAAATGATCTTCACGGTCGTGACCATAGCAATCTCTGCGATATCAAGTTCCCCACAAGACCATGGCTTAGTGATGGTGCCCCTCATGCCCACCCTCATCTTCATCCTCGTCTTGTCCGTACTCCTCGTCTTGGAAGTGCCCCTCCCACTCAGGGAACGCATCGTCGTATTCGTCGACCAAGTCTTCTTTTGCAGCTTCCAGACCCTGCATCAACGCCTTGAGCTTCTCTTGCTTTTTCATCACAGACCTCATCTTCCGCTTCCAGCGACTCCACTCGCTGTCGGTCAAAAGACAGTCATCCAGAGCCTCCTTGATGCCAGCGACATCGAGCTTCTCCCCGATGAACACAATCTCCTGCCTCCGATCTCCCCATTCGCCCCCGCTGTTCATGTCGTGACGGACCTGCTTCATGATCTCGGGGTCGGTGGTGTCCGGGTGATACAGTTGTGACAGCTCTTCTGAGTCCAGCGTGACGTCCCACCTGGTTCCGCCCACCAGCGTGAGCATTGCCCCTGCCTGAGACCAGATGCCACGATAGTCAGGCCTGGTTGCGAGCCAGTAAGTGCCCTTGGAACGGAAGAGCCGGGCAAAGAGGGGGTTGGCGCGCTTGTTGGCAAGGACGACCTCATTAGAAGGCGTGACTAGGTCCCCAGACTTCGTATTGAACGAGGCCTTTTCATCTTCCTCGTCATCGGATGCCTTGTTCTCGTGCTTATCAGCTGTGGGGGACGTCATCGCCGTCTGCGCTGAGCTTGAAACATCCGACGCAGCCGGCGTGGCCGCCTCGTCCTCCATGTCAGTGTCTTGCTCGTCCGAGTCCTCACTTTCAGTCTCGTCTTCCGCATCCCTCATGCTTTCGTCATTGCCTCCGTTTTCCTCACCCGCGGCCGTCGCCGGCGGCTCAGTGCCCTCGTTTGCATCCTCTTCCGGGTGCTCGAGCTGCAGGATGAACTTGTCGTATACCAGTTTCCAGAGCCTCTCGGGGTGGAAAGGTCGGTGTTGCTTGTAGATGAAATTTCGCACGTTGTACTCTTCGGTTTCTGGCTTGGGGGTGATTGCCGTCTTTCCGTTCACCTACCAATAACTTCATCAACTGCTGTTCACAATTCAATGCCGAAAAGAACGCCGAAGTCAACTCACCTCTCGGAGCATCAACTCATGCAAGTCTCGCATCCAGCCCGAACTCGTCTGGGCCTTGTCCAGGCTGAAGAGGCCAGTGTTCACGAGCTCTCCGACATCGACCTTCCCGTATTTGGCTTCCGATATTTTGGCTTCACGGTTCAAGGTTCTTATAAGAGCCCTTATCTCTGCCAAGTTTTCTTTCTTGACCATGTCGGTTTTGTTGAGGATAATGACATCTGCGAATTCGATCTGGTCAACCATCAGGTCGGAGACCGTTCTCTCGTCCTCGGGCGTCACATCGTCGCGTCGACTCGATAGCAAGTCCGCTGTGTTGAAGTCATTGAATATGGTGAAAGCGTCAATGACGGTCACAGTCGTATCCAGGCGGGCGAATTTGCCCATTCCAGCCTCGCCGGCTTTGTGCCTGCATGTGTGCCAAGTCAGTCTCTAACAGAGGGGTCTTGGCGCTGGAAGACAACTTCGTCGCATGAAAGTTGGCGCGTCGAACGAGATCCCTGACACAACCGATGCACTTACAGTTTCTTCAAGGCTCCGCCCTCGTCCAACTGGCCCTCTTCCTTGAGAACCTGGTACATGTGTTCTGTGAGCTTCGAGTCAAAGCTCTCAGCAACTTGTCCTGGCTCGCTGACTGTAACAGCATGATCAGCTCAGCTGCACGCCTGTGTCTGGTCACTCCTTCGCATGACACATGTCGGGATGAGGACCTACTTCCACTGCTTTCGATGATAACGTAATCGAATGCATGCTTCTCTGACAGTTCGACCAGCTCGGAGAGCAGATCTTGTCGTAGGGTGCAGCAGATGCAGCCATTCTGCAGCGCGATGACCTTCTCCTCCGTCTTGTGTATACGGTGGGTTGACTGGATGGTTGAGGCGTCGACATTGACGGCACCAATGTCGTTGACAATTACGGCGATCCGAAGGCCATGGTCGCTCTGGAGGATATGCTGAAGCAGTGTTGTTTTCCCACTTCCCTGTGTGGGTATCACGCGATCATCAGTTACTCAGTCGCAAGGGGCGATGACGGCAGTAATGACGGGGAGGGAGCAGCCAGTCATACCAGGAACCCCGAAAGCAGAGTCACAGGAAGCGGCCCTTTCTTTTGCTTCGTCTTCTTGGAGTTGTTCTTGCTCTGTGCCACGGCCACAGCCGTCTTCCTCTTGGGAGCCATATTCCGAAGTTGACTCGCAAATTGATCGCACGAGATTGTCTGCCGCAGAGGAACACAGAGGAGTAGGGATACGAAACAGATTTATCTTGGTCTCTCAATTCGCTTCTTGTGGGATTTCCATGATTTATACTAGTGACCACCGCCAGGCACACCAACCAGCCCTGGCCCGCCCGGCCACAATCTAAGCTTCCCTTGCCGGCTCGTCCCAGTTGCCATCAAGGTGCCGCGACGCCGCCTTCAAGGTTCCCATGAGACAGTACCCACCGCTACATTGCGACTAATCACGATGGACCAATTTCAAACTTTGGTAGCATGCTCTTAAATGGGACGATATGTACAGTACACCGATGATCTCGCCGCACGTCAGCCTTCGCCGCCACACACGTGACCCGGCATGCCATCTTTTCCAAGGTTAACGTCTGCCAGGCGCAAATGAAAGTCAGATCATTTTGTGCGCATGGGCAAAGAAAGCTTTAGGTCGAGTTTGCAGGTTCCTCCCCAGCTTAATCCCTGTCAAACTTGACAAGACTGATGAGCTTCCAGCGGACTGGGATGACTGTACTGACAGCTTGCGTCACGATAGAGAGTCTAATATCTACATACTAGTATCCAGCGAATCCACTTTGATTAGATTTCCACGACGCAAACGACTCACTCTGACGAGGCCGCGAGCAAGAATACACCGCACGGTGGGCAGTCACTGCTCGTCTTGACCGAGTCAAACTTCCAAGCAAGAGGCGGGTATCTTTTCGTACCTGCCGTCTTTCTGTACGCATTGGGTCCACGGTTGTCTTTGCAGGATACCTTCCCCCTGAGAAGATGTAGTCTATGTTGGGCAGCTCTCTTTGGGGAGTACCAGTTGACTGTTGAAGTAGTCCGGGCACATTTTAGTCGGGCTCCATGTCTTCGCAATTCCTTACCCTAAAATCCACCCACCTTTGCATGTCAACTCTTTGGATGGAGCCGTTTGCTTCTCCAAACATTGTAGAACATTTCGTTTCTGATGGTGCTGATGTTCCTGCCATGTGATCCTTTCCCTACTTTTCAGCTGGACCCGGAAGCGCTAAACTTTCCTATGCTTCCTCCGTAGCCCCCCTAACTAGATCCCGTGGTGTTGTTTAGCAAGGGACCCCAACACTTGAACTCACTCAATCCGATGACCAATACGTGAGCTGTCGTCAGGCTCCTATACTTTCTGCTATTTCTGCAAACGAGTGTGGAGCCATTTCTGTACTGCAGCACGACATATCGTTTTCGTCGCTCGCTTAAGGCCTCTCCGAGTCCCGTCCCGCCACTTTCGCAGCAGCCACAGCCTGTCGTGGCTTGACCTTCCCGCAGAGGCTATCGACAGAATCTACCTACCCAGTCGCGTTAGCCTTCTTGGCCCGCGACTGCCTCGACAGTTTCCAATCGTCACTAGGAGCTGCAGGAATCGCATCCCGGTCGTTCCACCAGGAAGCCCCACGAGTCACGACTGGAGGACAGCAGCCGCAGATCATTAATATTCCATTTGCCGCTGCGCTATCCCATACGCTACGTGTACGTGCAGAACTTTCGTATTCCCGCACCTCGTCCTTAGAATCGGGGACATCTTCGTCCCTCATCACAGGCCTGAGTTGAGCTTCGTGCCCGCGAGGCAACTCGCGACTGCAGGTTGGGCATCATCGACACGATGGCCGAAGGATCGCACCAAACGACTAGTGTTCTGCCGGGGCTTAGCTTGCACGCTTGTTCCTGGGCAGAACTTGTGGTCAGCATCGCATGTTTTGTTCTGGGCCTCCTCCTCTACCGCCGGTATTTGGCTCCTCTGCGCCACGTGCCTGGGCCGTTTTGGGCGTCGCTCGGGCGGCTATGGCACACGAGGATGATCATGGGAGGCGACCAGGGCGAAGATCTGTTGCGGCTGCATAAGGAGTACGGTAGGTATTCATACCCGTGTCGAAAGCACTGCGCCTTAGCTAACGCCCGAACTCAAGGTCCGTTTGTCCGCATCGCGAACAACGAGGTCAGCGTTTGCCATCCCGAGGCTGTCAAGGAGCTCATCCTGACACCCCTGCGGAAGGATGCGTTCTACAAGATCTTTGCCTTTCCAGACTCCAGATACAAGAACGGCATGACGGTCCTCGACCCGAAGCGGAAGTTCGAGCACTCTAGGAACTTTGCCCCCGGCTATTCTCTGTCGAATATGCTCCACTCCGAAGACTGGATCGATAAGACAATCGGCTTGTTGATGGACTGGTTGGACAGCTATGCCGACACGGGCCGACCCATGCACCTTGATCGGTTCTGCACTTTCACCTCGAACGACGTGACGGGCACGGTGCTCTTCTCCAGCCCATACGGTTTCCTGGAGAAAGGCTATGACATCGGGAATGCCATTGCCAACAACACACGTCTTGGTCTCTTCGCCGCTGTGGCAGGCCATCACTGGCTCATTCTGATGATCCACGCCATTTTCCTCGCAAATCCAGTCACGACGTGGCTCGGTGTGATTCCCACTGGTCATATCTTGAAAGTGACGATGGACTCACTCCATGAGCGCGAGAGCAGAGAGACAAAGGGGGCCAACCGCTTCGACCTGTTGGAATATTGGCTCAGGACCCTGCGCGAACGTCCCGACCGGCTCGACCTGAACACAGTACAGGGCCAGACGATTGGCACCGTTGCCGCAGGTGGAGACGCCACGTCGACGGCTCTCCAGTCGTTTTTGTACCATATGATCAGGCACCCGACTGCTTGGCGGCGTTTGCAAGACGAGATCGATGCCGCGAGGAAGGAGGGAAGGTGCCAGGACAGGATCATCAGCTTCGCCGACACTCAGAAGCTCCCGTTCCTGCAGATGTGCATCAAGGAGGCCATGCGTGTCTTTGCGCCGGTCCAACAGGGTCTCCCGCGTGTGGCTCCCAATCACGGGGTCAAGATTGGAGACCGGGAATTCCCAGGTGGCACTATTCTTTCCGTCAGCGCGTTTGTGTTGCACAGGTCCACGGATATTTGGGGCCCCGATGCGAACGAGTTCCATCCTGACCGGTGGTCGGCGCCTGATATTGCTTCGAAGGAGAAGTACTTCATACCAGTGAGTTGCACCACGGGGCAATGATGCTGTTACCTCAGATTCAGAAGGATTGCTAACCGGGTGTCTAATATTGTATCTGTAGTTCGGCGGTGGATATAATGCTTGTCCCGGGCAGCACCTTGCGAAGATGGAGGTAGCCAAGATCTGTGGAACCATCGTGCGCGATTACGAAATCAGACAAGTTGAGCCGGGAAAGAAGTGGTCATACAAGGCCTACTTCAATGTGGTTCCGCATTCTTGGCCTGTGTACGTTGCAAAAAGGCACATCTAAGTGTCATTCTTTTACTTACATGGCTGCTCGTGAGAACACCGACCAACGTTGTCATAGTCCATACCTAGGTACTGTGTAGATTGGCCGCAGTGAATTCACTTGCTAATCGATGACAATTTTGACTCTGCTCTCCATCAGCCATGTTTTACTGTCCTCATAAACCCAGTCCTTTGCTCATTCTCGCGGACCTAACCAGCGCGGTTGTTTATTGAGATCAAGCGCTGTGGTCTTTTGGGCTGTGCCATGAAGACTGCATTGGATGAGATGGGAAACCAGCGAACCCACCGGGTCCTGTTGGGCGTAAAATTGATGTCTTGACAATCGCTGCGCACGCACAACCCCTGCGGCCTTGTGCGTTGGCAGAAACTGCTACCCTAGGAAGGCGTTGGGTTTACATTGTCCAGTAACCGTGAGGTAATCTCCGGCACCGCAAGTCACCTGGGCACTTGTCGTCCAGCTGCGACATAAACACAACTCACACTTTGGTCTCAGTATTGACGACACGACTCACACTGAAGTTGGCCAAGTCAATTCCAGCGTCAGCAACACTGTGCCTGACGCTTTTTGGGCTCTGTGGCAAATCCTTGCGGACCCGGCAGGCTACCGGGTTTGTCACCGCGAGGCATCTCTCCTTGCGCAGACAAGTTCCGACGGGACACGTACTATCGATCTAGCAAAGTTCAGGACAGCTTGTCCCATTCTCGTATCGACATGGCAGGAAGTTCTATGTCTCCACGGCACTAGCATCTCTGCGCGTGTCATCCAGGAAGACACTGTTATCGACAACAAATACTTGTTGAAGAAAGACGGCATGGTTGTCATGCCCACTCGAGCCCCCCACACAGATCAGTCCATATGGGGACCGACAGCCAACCAATTCGACCACAAGCGCTTGTTCAAGTCCACAAAAGGGAATGGACAACGTGTATCGGCAGCAGCCTTCCGCGGATTCGGTGCTGGCGCGGTTCTTTGCCTTGGCCGCCACTTTGTCAGCACCGAGATCCTCGTATTTGCAGCGCTCTTGCTGGTGAGATTTGATGTCCGCCCAATCGGTGGCAAATAGAACCAGCCGAGGAAAGACTCTCTCATGAACACGGCTTTCCCGATGCCAAAGACAAAGTTCTTGTTAAGTCTTCGCCGAAAGCTACGCCTGGAAAGTGGAATGTCATTTTCTCGGATAACAGCAAAGGCGTCAACATGACCAAAGAGGACCGCGACAGCGACGATCAGTGAGACGGTAAAAGGATTGGGTGGTGCCACTTTCTCCGGATATTCTGCTGCACGAGCTCAAATCCTTTACTCGATAATGCCGTTTTAACTTATAAGTCCGTTTAGTGCATAATCTAAATGTATTATCGACACTCAAGGCCTGGTTGACCCAGAGTCACTTGCCTGTTTTCAAGACTCTCGCCATTTCCCCCTCATCTTCGTCTTCCTGTTGTTCAGCCAGTGCCTCTGCCTCGATCTCCGCCTTGACTTCTTCTTCCCGCCTGTCAAGGATCCTATACCTCCGATTCTGTGCCCTCTCCAATGCCTTCTCGTAGTCGGCAAAGGTCGGATAATCCATGTCATTATACGCGACGCAGCCCAGCCGACGATCCCCGTCTGAGTCGCCGAGGGGCTTCCGCTCCCAGAGATCGCGGTAGATCCCAGTCCTTGTAATTGGTTCCTCGGGGTCTATCCGGGTCAGGTTGGTTTTGTCTGGTAGCATCGGTAGAAGATTCCCATGAGAGTAGGTTGTCTGCTCATCAACATCGTCTTCTGACTGGAGAAATTCCAGCAAAGCCTTTTTTTGCGTGTCGAGCAACTGCCAGATCCGGTATGTTACGTTCTCAGAAAAGGAGTGCAAGAAAACAGCGTTGGGCTATGTTATTATTCGGTGTTAGTTGGGCAATCATTCGGCCGCAGGACAAGTTAAACTCACGTCTTCATGGGCCTCCCTCTGATGAGATTCCCGACGGTCAAAAAGATCACGCCGCCGAAAACCCGCGATTCAGCCCAGTAGCCTACCATATCAGCTGCCCCTTCTGGGTACTGGTCGTAATCCCGGTATTGCTTGTGGAAGAAGAGGCTGGGAAGTTTTCCATCGGGATGATATTGGTAGAAGACGATGTCATCCTTTGGCACTTCCCACGTAGCGTAGTCCTGGTGCCCACCCAGATTCAAGTCGAGCTTGTACAGGTACACCGCAACTTGATGAGTCGCTACAGCGACCATCTCGATCAATCGAGTCTTGAACGCTACTGAACCCGGAGAGGAGGCATGGTATTCATGCAGAAGCTTATGCCACGTTAGAAACAGTGATGCCCATGGTGGTCCGGGGACTTTATGGCATAGATACCTTGGAATCGAATTGCAGTACTTGAACATCAAAGGTGGCACGAATCTCCTCGACCTTCTCTAAGACCCCAGGACACAGTTGAAGGTGCTGACTTCGGACAGGGTGGGCCTCTGGCAATATACCATTTCGCACCTCGTTTGCTGTCTGGCTCAGTGGTGCGCCGTCGATGATCTCCGCAACAGCAAGCTGTGCTGCGGGTGTTGACAGTACACGGGAAAGTGCACGGCTGAAAATGTCGCGATGGCGATGTCCCAAATAATCAACTGATGCCTTGTGTGCTGGCCCGGGTAAGCATGGAGTATTTTTGTCGGAGCGAGACGGCATGGCTAAGTCTGGTGACAGTCTGATTATCCAGCTAGATTGACATGTCGAGATTCTACGGGCCTGTTGTTGGCCGTTTGGCTGCATTTAAAAAGCTGGGATAGTGGAGTGTCTTGGACGGTCACCTGACGCTTCCATGTGGGCTTCCGCCTCCATTTACCCACTGCTATCAAGTAGTAACCAAAAGCTGACCAACGGGTACTAATTCCAAGAGGCTGGTACAGGTTTCAGTACAAGTGACTCGGAGTGGCAGGGCTGTGTCGGGTGATGAATGTTGCCCAACAGCCGTGACAGGGGCCGTCGAACCTTGGACCAACGCGCATTAGTGACCATATCTGGACCAGCCAACGCCAAGACTCGGGCGATATGCGTTGCAAACCCTTGCTGCCCTTTTTCTGGCAAGAATTCTGATCCCGTCACTAGATATCTGATGTATTTGGTAGGACTCGTCCTAGTGGTTTCGTTCTTGATGCGTAACCATCCCGAAGGCGTAGTGGTAAACGCTCAAAGGCCCAGTGTGAGAAGAAAACCAAAAACAGAAGTCACGTCTATGGCTCCTCAATATGCATCTCTATTACTGTATACCGTATATCGCTCCAGCTTTGCTGTCCCGCGAAAAGACGAACGGGTTCTCGCATCCCCGCCGTCACCAAGACCGATCAGTTGCCCGTAATCACCAGCCATCCGAGAACTTCAGGTCCATTATTTTCAGATCGTTCCTTCCGACCTGCATAATCTTTCCCTCGTCGTTCCAGAACTGCCTGCCTTTCCCACTGCTCCACAGCTTATATGCGTACCAAGCATTGCTGCCCTCGCAAGGGACCAGCTCGCACCGGTTCCCCGTCTCCCTGAACCGACTCAGTGTCTGCTCATCTAGACTAGCCCCTTTGACGTTCCACTCGTGGGGTGGAAGTGGTTCGCCGTACATGAACAGGGTCAACTGCCCCAGGCCCTTGAGGATGGTCCGGTTGAAACTCCTCATCATAGCAGCGGATCCCGGGTAGCCCCAGCCGCGCGTGCTCAGCGCCAGGTTGCTCAGGCCGAGCTCCTGTGGGTCGGCGTCCCGGAAGGAGTCAAGCAGCGCCGAGATCTTGCCGAGGTCGATATCCTGGCCGAGCAGAGCGACGGTGTCGACCTCGGGCGAAATGTGCAGCGTGCGCCGGCGCAGAATGGCCTTCCCTGTGGCACTGGGCCCGGAAAAGTTGTAGTAGTTGCCGATGTGCTCGGCGGCGGCGGAATACCTGGCGAATGGGGCCTGCCCTGGTCCCTCCTGTTGGCTGGTGATGGAGGCGAGGGGGTAGGCGATGCGGAAGTGGCCCAGGGCTATCTGACGGGCCTCGGAGCTCACGGACAGGGCTGCCGGGTTGCTGCATCCCGACTGCCACTGCTGCTGGCGGCCGCTGTCCCGGGCGTAGTTGGGCCTGGTGGGATGCAGTTCGACGACACGGGGGAGGAAGGTCAGGTGCCATATCTTGATGCGAAGCTCGGCGGGGAGGTCTCCGAATATATGGAAGCTGGCAGCTGGGGGATCTGGGCCAGGGTCTGCTCCCTGCTTTGCATCAGGCACGGTATTTGCCTGCGTGTCTGTGCCGCTCAGGGTCGGCAAGCTTTGGTTCATCGCTGGTGCAGGTGTGGCATCGACAACTGGCAGAGCCGCGGCGAGGGACGACAGAGACGGCAGTTCTGATTCCTGGCCCAATCGTGGTTGTCTAGTGCGGGTGTGAGCTTCGCCGTCGTGGTTACCATCAACGTTGTCGTCGGCGGCTGGGTGGTCTGCCCCAGTTGTCAGCTTGGTCGGTGTGTACTTGAAAGACAAGAGCCGGTACGCGGCGTTCTCCGGGTCAGACATATCGTGAGCAGAAAATTAGGAACAGTGAAGCGGATGGCATCCCCAGTACATACGTAGTTGTCAAGTCCTCGTTGATTAGGTACGGCTGGCATGCACCCAGTACAGACCGTGACGTTGGATGTTGGTTGCACCGGTGCCTGCAGGCTGCCAGATTATTCCTCCACAGTCGTCCTACTTCAGGTTCCACTCTTCAGGCGATGGCATTCACTCTCCCAGGGCCCCCACCTCGGTCGACAGACCCCACCAATCCTGTGTTAAACGCCTGAGATCCCGGAATCTAATGCACAAGCCTGACAAGTCGACCCCGCTCCGGGCTTGAATGCAAAGATCACCGACACAACTTCCGACGACGAACACTGACACGCGCCACAAAATGACAGCCAAGCAACCCAAAGGGGAAGATACGTATCTCGCCCAGCCTCCATCATCATCCTGCGGGCTGGGCACTATCCACGAGGGGACACCGCGTGGCACCCTGGAGACGATCCTCGATGTCCCCACCTACGTCGCGAAGCCTACGCCGGAAAGGGCCAACGGCCATGTTATCCTATACTTCCCGGACGTGTGGGGCATGTCCAACAATGCCCAGCTGCTGATGGACAGCTTTTCCGACGCCGGATTCCTGACACTGGGAATGGACTACTTCAGGGGCGTGCGTGTGAAACAGAGCTGCCAACAACACAATGCGCTGACACTCGGCCTCGCAGGATCCAATGTCCAAGTATCGCCAGTCGATGAGTGATCCTGCCCCAGAAGGCTTCGACAGGACTGCTTGGCGCAACAAGCACTGGAATTTTGCCACCGAGAATGTTCCCAAGTGGTTCGACGCAGTCAGGGCCAAGTACGGCAACGAGGCCACCAAGTACGCCTGCACGGGCTACTGCTTCGGGGCTCCCTTCGTGTGTGACCTTCTCGCAGGAGATTACGTCTCAGCCGGCGCATTTGCACACCCGACGTCTTTGAAGGAGGAACACTTTGCGAAGCTGAAACGTGAGTGCACTTTGATGTTTGAAGTTTTGGCGGTGCGAAGCTTTTCTCGGGGCCTCACAAAATGCGTGCTAATATGTCGGCGTGCAGAGCCGCTTCTTCTGTCCTGTGCTGAGGACGATCACGCCTTCGACACCGAGTCGAGGAGAAAGGCCATCGACATCCTGCAGATGGAGAAGAAGCAATACCATTTGCAGCTATTCCACGGCGTGTCGCATGGTTTCGCGGCCCGGGGAGACCCGGCTGACCCTTATTCACGTATGCTCCCAGGCGTTATATAGAGGCGGCACCCATGACAAGTTCTAACATTTTGCAGGATGGTGCAAGGAGCAGAGCCTGCGGGCGATTGCTGACTGGTTTGTGTTTTGGTTAGCAGCTTCGCACTAGGTGGCCCCGAAGTTCTTGTGTCTCTCCCCAGTAGGCTGTTAGTCTCCCGATTTCGTCGAACACTCAAAGTGTGGAATACATTCGTACTAGTGTCGTTCAAGAATTGAGATCCTCTTCGACATTGGAGTCGAACAATATATTCTTACAGTATCCGTAGTCCAGTGGATGCTACAACAGCAAGTGTTCATCAAGTGTGCCTCTAGGCGCAAGTGTACAGCTGGGCTTAAAATGTCTGTGCTACCCTAGGGTAGGTACGATTTATTAGACCAAGAGGACCATATGATCTCAGCTAGTAAGTACCCTAGGGTAAATTGGAAGAGCTAGGAAATTGGAAGAAATAAGATGATCTTTTGTACCCATATTCTGCACAGCTTCCTCCTCAAAGGGTGAATTCTTCTTCATCTCTACACTTCTCATCACTACACGACAATACATACATGCACACATATCAGCACGGAAATACAGGCAAACATGTGATCTCACCTGTGTGAATACACTCTATTCACTTCGCTTCTGTCCCAGCAGACATTCGCAGACTGCCCACGCCATCAGTTACTTATGGAAATCAGAACGGGCTCCTCCCCCGAGTTCGACTCGATTCCAGGTCTCGCACACTATCATTCACACTTGAACATACTCACACACAAACTCACATCCACATCAAGGCAAACATTATGTCTGCCACTCCCAATATTTTGAGCCACAAAATGGCCAGGCACCGGCGAAAACGAACTCAAAACCAGGGCCAGTCCAGACTTGAACGGCTGCCCTTCGAGCTGCAACTCGTGATTCTCGAAAACATGTCGAGCTGCGAAGACTTGACATTACTGGTCGCCACGTCGTACACTCTCTGCGCCGTATACGATCAGTACAAGAAATCAATCCTCGCGATCGTCATCCAAAGAACGCTGGGCGAAGCCTTCATCGAGGCGTGCATGCTCCAGCACTGGCGAAACAACATCGACACTAATTTTGGAGAAAACGAACCATGGGATCTTGACCAGCCCTACCGTCACATCCAGCTAAAATTCATTCACGAATGGTGCGAGCACTCCACGGCCAGCAGCGAGGACCAGATCCAAACTATGAAGCGTCTTCTCACTGCCGAGGACTTTGAGCAAAGTGAGTACTATTCCACTATTCCGCCGCCCCCCCCCCCCCGGAACCCCCCGCGCGCTCTCTCGCACTGAAAATCAGTACCTAGGTAGCAGGACGCTGACCCTTCTTAGTCCTGAAATTCTATGCGACTGTGGTCAAGCCTCTTTCGAGGCCATTCATCGAAAAACCCACCCCAGAACACGATTTCACAACCCAGTTTCCGCCATCCGAGCCGGACCCCACCCCCTTGGCACCCTGGCGCATCACAGCCACAGAACGGCAAAGGATCATGAGGACACTCTACCGGTACGAAATCTGCAGCCGGCTCTATGGCCCGCATTTCGAATCAACCCGTGCCCCGCAGATGGGCTTGAACGGCAGCCTGATGAGGATGGTGGAGAAGGACTTTTTCGGCATGTTCGACGCGAACGAAATCGAGGAGTTGAGGTTCGTTTATGTGGGCCTGGCGTTGGAGCTGCACAAGTCCTGGAAACTTATCGAGAGCGCCACGGATTGGAGGGGAGTCCTGGGGGCGCGCCCCGAGCACGCTGCCCTTTACTCTGCGTGGAGCTTTAGCTACTATAGCGGGTCGCGCAGGCTGATTGGGCTCGGCGGGCTGGTTGAGGGTGCCCTGGCCATGGGGCTGGAGCCGCTCAGCGCTGTTCGATCGGCGGCCACGGCGGACGACGTGGCTAAAATCCTACTGGCCAAGACACCGCCTGATGTGGAGGGTTTCATCTGGGGGACTCTTAGTCAACTCGAGGAAGCTCACCACTTTAGTGGAGGAGATGGACCCGCCCGGCCCGAATCTTGGTCGGATGAGTTTTGGGGATAGACAGGAGATGTGTTCCGACTTCCCAGGGGTTGAGGGCCTCGAAATTGGAAGAGAAGATGGCGGCGGACGGACAGTGCGCTTGACGTATTAGGGCAGCTGGCGGATCTCTCCAAGGAACATTCACAATCAGCTGGTGCCGGAATCGGGGTGGGCTAAAGACAATCCAACCCTGTCCACCCTCACCAAGCCAGATGAGAGTGAAATTAACAGCTTTTTATCATACACATGTGCCGGCCTTGATTCAATGTTTATACCAACTGCCCAGACACACCCTGAGGTGGAAAATGAGAAACTTCAGCATCAGCAATTGCGTCCCTCAGTTCAAGGGCCACCCTATATCGACCCATGCCACGTGCCACTATTAGCAACGTACCAGTTGACCCATACTCCGATCCCCTGCCCGAGGCAGGCTGACGGGGATATCATGATGCACCTCTACGATTCCATCGTATCCCAGCCTGAGATCGGTGCGCGTGTGGCCACTGGTTTCCGAGTAAACCAGGAAACCAGGCTGACAGACGCCAAGCCTCACCTTAGCCAGCGACGGCGGCCGCGAAGGAAGACCTCGTATGGATGGCAGGTGTTCTCGTCCAGGCCACGAGTCCGCTGTCATCGTCTCATTTCCACTGATCCTATTTGCTATGGCAGACTCTTGGCTTTGCTCCTATCTGTGCTCCTCTGCTAGTGCTTTGCAAGACAACCCTGGGGAACTCGAAACCGAAGTGTTCATCCGGTGCATGCTCTCGCCAATGTAGAGAGGGCAGTACACAGTCCCTTGGCGGAATTTTGAACACTCAAAACCAGCATCAAATAACGTAGAGCCGATTGGCAGCAGATTAAGCAAATTTTTAAATGGAGCTGTAGGCTTGGGGCAGCCACACCGACGAGGCTAATTGGGCCAGTGATCCAGAGAAACAGCCCCGGAACCCTTGGAAAGCAATCGATTGAGTGTCAGCTCATTATATGAATAATTCGTGTTCTCGGACTTTATTTCGTGGGCCACAATCACAAAAGATTCATTTCCACACTTCTGCGAACTAGTGTTCTCCCGTGGGCCACTACTTGGCACTACAAGTTTTAGCATTGGACACGCGTCATGGCGAGGAGCAAGCAAATCCAAGTATGACGCCGTCAAAAACTACGTGAAAGCGCCATCACTTTTTGACCCATTCAGATTATAAGTTGCGCGGTATGGACACGGAAAAATGCCCCGGACTACGGCTTGGCCTTTGCTCAAACAAACACTTTTCTACCACAACCTCGTCCCTCACGACCACTGGAAAACAGTTACCCAGCCAAAAGCAACACAACCGTCATAATTGAACCAACGCACGCGCCTGGTAACAACGGCCCTCTATTATCGTTGTATTGTATGGATACGGGGTTGACAGCACTGCCACGGAGACATCTGGAGCCAAAGAATATTTGACTACGATCAACAAGAAAGTTGAGGTGATCCACTTTTGGTGGAAAAAGGTACCTACCATCATCTATTTACGTTTTTTTCTCCAAAAAAAAAACACAACCTCTTCTCATCTGGTTTTCACTTGGAGCTCTAGTCACGATACACACACACGCCACAACTTGTACTCACATATACAATCAGGCACTGATCTACCCGGATACGTCTACATACGAACACGACTCTATCAGCTCTATCTCGCACACGCCGTTCTTTGCTCTCGCCTAAACAAGAATACAAAAGAATAGCAATGGCGTGGCAAGGATGGACGGAACGAAAAACACAGCCCCGACTTGAGCTCCTCCCGGTCGAGCTACAGGTCACTGTGCTGGAAAGTCTCTCGAGTCATCAAGATCTGATATCACTGATCATCTCCTCGAGGTCATACCATGCCACATACCTCAAATATAAGAAGAGCGTCCTCGCATGCATAACCCAAGCTACGCTGGACGACTGTTTCGTCGATGCCTGTATGCTGCTGCTCTGGGAAAGCAAACTGAACATGTGCTCAGAAGTCTGCGGGAAGCCCCACTACGAGTTGGGCTGCAGGATTAGCCGTATTTACCGCAAGTTCTGGACGTGGCCCCTAGGAGCGAATCGGCATATCCAACTCAAATTCATCCATGACTTGGACCGGTACTCCGCTGCTGGCGCGGGGGATCAGATCAAACACATGAAGCGGCTCCTCGAGGCCGAGGACTTTTTACGGATCCTGTCGTACCATGCTAGGGCGACCGGCAGGGTAAAGTCACTCCGCAGCCTTTTCTATAGGAGGGGGTGCGGCTACTGTGCCGGCTTTTTTGGAGTCGACTCGGAACCAGTCACAAGCACCGGAACACAGAGGATGATTTTGAATTTTTACCGGGTGCTGACATGTACAGCCCTTTATGGGGTTGGGGGTGTTGATCTACGCAGGCAATCTCAGACGATGACGGTGGACTTTTTAAGACGCTTCGACGCGTTTGAGCTTCGGAAAATACAGAGTGTGCTGGACCATTCAGTTTTTTCTGGCCGTTATGTTTTTCTCGATCAATTATCGCAATGTGAATGGTTTAACATGGGATACTTTATCGGATAATACCCGAGTACATTCTAGTCCTCTAGGATCTTATTAATAGAGTATTCATTATAATAATATATAATCTATTCTATTACTTTTAAAACTTAATGTGTTATACTACTTATATAAAATAAGAGATTTAATGCTCCTAGAGCAAAAAGTTGAAAGTGTAAGATAGTAGATGGATATCCTTGATAAAATAATGCAATCTATCAACTATTAGTAATGCAGCAGAACTCCCCTGAGAGGCCCAGGGATCATCCCTCTCTTGCTGCGGGAAGTAGGGATAGCGAAATTCAGGACCTACCGGACCTGGTGAAAGAAAATATGAATTTTAGGGACCCTCGTGAAGGAAACTGAAATTTAACGTATAGACTATTTAGTAGTCTGTGAATATTATACTATACCTAAAATGGTAGGTGGTTAAAAGTTTCTACCTAGTTTCTCTGGGTTAGGGTTAGAGTTGGTTGCTAGGTCTCTCTTGTGGCCTTAAATAATATATTTTAGGGACCTTAGGATTGACGGTTGGTTAAGTATCTAAGCTGATAGTAGCTATTTAGGTACTTTAAATTAGGTGGTAGACTTACCTAAAAAGAAGTCTTAATTTCACGTTTCAGACTTACTCGACCTGACGATTTGAAATCTGGCTGGAAAGTGAAATATTTCGAAATGGAAATTTCACTTTCGCCATCCCTAGCGGGAAGGTACCTGGATACCTGGGTACCTGGGTACCTAGGTACGGATGACATAGCGCCGACCTGCCCCCCTCTGCCCCTCCATCTGATAACCTTGGGAGCTTTGAGCTCTGCAGAGGTCTCGAGCAACGACACGGCATCGACTTGTGCCCGACTTGTGCCCGACGACAAGATCCGCGATTCCGCCATCCGCATCCGCCCGCATACCCACCATCCGCACACCCTGCCTGGCCATGGCGTCTGCCCCGCTGCCGCTGCGCGTGGGCTACGTGCCCGAGCACTTTTCGACGCCGATCCACTTTGCCAGCAAGCACTTTGGCCTCGACGCGCAGCTGATCGCCTTCCCCTCGGGCACCGGCCACATGATCACGGCGCTCCGGTCCGGGGAGATCGACGTCGGCATTGGCCTGACCGAGGGGTGGGTCGCCGGCCTGGGCAAGGAGGACGTCGAGGGCGACGGCGGCTACCGCCTGGTCGGCACCTACGTCGAGACGCCCTTGTGTATGTGGAGACTTTCTCGTCTTCCGTTGCCCTCTCTCTCTGCTACATGTCCACAGATGCTGACGATTGTGATTGTGCCGACCACAGGCTGGGCCGTGTCCACAGGCGCAGCCCGCCCCGACATCTCCAGCCTCGACTCCCTCAGCGGCCGCAAGATCGGCGTCTCGCGCCTGGGCTCCGGCTCCTACGTCATGGGCTTCGTCCTCGCAGACCAGCAGGGCTGGCTGCCCCAGGAACCCGCCGCCTCCTCCTCCTCCTCCTCGCCCTCCCCCTACTCCGACTTCGTCATCCTCAACACCTTCGAGAATCTGCGCAGGGCAGTCAACTCGGGCGACGCCGACTTCTTCATGTGGGAGCACTTCACCTCCAAGCGCTACTACGACTCGGGCGACATCCGCAAGGTCGGCGAGATCTACACCCCCTGGAGCAGCTGGAAGATCGTCGCCGCCACGTCGCTGGTCCACGGTGATGCTGGCGGCAGTGACCAGCCGCAGCAGCAGCAGCTCGACCCCAGGCTGCACGCCCTGTTCGAGAAGCTTGACGCCGGCATCCGCCACTTCAACGACAACCACGACGAGGCCGTCCGCTACATCAGCACCGAGCTCGACTACTCCGAGGAGGACGCCCGGGAGTGGCTCAAGACCGTCAGGTTCCCCGCCCGCACCGAGGGTGTCGACCTGGCCGTCGCTGAGAACACCGTCGCCACACTGCGCAAGGCGGGCGTGCTCGCTGCGGGGAGGGGCATGGGGCCTTCGCAGATGGTGGCTAGGCTGCGCTCGTCGTGAAATTCTCCTCCCGCCGGGCGGCTGGCTGGTTTGGACTGCTCTCCCCGCTGGAACGGCGGCGCGAGGGGCAACGCTCCTGATGCCATATATTATTGGCAGTAATCAGCGCGACCATCATTTGACCTCAAGGCCTCAATGCGCCCCAGGGTTCATCCATCTCATTTGTGTACCAAACGGCCCACTCCCCTCCACCTCGTCGCTGCAGCGTGCCCCATCGTGCTCTCTCCTCTAGGGCTCACAAGGCGATAGCATGTAGTATGATGGCGCACCAGTCTCCAAGACGGCACAGCTAGCAGAACGTGCGGCAAGGTCCATTTTGTCCGTGGGTAATGCGTATCTGCATGTGACTACTCCCAACTCTCAAGGCTGGGCTCACTGGAGCTGTGCCGTAACACGTGCCGTGATTTGGTTCGGGCGCTGTGCTGGAAAGGTGACAATACTATCATGTCGAGTAGTCCCGCCCGCCCAGAAGGTTGCAGGGAGACTGTTGCCAAGGGGATAGATAATATCGGATTATAACCTTCTCATCTTGTATGGGGGTCTTTATTCGCATGGTGGGCAACCTGTAATCACAATACACTTCCCTGCAGCCTGATCATGGCCAAGCGTAGACTGCATCATGACAAACATATACTTGTGTGCTCTTGTCTCCTGTGTGTCTCATCTGTGATTATCTGTGGTATGATTGCCATGACAGTGTCTAATAGAAATGCCATGCTGTACTTCATGCTGACTTAGGAATGGGTTCTGCTTAGGTGTTTGCTTGACAGCCTTACAGGGTTGCCATTCACTACACTTAGTATAATAATATAGTATAATAGGTATAAAAAGCCTACTATATCTTATTATATAAAAAGTATTATAAAATTTATTATATTATATTAAAGAAATTAATATATATAATAAAATAAATTTAAATATAAATAAAATAAGTAATAAAATAAAAAAGAATAATTAAATAATTAAAAAAGATTTAAGAAAAAAAATAAAAAAAAATATACTTAACTTAACTTAAAAGGGTAATATACTAAGAGTATCTATCTTTAAGTTTTATTAAATTATAATCTCTATTATTAGTAACTATTAACTATTTTATATATATTTTAACTTAAAAGTTAAGAACCCCTTAAAGAAGTTATTCACCATTAAGATTAATAGTATTAACTAGGTCCTAGATCACACTAGGGGTCCAAATAGGAAGAAGCTTTTAAATTACCTAGCTGGCGACAAGACTACTAGTAGCAACACCGGCCTTGACAGAAGGGATGTGTAGAGCATGGCCTCCTTTGACAACTGTGGAGTCATGACCCTCCTCCTCTTTCCTCCTCTAGGAGGCTCAGTGTTTGTCCCGTAGCAGGCTAGGAGGCCTTAGTATCTCTCTCCCTAGTATCTATAGCATATTCTCCTACAGCATATCCTCTTATAGCATATCCTCCTAAAGGAGAACGTCTTAAAGGACAACATCTTACAGCATATCCTCCTAGAGGATAGTCTCCTAGCCTCTATTAGAACACCCTCCAAGAGGATATAGGACACCCTCCAAGAGGATATAGGACACCCTCCTATAGGGCAACCTCCAGTCTCTTGTAGAACACCCTCCTATAGGACACCCTCCTGAATACTCGTCTACAGCACCCTCTCCTACCGTATACCCTCATGTGACATATCCTCCTGTTGGATGGCCTCAGAGCGGACAACCTCTAAGCCTCCAATAAGATATCCTCCTAGATGACTTAGAGGTGGTTTACCCTAGGGTAGCTATATGGTGTTTTTTGTGACGTATTATTGTTGTCAGGGCGTTGTGGCGGCAGTCCTGCCCATCCAGCTATTGCAAGTCAACAGAATGGGGGCAGGAGCGGCCCCCTCTGTGCACACCTGCACGTATGTTGTTGATCTGGGCTGCAGCCCAACCTCAACCTCAACCTCAACCTCAACCTCAACCCAGACCACAACACCAGTACCAGTACCAGTACCAGTACCAGTATCCTTCCCACATTGCTGCCCTCGAACCATGTCTGCCTCCCCTCACAACGCGCTATCCTCGGTCATCGAGGCAGTGCGGGCCTCGCTTGCTCCTCCACTCGACAAGCCCTCCGACTCGAGCTCGTCCTCCAGCCACAAAGACATGCTCGCCGATATCCACGCTCTGGGTTTCGAGGACTACAAGACCCTTGTGCAGTTCCTCAATGCATCTATCACCGGCATCAATGACGACAACAAGCTCCTCCTCGAGCGCCTCGTGCAGCTCCTCGCCAAGCTGCCACCACAGTCTGCACAGCTCAAGGCCCTCAGTGACGGCTTCATCAACCAGCTGTGGACAACTCTGGACCACCCCCCCGTCTGCTTGATGGAGAGCAAGCACAAGTATCGCAGCGCCGATGGCTCCTACAACAGCATCCGTAATCCCCAGCTCGGTGCTGCCAACACCCCCTACGCCCGCTCCGTGAAACCCACCGTCTTCCGGAGGCCAGGCCTGCCTGAACCGCATGCCCTCTTCGACAGACTCAGTGAGTTCCCTGTACTCTTCCGCCCTTCCCTCATCATTCCCGGCCACTAATCCCCAGACAGTGGCGCGAGGCGACAAGTTCGAACCCCATCCCCAAGGCATTTCGAGCATGCTGTTCTATCTCGCCACCATAATCATCCACGACATCTTTCAGACTTCCCATGCGGACTGGAACGTCAACCTCGCCTCGTCCTACCTAGACCTCTCACCGCTGTACGGGGGGACTGACGACGATGTCAAGATGATGAGGACCTTCCAAAACGGCCTCTTGAAGCCCGACTGCTTCAGCTCGTACCGGATACTGGGCTTCCCACCGGGCTGCGGCGTGTTTCTGATCATGTTCAACCGGTTCCACAACTACGTGGCCAAACAGCTCGCGCTCATCAACGAGGAAGGCCGCTTCAAGTCACCCAAGGCGGATGTGTCAAAAGCCGAGGCCAAGCAGGCCTGGGCTCAATATGACGAGGACCTGTTCCAAACCAGCAGGTTGGTCACATGTGGCCTGTACATCAACATCATCATGAGGGACTATGTGCGAACAATCCTGGCCCTGAACCGGACGAACTCGAGCTGGTCACTCGACCCTCGCACTCAAGTGGGTAAGGAGATGTTCGGTACGCCCGTGCCCGAGGGAGTTGGGAACCACGTGTCGGCCGAATTCAACCTCGTTTACCGTTGGCACAGCACTATCTCTCCCAGGGACGAGCAGTGGTGCATCAAAGAGCTGAGTCGCCTGTTGAAGAGCCAAGACCCCGAAAACGTCAGCCTCGAAGACTTCGCGCAAGCGACCAAGGAGTGGAAGGCTGGCCTGCCACAACAGCCGGAGGACAGGGCATTTGAGGACATGACAAGGCTTCCCGACGGCACCTTTCCAGACAATGACTTGGTCCGCATACTGACCGAATCAATCGAGGACGTCGGTGGGTCGTACGGGGCAAACAGGGTTCCGCGCTGCATGAAGGCGGTCGAGATTCTTGGCATCTTACAAGCACGCCATTGGAACTTGGGCACCTTGAACGAGTTCAGGCAGTTCGTGGGACTTTCAAAACACACATCCTTTGAAGACATCAACCCGGACCCGGCGGTTGTGGCAAGCTTGAGACAGCTGTACGACTCGCCCGACACCGTGGAGATGTACCCTGGCATTGTGGCCGAAAGGACGAAGCCTCCAATGTCCCCAGGCAGTGGGCTGTGCGGAACTTCCACAATGACAATGGCTATCCTGTCCGATGCAGTGGCTTTGGTGCGTGGCGACCGTTTCTACACTGTCGACTATACGCCCAAGTCTCTCACCAACTGGGGATTCAACGAAGCAAACTACGACACCGGGTTCAACGGTGGTCATGTCATGCACAAGCTCATATTCAGGGCTTTCCCCAACCATTTTGCCAATAACAGTATACACGCTCACTTCCCTCTCGTCACCCCTTCAGAGAACTAGAAGATCCTCGAGGGCCTGGGGACTCGGAGCCAATACAGCTGGGCGCCACCTCAGCAACGCCGACCGCCGATCATGATCAGATCCCATAAGGCATGCACGCAGATCCTGAACGACACCAAGGGCTTCAGTGTAGTTTGGGGGGAAGCTATGGACTCCTTGGTACACAACGACCGTGCTCCAGGAGCGGGTGCCAACTTCTGCCTCAGTGGGGATAGCACCGCCAACAGGTCCGACCGTGAGCATATCCTGAAATCCCTCTACCCTGAAGATTGGCAGGCCGATGTCAAGGCCTTTTTCTCCAGTACGTCTGATCGACTCCTGGAGAGACATGGTTGCATGGTCTCAGGAGTACCGCACACATTTGAGGTCGACATAGTGAGAGATGTCATCGCCTTGGCAACGACACACTTCAGCGCTGCTTTGTGGTCGCTTCCCATCAAGACGGAGGCGAATCCTCGTGGCATATACCCGGAGCACCAGCTCTACCTCGTACTGCTGGCATGTTTTGGTGCCATCTTCTTCGACGCAGACATCGCAAACTCGCACAAATTGCGCACCCAGTCTCATGAGCTGGCACAGCAGCTTGGAAAATTGGTAATTCTGAGGGTCAAGCGCTTGAGTGTTGGGGGTGGGATCTTTGATGCGATGCTGGACACATTCAAGGAGAGCGTCGCCAGTCTCGGGCACGTTGTGAGTGCGAACAGCACCAAGAAGACAAGCTCGGACCGCAACCCTGAATGGCCTACTCTGGCACGCTATGGCGACCACATGATCCAGCGCATGTTGAGCGCAAGTGGAGCCAAACCGGAGCACCTTGTATGGGGTTCGATTTTGCCTGCGTCGGTGTCTGCTTGCGCAAACCAGACTGAGGTGTTGAGCCAGGCCATCGACTTTTACCTGGGCGACGGAAGGGACCACTTGCCAACCATGTACGACCTTGCACACCAAGACACGGACGACGCCGAAGAGAAACTGCAGAAATACCTGCTTGAAGGCATTCGCCTCCGAGGGGGCGTCGCCATCACCAGAGTGGCAACCAGAGACCAGACTGTCAAGGACTTCGCCCCTTCCAAGCCTGACCCATCTGATCCCTCTGGTCTCAACCCGGTTCCCAACGCAAACCCGGGCGGCAGCAGCACCACCCACCAGCTCACGGCAGGAACGCCACTTCTGCTCAATCTGACCGCAGCCAACCATGACGGAACCGCCTTCCCCGACCCCGAAACCGTCCGCCTCGACCGCCCGATCAAGAATTACCTCCACTTCGGATGGGGCCCCCACCTCTGCCTGGGGCAGGACATGAGTGTAGTGGGCCTTGCGGTGGTATTCAAGAAGATCGTCGGCCTCAAGAACCTGCGACGCGCCCCTGGCATCAGTGGTGAGCTGAAGTCTTTCCCTCTCGAATTAGGCTCAGGGTGGACTGGCCTGAGGACGTACATGACGCCGGATCAGAGCTCTTTCTGGCCTCTTCCGAGCACCATGAGGGTGCACTGGGACGAGTAGGTCGAAGGGGGCGTTCAGCCTGCCGGGCGGTGTCGTGTGATCCCTAAGCAATTCTCCCTATAGTTAGCACTACATCACCGCAACACTAGAAATACTAAGAACATTAATCCTATAACTATCTTGTACCAGTGTCTACCTATGCGATGGCCTCCTATATTAGAGGTTATCCTATTAGAGGTTATCCTAGGTTATCCTATTGGAGGTTGTCCTGTTGGAGGTTGTCCTATTAGAGGTTATCCTGTTAGAGGTTGTCCTGTTAGAGGTTGTCCTATTGGAGGTTATCCTCGGTTATCCTATTGGAGGTTGTCTTGTTGGAGGTTGTCCTATTAGAGGTTATCCTATTGAAGGTTATCCTGTTAGAGGTTGTCCTATTAGAGGTTATCCTAGGTTATTCTATTAGAGGTTATTCTATTAAAGGTTATCTTATTAGAGGTTATTCTATTAGAGGTTAATTTATTAAAGGTTATTTTTTTAAAGATTATTTTATAAAAGGTTATTTTATAAAAGATTAAAATATTATTTTTAAAAAAGAATATTTTATAAAAAGATATATTTTAAAAGAATATATTATAAGATTTTATCTTATATTTTTTATAAATATAATTATTATATTAATAAGATAATATTGTAACGGCCAGGTGGAAGCTACGGGGAAGCGCCCCGGAAGCGCCCCGGCACCTGGCCGTACCCCTTCCTAGGGCTCGTTAAAAGGTAAGCAAAGCCTACTTACCTCTTCTTAGAAAGAGGTAAGAATCAGTCTTGTATCAGACCTAGACCTAATAGACCTTCAAACCTCCCTCAACCTATACCGTCATGCCTAGTGCCACAGCCCGCTATAATTCTGATTCTTCTTCTTGCACTACCCACGATGCCACCAAGAACGGGTAACCAGAGGGGGAGGTCCCAGGCAAGTCCAGACAACGGCGAGGGGAGTTCGGACACCCCTCTAGCAAGCAACGCCCTCACTCAAGAACAGGAGCGAAACCGAATCCTTCAACAAAGGATAGACGCCCTTAAAGCAGCCAGAATTACCTTGGAAATCAAGCTGAAGGATTTGAAGCTAGCCAACATCACCCCACTATCTATAGCTTGTACTTTACAGCAATACAACAGCTGGATAATGGACCTTAAAAGGACCTATATCTCCTAACTATAATCCCTTTACAACAATAAGACGAAAGTAATCCATATACTCAACTATGTTGATAAAGAGTGCTGAAACCACTGGGACACCTACATAAAATCCAAGAAGAAAGGAGACAAGTCTATATTTAACTATTATAAGTAGGACAAGTTTAAAACCTTTAGTAATAACTTTAAGAAAGACCCCTAAGGTATTTCTAGGGTTGTTTAGAACTCAATCAATTCCACCTACCAACGAGAAAATCAAGACCCCTAGTCCTTCCATTAATACCTTAAAACCTTAGAGTTAGAATAAGAGACTAGGAGCGATAATTCTAGAGCTAAATTCTTTCTCTCTAAGTTATAAAGTTAGATCTCCCTAGAGATTTAAACTAAATACACTCTAGATTTACTAGACACTAGAGATAAGATAGTTAGAGTCACTCAAGCAATTTAGATCAACACACCTAAACGAATTAAAAAGAGAAAGCATAAGGAACTAGGAACAAAGCACGAGGGAGGCAATAGAACCCCCAATAAGAGAGGATAAGGGGGAGCCCCTTAAGGCAACGCTATAGCTTCTAGGGGAACTTAAGGTTCATCACGCACAAAAGGCCGGGGCCGAGGATCCCGAGGCAGGGGCTCGCACACCCAGCCCAATCAAAATACTTAGGGAAGTAACTCTAAAACCACCCTAAAACTTAATCCTCTTAATAATAATAAAAAGCCAACCATTTACTACCACTATAATAGCACCTACTATTACACCCTAAACTACCTAATACCGGCAGAAGCCACGGCATCTATAAACTAGGTTCGGGGCTGTAGTAACTACCGATCAAGGGGCTATCGGGGGCAGAGCCGAGGCAGAGAAAGCCAAGGATCGTCTCAACCACCCACTAGAACGGTGTTTAAAGTAAAGAAGTCAGACTAGTAACTAGGATCGAAGGAGGAAAAGGAAACAATAGAGGTCTACAATACCTTTATAATCCCAAGGGAAGTAACTATAATATAAAGTTAAAAACATATTAAAATTAACCTTAATACTTAAACCTAAATAAACCTAATTAGTATTTCTTTTATAAGAAAATTTAATTTAAAGGAATTAAAAAAATCCCTAATATCTATTAAGAAAATTAATTATATTTTAATACCTATTTATAAAGTTTTTTAAATCTCTCTTTTAATTAAAAACTATTTTAAAAACTAAAAAAGAAAAACCTAAGATATTTTTACTATTAATTAAAAGTATTCTAAATTTATTTTATTATTAGAAACTTTAAGTCTATAATATTTTTAAATAAAGCTAAAAAGTTATTTAAAAATTAATAACTTTAATAAAATAACTTATATATTATCTAATAAACTATAAGATCCTTTATAAAGAATTAAGGATAAAATACCTATTATTATACTATCCTTTTAACTAATAACCCTTTTAGTTTAAATAATAAAAAAAAGTAATAAAAACTAAAGAAAATAAATAAAAAAGAAAAATTACCCTTTAATCCCTCTTAGTTATACCTATAATTAAAAGGCTTAAAAAAGTTTTTTATAAAAGCTAGAATAAAAAAACTCCCCCCTTAAAGAAAGGTAGACTATATAATTAAATTAAAAGAAAAAATATCACCACCTTTTCTACCTCTTTATCCACTATCATTAAAGAAGTTAAAGATCTTAAAGAAATAATTAAAAGAAAATTTAAAAATTAAATAAATCACTCCCAATAAAAATTTAATAAAAACCCCAATCTTATTTACCCCTAAAAAGAATAACACTCTTTAACTCTATATTAACTACTAAACCTTTAATAAAATAACAATTAAAAATCATTACCTTTTATTACTTATTTTTAAAATCTTAAACTAACTATTAAATATAAAGTATTTTTTAAAAATTAATTTAATAGATACTTACTATTAAATTTATATTTAAAAAAATAAATAAAAATAATATTCTATATATATTATAATTACTATAAATTTAAAGTAATACTATTTAAATTAATTAATACCCCTACTATATTCTAATTATTTATTATAAAGATTTTAAATAACTATATTAATATTTATATAATTATTTATTTAAATAATATTTTAATTTTTTAAAAATAAAAAAGTATAAAAATATATTTAAATAATTATAAATTAATTATTATTAACTAAACTTTATAGAAATTTTAAAAATATAGCTTTTTTAAAAAAATTAAATTTTTAAAATTTCTAATTAAAAAGGAATTTAAATAAATTTTAATTAAATTAAAACTATTTAAAAATAACCTATCCCTACTACCTATTATAATATTTAGATTTTCCTAAATTTTTATAATTTCTATTAAAAGTTTATTAAAAATATTCTAAAATTATTTAACCCTTTAATAAATAACTATTTAATATAAAATAGAGTTAAAAACCTAATAAAGTTAATCTATTTATACCTAAAAACTTAAAAACTTAAAACCTTTAAAAACTTAAAGTTAAGTTTTAATAAATACTTTTATTTTAATATTATAACTTAATACTTTAAGTTTAAATTAAATATAATATCTTTAATAAAATAGCTACTTTAATAATCTTTTAAAAGTATATTATTAAAAATATATCTTAATAGTATTCTATTACCTTCTAATTAAAAAGTTTTTAATATAAAACTTAACTAAATAACTTATAATAAGGAATTAAATACTATTATTAGTAATTTTAAGTATTAATAATAATATTTTAAAAGTTTAAAAGCTTATTATTATTCTTTTAAATTATAATAACTTTTATAACTTTATAAAATAAAAAGAACTAACTTAAAAATAAATTTAATAACTAATATATTTAACTAGATTTAATTTTATTATTAAATATTATTTTAATAAAATAAATTTAATTAATAAACCTTTAAAAACTTAATTATATATTAAAGGAAAACCTTTAAATATAAGTTAAATTTTAATTTTAAAATTAAAGATAGTTATAATTATTAAGAAGGACTTATAATCCTATTTAAAAACTAATAATAAGTTAAAATTTAAACTATAATTAGAAATACTATAATATATAAAATCTTAAAAATAATTCCTTCCTAATAAAATATTAACTTAAATTTATAACTCCTTATAAAAATAGTTTATAATAAAATTTAAGCTTAAATATATATACTTAATACTAATATAATATATTTAAAGTCTCACTCTCTATTAATAAACTTAATTTATAAAACCTAAAAAAACCCTATAATTCAAACTATAATTAAAAATATAATCCTTAAATAATACTATTTTAAATAACTTTAATTATAAAATCTAAAATAAACTCCTCTACTAAAAAAATACATATATATACTAAAATAAAAACCTTAAAATAAAAATTTTATAAACCTATTATAATAATTTATTAAGTAGATATTAAAAATAAATTAAAATATAAACTCTTTTTAAAAGTACTTTTAATAGCTAAAGTTAAAAACCTTTATAATAAAGTATATACACTTATATAACATATTAATACATATTTACTCTACATTATTACCTATATAAAAGCTTACTTTACTATTAATTTTATTAAAACTTATATAAAAACTTAATATAAACTTTATAATTAAACTTTTAACTACTATTATAAATAAAAAAATAAATTTAATCCTAATAATTATAAATTATTTTATTAAAATAAATTTTTCTTTTAATTTATATTATAATAAATATTATAAAACTTAATAAAATCTTCTATTAAAAATTAAATATAAATAAAAATTCTATAAAAATTATTATTAATAAAAATATAATCTTTACTAATAGTTTTTAAAAATACTATATAAACTAAATAATATAAAAACTACTACACTACTACCTACTATTTATAAAATAATAAATAAATTAAAAATAAATT